GACGAAACGTACCGTTGGTTCTACTGCATTCATGTATTTTCCATTGAGCATGAAGTGGCGTACGTGCATCGAAGAACGCGGATGTGGAATCTTTTCCTCTGGCTTGACTTCAGTGAAGAAATAGTCATACGGTACTGAGGCGTTTAATGCGGGACGAGTCGGTTTGACATACTGCAAGTGCCATGCGTATTCATTTCTGTGGTTGTACCACATGTAGTTGCACATGGTACTATAATGGCAGTAACACGACCTATGTATATTGAGTTTGTGGGTTGTTTCAGAAATAACTTGTTTAAAGTCTTTACCGTGCAATTTAGCCACATACTGACGAAATTCTCTGATATGTGCCGTTTTGAATGTCACGGGGAAATAATGCATACACTGCATGACTTGCTTTCGACCAAGTATATAGGCAGCACTTTCAATCCAACAGGGAATTCTAGGGTCTCCGATTCTTCCCGTTACCACAGGTTTCCCATCTTCCAGAATTAAGTTTGGCGTAACTGCTGTCGTGAATAGTGTGTCTACATCAACCAGACCAACATACGTGGCATTAGTACATAGATCAGCATGCATCATGTCCATATACATCCGCATTTTGCCCCAGTGATGAATCATCTCTTGAGGATATGGTTCCATGTAACAAACTCGTAATTCTAGCTTTTTATTTTGCGTTGTCTCATTCAGTGTAGAGCCGTATTTTCTGTCTTCTTCACTTTCTTTATCTAAGACAACAACAACTTTTGAATTCTTCGGCCAAAATAACGACATGCTTCGTAAGATCCAACTTTCAGCTTGAAGAGGAAACTGTTTAATTGACGAAGTATATCGTAGATAAACTTCAAACTCATCTAAGTGGTTTTTAGACTTCTCGGCTGGCTCCGTTGTTTCTTCAACAGTCGATTTCTTCGAAAGGTTAGCTGAAAAGATGAGTCGGAGATGTAACGATGAGCATAAATAATATGCCATAAATGACGATACCACAAAAACCAATGTTAAAACAACAAATGTTTTTCTTAAACATGGAGCTCTCATTTTACCGACAGTTAAGAGCAATTTAAGTTTAGTCTCAGAGTATGAATGCAGTTGTTTAGCTATTTAATTTGCGATCAATACTGCTTTTCTACTTTGGAAACCAACCCTTTTGACCACTCCAGAAAATACCATAACATACCTGTTACCATAATACTCTTTGTTTGTCACCCCAAAATTTTGCATAAGCATTGTCTTCAGCTTCTCTTGGGGCCATTTTACAATGTTTATGCAAAATTTTGGGGTGGGAAACAAAAAGCATTATGGCATACACCGTATTCACAAATGGCGGACACGCGGGAAAAAACTGGTGCCTAGTCATGAAAGTGAGGCATTGAAGGATAAACAAACATTGCAAATGAAGACTTTCAGTGAACTTGCAAAGTGTTTAGCACGAATTCCACCTAAAATAACTTTTTACGGACTTCTTTTTACATACAATTACGTGGGATGTCTTCTGCTTTTAGTAGGGACGCGTATATCTTCAAGGAAACAGGATGATTTTGTAGGTTTCCGAAGCATCAGAAGCTCGACAAGTGGACGATGGCTGGAGAAAAGCGGCAAACATGTTGGTCCAGTTGGCCCAAACTTCACATTGAAACCGAGTACGAAAGCCAGCTCAGTGCAATTCGGTGAAACAGAAATATAAACAAATCTTGGTGGCAAGAAAAAACGAAATAAGCGACAAATATATGACGTACTTGCAACTGTTAACGCAAGAGACGTCTGCCGTTGAGCAAAACAGTTCAAGTCGAGATGGAAAAAAGGAAGACAGGAAACAAGAGGTGACTGAGGTTTCGATGAAGTTATGTTTGGTTTTTGTTTGCCAGGACGTTATTCTCTGGTCTTTATCAATGAAAGACATCAATTAGATGCTATTTTTTTTTTATTATAAATGCAGGAGCGATCGAGAGGAGTACGCTCAAAATTTCAACTTGTTACTCGCTAGACTCCGGGTGAGCCGGCCACATTTCATTTCAGCGAGTAATTTCGTATTTCTTACCTTTGGCTCCTCCGACCCACTTTGCACTTTGCTTTGCATTAAGAGTTTTAACTTTATGTTCCATAACATTTGAAAGTTGAAGAATACATAAATAAATAAAATGATGGACTTCTTAAACTGATCCAGACTCGAATTCAATTATTCGAAACAGAAGCTTGCCGTGTAATTCATAGTCTCCCTCGCAGCCGTTTTTAGTATCGTCACGCAACGCTCCTCCCCACACGATACTAAAAACGGCTGCGAGGGAGACTATGTAATTCAGTCCTGACAAAAACATTGCCTTGAAAGTTTAACCTAGTAAAATGTAAGCTTTATATCACTTTTTTACCAAGAGCTCTCTGAGATAATGCCCTAAAAGAGACCAGGCAAACAGCATTCACACACTACAGCTTCTAATTTTGATAAAATTATTTTTAATTATTTCGCAATGACAAAGAAAGCATGAGATTTTTGCTAAGCTCTGCCAACGTACCTCTAACAATTCACTCCAAAGCGACGGAATCAATTTGATCCAATACAGAATTGTAGTGATCTGGCTTTCGTATTCGGTTTCAATGTGAAGTTTGGGCCAACATGTTTGCCGCTTTTCTCCAGCCATCGCCTACTTTTCGAGCCTCTGATGCTTCGGAAACCTACAAAATCATCCTGTTTCCTTGAAGATATACGCGTCCCTTTTGATTGCAAACAGCAAATCGCTACTAAACATTAAAAGCAGAGGACATCCCACGTAATTGTATTTAAAAATAAGTCCGTAGAAAGTTATTTTAGGTGGAATCCGTGCTAAACACTCTGCAAGTTCACTGAAAGTCTTCATTTGCAATTTTTGTTTATCCTCCAACGCCTCGCTTTCATGACTAGGCACCAGTTTTTTCCCGCGTGTCCGCCATTTGTGAATACGGTGTATGTTATGGTATTTTCTGGAGTGGTCAATTGGTTTGCTTCGCGTGACGTCCCGGCCCGTAAAATCCTCGGAGACCCAGGGGCAGATAGTGGGGGCAAGGGAAAGTCTAAACTGGCGGGAAAAAATGGCGCGAAGAAAAGTAAAAAACTGGGGGAGGAGCCCCTGGGGACAATGTCTTACCAGACCAGTTCCAAACGGTCGCGACCGTTCTGGCTTCTGATTAGTGCCAGAAAACTTTTGTGTTTTTCTGCCCGATCAGAGCGCAGACCTTATGGACCAGTTTTTTTAGACACATTTTAGGGCACTTTTTCCTACGAAAATAGAATCTCCACCATGTCTATGAGCGCATTCGAAGTGTAAGATATCAAAAAAGAAAACTAAACGTTATTAAAAGGCAAAAAATATCATTTTAAAGTCTGTTGGTTTTGCTGACTGTTTTGAGGAATTTAAAAAATATTTCAAATTCGCGCCAAAACCGTTCTAAAAATAAGTTGTTTCGTGAAAACGCCGTGACACGAGCGCTTGGAAGTTGCTCGCTCCGGGTTATTCGCTCCTGTTTAGCTTTATTTTTAGAAAAAGCAATGGTGATTCCACGTATTTCTATCTTAATGAGTTCCCATTCCAGCCTTTTGTCTTTAATTCCTGAGCATTTGTTTTGGAGGCAGCATAACTGTCAGTGATATTTTTAACTTAAATTTCGTTTTCCAGCAACGAATTATTCAATTTCTTTAGCCCAGGACCTCTATTGTCATTTTCCAGTGACAATTGGCAAATTGCTTTGTGATCAGGCGCGATGGAAACTAAAGTTTCCATGATGAGAAACTCGATTTGTAAGGGGTTGCGACACGAGGTAAAAATCAATGCGAGAAGAGAGTTTTAATGCTTTGGATTCGTAGGTGAAACACAGCTTATTTGGATTAAGATTTCTGTAGACATCAATCAGGGAAAATTCTTCCATCATGGAAATGAGTTGATTGCGGTATGGGGTGGGTTTCCACTGGGACCCACTTTTTTGTCAACAGCTTCTAGAGAAACATTCCAGGTCTCACTCTTGTTACTCTGTATTATTTTTTCTTAAAAGAGAGAATTAAAACAATAATTTCGCTCAAACACTCCCGTAGTTGCCTCCAAAATCATACCTGATTACACCAAAATGAACAGAGTCTGTACCCGTTTTCAGACCAAACCATCGCAAAGCCTTTCGGCGAGTCTAGTTTTTATCACCTGTTCAACAGCCTTCTTAACATTATCCACAGCAAAGAACGTTTAGATATTAAGGTTGATCAAACTTAAAATTGCTTTGAATATGGTTATAACAGGCTAGGTGTCGCCCAGGCCCGAGCGAGCAGCCCCGGGGGTTCTTTAGGAGGTTTTGGGTGAGAATGTGCCGCTGGGGGACCCTGGAACCCTTAGCTGGTACCCTGGAAACCTTAGCTCGTACCTGAGCTAGTTCAAGTGAATTTTGCTACCCTATACTAGACGAAACTCTCCAAATTCCCACCCTCCCCTCCCCCCCACTATCCTAGAGTAGCTGTTTTCCAGAAACTACTGAGGCAAGAGAGAATGAGGTAGCTCATTCTCTCTTGACTGAGGTCACTAGCACAGGGCTAGCACAGTCGAACCAAAACAAAGCCGATTTGATTTTTTATATTCTTGAGTGGCAATTCCCGCGGTTTCCCTAGTCTAGACTAAAATCTTCAACCAGTTGGTCAGTTTCCTGGAAAATGACACCCTAATCTAGACCCAAACTCTCTGATCCCAGAGTAAACTGCTTGAAAACCATAAACGAGAATTCCAAACGTAACTGCAAAGCTGATTCCGAACAACGTGTATTGTTTTTTCATAACAATAATGAAAACCACAGAGGCACATCCCGATGAAACCCATATATGGCATTACCTCCCCCCGGGCTAGCAACTTCCTTTCACTCGTGGAGTCACGGAGTCGTTACTAGATTACGCAAAGTACATCGTTGGAGCAAGAGCGTGACCAAAAGAAGCGACGGGCTCTGGGAACGACGGAACTTGAGAATGCTCAGAGATGTTCACCACTGCGCATTCACTGCGCATATCTTGGCGGTTCTTTCGTTTGCTCGTTGTTTCGTGGTATTGTAGTTCCATTACTTGACTTGTGTGCTTCCACGAAGGTAAGAAAAACTTCATTCGGACATATGAAACTGCAGTAGATTGGCATATATCGCTACTAATTGTTGGAAACTCGCAAAAGTTGCTTGATTCAGGGGTGTAGCCAGCCCATTATAAACCTGTAGGACGTGGTGTACTAGTTTTGGTTTGATCACTCTACCACTTGTAATAAGCCTATTATGCGTTGTTCGGGTGAGCTAAAACGCTTAAGACCTTCAAGTGTTGCTGAGGTTAATGCGTACTTGTCGTGCGTGCAATTTTCAGGTGATGTGAAAAGAAAAGGCAACCAGAACAACCAGTCGAAAAGCTGGGTACGCCCCTGCGATACATGAAATACAAATATCCCTCCAAATTCGAGATTTCCTATTTTAAGAAAAAATTAAAACAAATCATAGAATAAGGCTTTGTTCTCGTAAATTCAAACTGCCTGTTTAAATTACAAAAAAAGAGTCGTTATCCTATGATTTGTTTTAAACTTTCGCGTAAAATAAGAAAACTTTTTCTTAAATTAAGAGATTCGGGGGAATCGTGAATTTAGAGTGATAGGACAGGGTGAGGTGATAAGCCAGAAAAAGGAAAAGAGTTTCATTTGAGTGGTCAAGAGGCCATATAAACTTATTCTGTAATGCAGACAGGTCTTTGAAGCAAGCTTTGACAGTCAAATCTTGTGTTCACATGGTATTGGACAAATTTTTTGACCTGCTGAAAAATTTGACAGGACACTTCGTTCCCATGGGATTGTTCAATATTTTTGGTCTGTTCACACCAAACTTTGAATGGTTTGGCATCTATATTTTTGTAAGGTTAAGGTGGTTCTGTGTGAACAGAACACCCAAATACCCAAATTTTTAACTGGTTGAAAATATTCATCCAGTGCCGCAGTGCTCTCGCTAGATTTTAGCTTTTCAGTTAAGGGACCATTCTTGACTGGTAAGGCCAAAATATACGCCAGAGGTGCACTCTCTTGGTGGGGAGGGGGCATTCAACAGAAGTAAACACCTGAAAACAAAGAAATATTTTACGAATGAAGGCTGCCTTTGCCCCTAGGGTCAATTTAGTAAGACAAGTTGCAGAAGTTGCGAATTATCCCTGCTGGTTGATAAAGTCTAGAATTGGGACAGAAGCCCACAAAAGTATTGTTACCCTGCAGTACTTCGAAAGGTACCAGTAATCAGAGAGAATAGCTGTGTATATTTTTTGTTTTACCCTATTTACTTCCTTTTCTTGTGAGGATCGGCTTGGATCACAACTTGCGTGTTTTAAAACAACTTATTTAATTTTAGTAACTTTTAAGCAGCTGCACAGAGTAACTAAGAAGTGTTGCTTCAAGCGGTAAATTTTACCAGTTACTGCCTGATAAGGAGAACACTGGTGCCATGTGAACTCAGCCTTTGGCTGCTTCATAGTTTTATCTTGCTGCTTAACCCTTTAAACCCCAAGATCAAAATTAACATTCTCCTTTGTCGTCTCTATTCATTTACTATAGAAGTAGTGGGGAGAAGTTGATAAAAATAATCAAGCACTTTCATCTTATGGGATTGTGTCCGTTATGCTCATGACCACTCTGTTTTACAAAGCATTGATTTTACAAGGAGAAATTTGATGCTGCTCACTCTTAGGGCTTAAAGGGTTAAGGGAAGTGTGATGGGAAGATGGGGAGATGGCGAGGGGTGCTGAGAAACGATAGGATCCCTGTTCTAGTCATGGCAAAGATTTTCACATTTTTTTAAATTAGTGGAATACTGGCTATTTTGGATTAGTTGAAGAAAACTTAGTATTTTTAAAATTACAATCCCAGGCATAAAGCGTTTTCTCATGATGTCACCGTGGCCATATTGGTGTTCCAAAACAATAAAACAGCAACCATGTTGGTGTTCCCAACAAACCCAGTGGACGTTGAACTCTTTTCTTATGTAAACGCTTTCTTTTGGTCCAATAAATTTGCATAGATGCTGGCCCTGTGGGTAAAAATGCTTTATTACTTCAAACTTGGCTAGGTAGACCTGGTGTTTACAAGTGTGAATGTACATCAGTTTTACTCAGGTTCTTAGAATCATTCTTAGATCTGGTATAAACCTGTTAGTTTCAAAAATTTATTTCTCAAATAAAAAAAAATTACGAAAGTCTAACAAGTGAGGCATGAGCTTTCAGAAAATTGATTTTCTGAGGTGTCAATTGTAACGCCTAAGGTGTGATTTCTGATTAATATCACAGGCTCAAAAAATCAAGAATTGCATACTACTGGCCTTCCCTCAGTAACTAGGAATGAAAAATGGATTGGAATTGACTTATACTGAGATTGTCAATTTACCTTTAAATTCCCAGCATTGTTCATCAATTTTTCCTTGAGATATAGAGGTGGAATTTTTTTGTAATGCCCTGTAACTCCAGGCAGTCACCAAAAAAATTCCAAAATGTGCCCTTGTTGCTTGGACCTTGTGTTTTTTCGGGGCTTGGGATTTAACCAAGATACTTGGTATTGTTACACTGCTGTGATGCCAGTGGCAATTGATAAACATCTGTTAACCCTTTAAGTCCCAATATCCACATACAAATTCTCCAAACTGATCTCCATACATTTCCTTAAAAAATGAGTTAAGAGAATTTGGTAAAAGATCAAGGTATTTTCTCTTTGGTGATCATTTTATTAATTCTCATAACCTAATCTCTTAACAATCTATCGATAGTGTTAGGAGAATATTGATGTTGGACACCATTGGGACTTAAAGGGTTAAGGCAGTGGCCACACTGCCTGTGGAGGCAGACTGTCTGAGTGCCTTTAAAAAATAATAGTAATAAATTTTAATAAATTCTCTTTCTATTTAAGATCCAAACATTGTGGTGTGCTATTTGACCATTGGTTATGACATCTGAAAATGCAAGCTCTTCCACTCTGGTGGCAAATTCGTACAAAGAGGTAGAAATATCTTTAAATATTCAGGAACGCAATGAGGGTGAGAATCAGTCTAACCAATTGCAGCCCAACAGTACATCACAAGCAAAGGTCAAGCCTTATAAATGTGACGAGTGTGACAAGTCTTATATGCACTATACATTTCTTGATCGGCATAGACTGCTACATTCTGAAAAGAAGTTCCAATATGAATGTAACAACTGTGGCAAGTGTTTTATTAGCTCAGCAAAACTAGGGCGACATTTGGCAAAACATGAACAGAGTGATCAGTCTTTTCAGTGTGACCAGTGTGATAAAAGTTTTTCCCAGGCGGGAAAACTTGAGAAACATAAACGTAGGCATAGAGGAGAGAAACCCTTTGAATGCAGCCAGTGTAACAAGCGCTTTTATGAGAAAGGAACTCTCACTAAACACACAAAAGAGGTTCATAGTGGAGAAAAACCTTATGCTTGCACCTTTTGTGACAAGTCTTTTAGCCGACCGGAGGTCCTGAAAGTTCACAGGAGAACACACACTGGCGAAAAACCCTTTTCCTGCAGCCATTGCGACAGATCGTTTATTCAGTCATGTGACCTCAAAAGACATGAAGTAAAACATACAGGAGTAAAAGCTTTTAGCTGCGGGCAGTGTGGCAAGAATTTTGCACGGTTATCGTATCTTCAAAGGCACAACAGAACACATACTGGAGAGAAGCCTTATAAATGTGATGTCTGTGGCAAGTGTTATAGACAGAGAAAGGGAGTCCTAGCCCACAAAAAAAGAAATCACTTTCAAGTAATAGAGTAGTTATCATCAGTTACCTTTGAGCTTAATTTTTGATAAAATCAATGTATATCAATAATGGGAGTGCAGGGAGTAAAAGATCCAGGGGCACCCAACGTCAATTTGTGGAAAATATCTGTTTGAAAGACAATTTGAGATCTAGAATTTTCGGAACTTGTGTTGAAAAATTTCTTGCTTGCCTGCCTCTCCTAAGATTTTCGAACATTTAAAAAATGGTATAATTGCCCAATTTTAACAGATATTTACCCTAAAAGGCACCCTAGAATTTTCTGGACCCTTTTTTCTGGCTGAAATTTTCGAAAAGGTATATTTTTTCCCTATAATTTTCAGATCACTAGACTTTCAGCCAGGAAATCTGAACAGATAAAAAATTTTTAGGGGATAAAAATATGCCTGTATCTACCGTTTAAATACTAAAATACGTTCAACAATGCCATGTTTAAGTGGTTTTGAACTGTATTCTCGTTGGTTGCCCCTGAAGATCAAGTGCATAAAGGTTATTTGCATGTAATATTACAGACAATATTATTTTGGTACAAACAAGTCCAGTATTGAAAGTGGAAATAATCCTCTCAGTTGAATAAACAACCTAAGCGGTTGAAAAAGAACCTGCAAAAACCTGGGCTTTTCCAAGAATCGAATCCTGACCTTTGAGAGACCAGTCACAATGCTCTACCCATTAAGCTTATGAAGCCAGCTAGAGACCAGGCCTTCCTGCAACTGGTGTTGCAAAGATCAGGGCTCAAGTTCCAGTCAAACCTGAGTTTTTTTAGTTTTTTTTTGTCAACTGCGAGGATCATTTCATCTTTCATTATTTTTTATGCGCAGTTCAAAATATGAGTAACTTCATAGAATTCCATTCAAGTCCAGAATTATCTGAAAAAAGAAATCAATATCCCACCCACTTAAACCCTAAGTACCAATAACAGTGATTATCAGAAAATCAAGTCCATACCATACGGGCTTAATAATGTTACTTTATGGAACAGCAGGTATAATTTACCAAAAATTATCTTGGGCGTTACTTTCTGTGCACCCCAAATAAACTTGAGAAGGGAATGAACTTAAAGCTTTTGCAATGTCTCAGTTTTAAATGTAGGTTTGTTTTGTTCTAAAACTGTCCCAGAAAATAGTTAACAAATTTTTGTGTTGCAATGCGATGTAAGAGTTTCAGTTTAAGGGAAAAGGAAATGATGATTATTATACAAACCGTATTTCCCTGTTTATTTAATATTTTACACTGTATGCTATTATATGTGTTATCCCAGTGTTGATTTCAAGTTTTGACTTAGAGGATCCTAGTGTTTGAAACTCCAGTCTAATTTCGAGTGCATTATGATTTATCTGTAAAGAAGAAGGGGTTAATAATATTTGTTACCACGGTCACCAACCTTGTCCTTGGTTTTTCAACAGTAAACTACAAAAAGGGTAAATATATCCGGCCACAAATTGAGGTGTTCACGTACAACTTCCCTTTTACAGACTATAATACCCCGTGCTTGTTGCAGAAAAATTGCACTTGTAGTTTTTTTGTCACATTCGATAAATTTAAAAAAATTTCTTTTGTTAAGAATTTTTGTTTGCGTTCTTTTCTGACGAAACCTGGGTCTTCGACTCTCAGTGAAAGGATTATTTAAGACTAGGGTGGGGTCTTTTGAGGTGCATGACTTGGGTAACCCTTGCCGTTCCACACTTTAGTGTTATTGGGAAGAAAGTGTTCGCAATGTCACCCTTAGTACAGTGTATTTATATACTTGCGCTGGTTGATTTAAGTTGAAAGGACGGCATTGTCTTTCACTGATTCTTATAACGCTGGAATTTTCGCCAGTTTAGGTAAAGAATACAGGAAACTCAGGAGACTGAGAGAGAGTTCGTTTTCTTTATGTCGCTTCCTTGTATGGGGTTTGGCTCAATTCTGGACTTGATAACTTCTGCATCATTATGTGGTGGTTGTCTAGTGGGTTTAATGAATGAAAGATTTGATGAATTAAACGGTTTTTAGTCTAAAAAAAATTATGCTTTTTCTATATCCATTACTGAAAAAAAAGGTTTCCTTTATGAACCTGACATTCTTGGAAAGAAACGAGCAACATGAGTTTCACTCTTTCTCCCATGGAAAACGCTCTGCATTCCTTTCAATATTTATTATGTATCGTTCTTTATAACAACTAAATCCATTTGATCGTGCATAGAGACCCTCTCACTACCCCTCCTTACGAATGAAACCAGCGGCTCCTGTGCTTCGGCTTTCTTTCCCGACTTTCGTATCTAAGAAAGTAGCGCTACGCAGGCCCTGATCATATCAACACCAGCGCTAGACTTTTTAAAAGTCCTTTTTATTTTTTTTCCTGGTTAGTTATGCCCTTCGTCGCTCGCTCGCCGCTCAGTCGCTGTGCGACCTCATGAATGACATGCATTGAAGCTTGCTAGCTTCTCTCACTTTTAGAACTTGTGAAAGGTCGACTTGTAGCAAGTGTACTCCAGCGCTTGAATTAAATCGTCACTCTTTTGCGACTGTGCGATCCATACCATTTCTTTTATCTATCTATCTGTCTATCTATCTATCTATCTATCTATCTATCTATCTATCTATCTATCTATCTATCTATCTATCTATCTATCAATAAATCCCAGACCCCACTCAGATATCTAGGCGGTGTTAAGACTGCTATAAAGAGGCTGGGAACAATCGAATGTTGCCTGAATGGAACTGCGCACGCTCAAGCGCATGTTCAAGATGGTTTTCGATGACACAAACTGGACGTGATCAATACTGCACGGAATTACTTCGTGAAAGGAAATCTTAATTTGGTTAGAAAAGGCGACCGTTTGAATTTCAAGATAATGTTTCGAAGTGGCTTTCGTGAATTTGAGGACGATCCATTCTTCAGGTTAGCAAAACGTCGTTAGAATATTGGAGTGTAATGGAGAGACTTGTTTATATACTCGTTGCTGCGTATTGAATTGAAAGGCTAAAATTTGTACAGTATAACTGTGTATTTCTTGTTTACTTGATATTTGTAAGTTTTAAGCCATTATGTTCATGTGGCTCGAAGCACATAGTACGTCTTGTTGTTCTTAAAGCCACTGACGATAGAAAAGCGATTAAAAAGGAATTGCATATTTATCCGCGTATCCAGCTGGATACAGCTTGGAAGTGACAAGGGTATTCTGCAGTTTCTTCCTTCGTGTTTGTTTAGTAACAGTGCTCACATTCTTGTTTAAGTGATAACGATATGTATAATGCATGTTTTTGCCACTGAAGAAGTTATAGGCTTATTTCTAGTAAGCTTATTAGCCAAACGCCCTCAGTTATAAAAATGAAAGTTTTGGGCGTTTAACTCACAGTACAGCTCAGAGGTAAGCAACTATATTAATGCACTTCAATTGCATTCGACAAAAGTCTGTAAAGGCAGGTGCATTAATCTAATTTGCTTCAAGAACGGGTTTGCAGCAGAGCTGTCATTAAGGGCCACAACCTGTAAAACCTGTTACAGCTGAGCTCACTTGATGTTACGGAGGATCAAAGTGGAAAGCGAAAGATAACACTATAAATTTTTTTGAGATGTTGCGAGTGAATCTTCATTTGCTACTGCTGCCTTAAAACCTATTGACAACCCTGGATTAGAATATATGAGCTAGTGTGGATTAGTATGCATCAAATATGTGTGAGAGCTAAAATTGTGTTTTTCAAACCACGTGGCATTAAATTCTGCCAAGTTTGGCTTTTCAGACCACTGCTAATGTGGTCATTTCAGTTACATGTATGAAAAAAAAAGTGCTTTTTTTGAGTGTCAATGTATTTAGCACAAAAGCGCTAATTGGGCCGCCATTTTACGTGGTCATCCAAGCCACGTGAAGGTCTAGCCATTTGCAGGGCAAAGGCATTACCTCCATTTCTCAGTCATTTTAAGACCCTGAGTGTTGGTCCAGTCCCAGGAATTGAACCTGCGACCTCACACTCTCCAGTCAAGCGCTCTACCGACTGAGCTACAGTGTAATCCTGCCACTAGTGTGGTTAGACTCAATTACCAGCCTCTGTTTGAGAAATGAGGCTACGTTCCTTCCCCATCAAGACAGCTGGATGTGTGGGTTTGCTATTGGCAATTTCCACCAACTATATTGTTGCCTGCCCAAATTGAGCAGGCAGCATGAATTCTTTTTTCTGGAGCATATTTCAAACGGCAAATGCAAACAATCATTATGGTTGATGTGGAGTGTATGGCTGTCATTAGGGGCCGTAGCCGTAACACCTGTTACAGCTGAGTTCAGTCGTTGTTACGGCTGATGGTTGCTGCATAAAATTATTTAATAAGTATGTTCATGGACTAGGACAAATTGAAATTTTATTAATGAACAATACCTTCTAAACTAAATATGATTGTTGCCTTATGCTTTCTGTTTCCTTGATTCCAAGACGTGTTTTTACAAACCAGACCTTCTCCCTTCAAAACCTTACATTTTACCGGTTCACTGAGCTCTCTTCAATTTTTGCGTGTGCTAATCTGTAAATCGGCAAATGAATTGTGTAGGGCATGCTCATGTATCTTGTTTTGTCAGGGATCATCAGCAGAGGATGGCTGTTTTCAATGGATTTGGAGATCCTTTTTCGAGCTTTGGTTTCCCTTCAACACGCCCTGCCATTGACAATGGAGATCGACGTGATAGATCTCTTCGTAACAATCAACAGCTAGCTCCCCATGACATGTTCGGCAGCATGTTTGGCAGCATGTTCGCAAACATGAACTCAATGATGGCAAATATGCACCAGAACTTTGTAAGTGGAGCTTATACAGAGAAGCTAACGGTAACCATTTGCTCTAACACTGGGGCTGTACATAAGAAAGCTTGCTTTCATTATTGACAGATGCTTGAAAAAGGCCCTTAGTGATTGCTGAACTTATATACAGTGTAAATTTCTTCCCTTTGTTCCTTGGTTCCTATAAGACAACTTGAAATGAGAATCTAGCAGTTTATTTGAAGTAAATTTGCAGGGTTGTCACTAAGATTTCAAGTTGCCGGGTAAATACAACAAGTAGGCAGTGAATCAAATGGCTAGGGATTTCTTTTGGTTCTATTTTTCTTCTTTTTTCCAATAAAAGTAGCCGGGGGCTACTCTCTTAGTAGCCGGGGAAAATCCCCGGCCCCCGGCTCTTAATGACAACCCTGAATTTGGGCTCTATTCCGGGCACCTCTTACAATTTATATTGCTTTTTTTAAATTCAGTTACAGTTAACAACAATTATACTTAATAATAATTATGGTAAAAATGTTTCATATTTGTTCATTTTGCTCCGTATTAGATACATTAAATTTCTAGAGTTTCTCCTTTGCCCGCAGTTGAAAACCCATATTTTTCGTGTTGATTTATTGTTCATTTTTGTACTGTGTGTTGTTGTTCATTCAGGAGCGAATGGCAAATGATCCCAACACATATAGCTATTCATCTTCAACTGTTATGAGTTACTCTAATGATGGCAGAGGGGAACCCAAGTACTTCCAAGCATCCAAATCAACCAAGCGTGCTCCAGGCGGAGTAAGTTCCTGTATATGTTTTTGAAATTTCTCTTCTCTCAGCTACATGTATATGTTGTGGTTCAATTTTATCCTTGGTTCAAATTTTCTTTTCTTTTGTTTTTGGGTATGGTAATGTATGATAATAACATGATAATGAGTTTGAAACAAAAGAAAAGAAAATTTGAACCAAGGATAAAATTGAACCACAACGTATACCTTTACAGTGATGTGCATGCTGTAGTGGTTTGATTATTTTGATTGACACATAGCAATCTGACACCTTTCAACATCAAATCAGTTCTGTTAATTGCCACAGAATGAATGAACTGTAGGCTTTTCGTTCAACACGTATCCTCCTTTTTCATGTTGTACTGGGTTCTTACAGAGTTGTGAATTCTTGAAAAATTCTGAAATTTGCCTGGCAATTTTTCAGATGTAAAAAAGTATAGAAATTACAGATGAAGTCTGGAAAATGGTAAAAAGTCTTGAGGTTTTTTTTTTTCAAAGCTATGACAAGTGCTTTATAAGTGAAATTTTCTTTTTAATTTGGTCAATTCTAATTCAATCTCAACCGTACGTTTGCAGTGCATTGTAAAAAAAGGTTTGTTCCTGCAGTTTTTAAGGTCCTTATTGATCACCTATTTGATGACCTCGAGTGTGGAAAACAAACTTATTGTTTTGGAAAAAGTCTGGAAAAGTCTTGAATTTTGGATCCAAAAATCTGTACGAATACTGAGCATAGCCCCACCATTTAATATACCAGTTATGAGGTATCAGTCTTGTTGCTTATCTTGTGAGATGAGCTTTGTTCCCAAGAATGTTTGAAGGAGCAATTTTAAAACTATTGTTCATCTATGTTCAAGAGTATCTCTATTTAAAAAGTTTACAGTAAACAGGCACATGCATAAAACACGTTATTTATTTTTCTTGTTGTCGTTTAGGTGAAAGAAACCCAGCATGCCGTGAGAGACTCAGAATCTGGGCTTCATCGGATGGCTATTGGTCATCACCTTGGTAAGTTCACTTATGAATTGAAGATTTTAAGTACTCTGTTGGAATAGCGCTTGAATAGATCTGTCATGTTGATGATCTGTCATGTTGTTGGAGGAGAAGTTTTCAAACTCTTTCTTATGCAGGGGTGGGAGGTATGGTGACAATTTAAATTGATGATTATTAAATGTTTTCATTTCTGTATCCTTCACAGGTGATCGTTCACACGTGATTGAGCAGTCAATGAATAGAAGAACTGGTGAGGAGGAAAGAAAGCAGGATTTTATCAACCTGGATGAAAGTGAGTGTTTTGATGTTGTTCTTTATGATACTTCATACAAATTTGTAAACTTAATGTTTCTTTTTTTAGGCCCCATGAGTATGGCAGGGGCGAGCGGGAGGGCGGGGTTTGGGGTACTATTAGAGGTACGCCAGGCAGCAAATGTTGTGCTTTTTTTACCCCATTTTGTCCAATTTTAGCCCTTTGAGTGTGACAAAGGTTCAGTTTTGAGCTACCAGGCTCTGGAACTGTGTATTATCATTTGACTCTTGGGAACTAGCATTTTCAGGGCTGAAATCACGGTCTTTTGGCGACCAGCTGCAGAAATATAGTTGCCAGATGCAAATTTTTAGTTGCCAGTTTGTGTAATCAAAAGAATATGTGGGATTAGGTGAAAGTTTCTAAAATCATCAATTGATTATCTGGTTGCACGGGACACATTCACCCAAGTAAGTAGCAAAATAGTAGATATGGGGATGTTGTATCACCTAGTGAAGTTTTTTGGAATTCAGTTACAGAAAAACTGTAATCAATTCTGATCGTCAAAACTTTTTGGGGGGGCCTGTTGAAATGATTCTTGGACTAGCACACATATGTGATAGCTACAGCCTGCCCAAAGGACAAACCTTTTTAAAAGCTGACTTTCTTTGCACCCTGATACATGTATGACATTTGAATCATCATTGAATGTATACCCCTGACTTATAACAGACGATGCTGCTGCTTTTGACCGAGAGTGGAGACAGCGAACAAAACAGTCATCACAAGGGCTAAGAGATAGGCATCGCCCCCATGTCAGAGCTCTTGGAGATACAGGTACTTTCTTGGAATTTGTCTGTACAGGGCTGACCTCGATTTAACGAACATCGATATAACGAAGTCCTTGATATAACAAACTATTTTCTTTACCTCAATACTGTAAAAGTAAAAAATATGAAAAAGAACCTCGATGTAACGAAACCTCGTTACAGCGAACAAATTTTGTCAGTCCCTTGGCCCTTCGTTAAATCGAAGTTAATACAGGTTTGACAAACCTAAGGGTTGTTCAAGAAAAATAAGATGGTGAAAGAGCAAAATATCTATCCCACAACCTAATGACCTAAAAGTGTTTGCACAGTTTGAGTTACCTCTGCTTGTGCCCAAAGAAAGGAAGTAAAAGCCTAATCTCGTACCCAGATCTCTTGTCAACAAAGCCAAGAGAACTGGGTAGGAGATTAGTAAAAGAGAGGGTTGTCCAATAGTCGGACAAATTTATGCATGGCATTGTATTGTATAGTGTTCACATTACAATACTGATCAAAAGCATAACAATAAAGAACGAAGCAAAACAATGAGAAATTTAACAAAGTCATGCACAAATTTGTTGAGCATTGGACAAGTATGTTAAAAAAAGTGCTAAACGCCAATATACAGTGTATCTGTTGCACTTGGTTTGTACATCTTGTCAGAGTGACCATTTAATAAAAGTGAAGACAATAAAAAATTGAGTCGTTGGGACCTCGGAAAAGGTTACTGCGACCGCTTAACAGAGTTGACGGCTTAGTACAGGTGCCCGCTTAGTACAGGTCTGCAGGGATCACACAGTCTTGAAAAGTCCTTGAATTTTAGGGGAAGTCCTTGAAAAGTCCTTGAATTCCGTTTTTCCTCGAGAAAGTCTTTAAATTTCTCTGCAAGTCCTAGAAAAGTCCTTGAATTTTCTTCAACTTTGAATGTAGTGGCCTGGAAAGTGTTTTTTGATGCTTTTTGGTTGTCTAAGACAGAATATAAATCATAGCTCAGAGAATTTAAAGGTTATTTATATAAAGTGCTCTATGTTTTATGCAATAATTAACTATTAGTTTGAGACAAGTGAACTGAAGAATGTAGGGAAGTTGGTGAAGCAAACAGTTATTAGAATAGACTGGGAATGTGCATTTTTGTACAATCTGTGAAATTATATTCCTTGAAGATGGTCCTTGAAGATCTAATGTGATCCTTGAAAAGTCCTTGAAAAATGGTTGCATTTTTTTGTATGAACCCCGGTCTGTTTTACAGTAATTAAGGGAAATGATTTCCTTAACTTTGTTATGTGACCGCTTATTAGAGGGTAATTTACTGTAGTCTGGTGCTGAGTTTTTTTCGTTAACATTGCTACAGATCACAGAACCGGACACGCCCATCATGTCCGCCATGCTGGAGTCGCACCTGCTGAGGAAGAGAGAAGTGTTCGACACAACAGAGTCGAACGGGAAAGGGACTGGGGCCAAGAGGACCATGCTGGGGTCGCTGAGAGGAGCCAGAGAAATAAATCTAAACGTGATAAGCACGTGAGACTGAACAGCCGGCCCGTGAACCGACACGAACCACGTTCCGACAAGCTGTAGACAACAGAAGTGACGTAAAATATACTTTATTATCAAAGAATTTTGACAGACTGCTGGATACTTAAGTGTGCTCGAATTTAAGTAAAAACAGCTTTGATTTACTTACTTCTTCAGTGCATTTCAGGCAGATTGAGATACATTAATGATAAAGATGCATAAGGATTAAATTATTAACATAGTTTAGTATGAAGAATTAGTTGTTGTACATGTTGTAAGCAACTCTCTTTTTAAGTACAGTGGAGTAAAACTAGTCGAAGATCCGGATGTGGAGTAAGTAAGCTTTCAGTTGTATCTTTGTGTATCGTTTTTTTTTTTTTTGCGTTTTGACTAAAGTGGTTTGTACTGCGCCAGTTTTCCTCTCGTTAAATATTTCATGCCTAATGTGAGACCGTGTACATGAAATCGAGTTTTTTGGTCAGCAAAATAAAGTGTTTCAGTAAAAGTTCTCCCAAATTAATATTGTTGCGGAAATGTTTTTTTAAATTTAACAAATTCTTCAAGGTTTCTTCGAATACCCTGAAGTCCGTTTAAAAGAATTTGGTCCCTCAAATGTGCTTAACTTTTTGGTACATTTTTACTGTGTCACTGTGTGAATCCAGCAGCGTTTTATTTCTGGTGTCTTGAAAGAGTATTCCTTAGAATACTAGATACGTAAGTACGGACCCAACACTGCGCGCCCCGTCTTCGAGCAAAAATGGTTGATTTTTCTGCTCAGCGGTCACCGATACATCAAAGTTCTGTTCGAGCTGCGCGTATTCAACGTATGCCTGACTAAAGTGAAAACACGACAACACAACACATGAAACATGAGCAACACGACAGACAAGGTTGTTGATATTCCTTTTATATTAATTTTAATTACATCTTTCTCGTGAAGAATTTTGTGCGCTATGCCCATAGGCAGTTTACCTGATTTCATGAAGGGTTCTTTTTGTTCTGTTTTCTTACACCATTTGGTAATTTAATTGTTTACTGGTACTGTTAGCTCTGCATTATTTTTTTCAGTGATGCCTGCCTGCGGCAATGAATCTACTGATAATACAGTGCAAGTAAAGCATTTGCGGTGCCAATAATGTTGCCCATTGTTCCTCGTAGATCTTCAACAAACTTTCCATTATAAGTGCTCTCGTTGTCAAATACCGCACGAATTTCTTTTCTCAAATCTTTCAGACATTTCTGCACATGCGCTATACGCGGCACGCTTGCCTTGCTGAGCCGCTGTACAGCTTGATTAAGGTCGCTAGTATTGCTGTTCAAACGAGGCGTGATTTCGTTGCAACCCTCTTTGACTGATCTTAACACAGGCACCCCACTGTGACCGCGCTCAGACTCGTGCAAGACTTGGATCCAGTCCTGCATGATAGCCACGACAAACAAAAGGTCATCGCGCTGTGTTTTCATTGGACTCTGCATCTTCTCCAGTCTCCCCACGGTCTTCTGAAGCTGTAGTTTGTTTGTGGCAATCATTTTCATTGACAGGGCGTGGCTCGTTTCCAGACCGTTTCCAGTGGCACCCAGCTGTCTTGAGTGAAGAGAGCTGCTTGATAATTCTGTTGCGACAGGCCCACTCATCTTATCTAGACGAAAAAATTCACTCATGTTTGGAATACATCTCTGGCGTTTGTAGGTTTTATACGCTCAAGATTTCCCATTTTGGTTGATATACTCATATGATGTTCCATATTCAAGTTTGTTTTCTGCGACATACACATCATTTGACTTAATTTACGTGACATAGTTGAATCGAAATAGACGAAATAAGGAGGCGCGATTATAGATCCTCTAGGAAAACACTAACCGTTCCTTTAATAAAGCCGATTGGGATTACCACTAACTTCTTAGTTCTTATTTAAATATTGAGAAAGGAAAATGTTTCTTGAGTTTAGATGTCGATGAAAATTAACCTAGTAGGCTAAAATACGATAATACGCCTATATTTGAAAAAATGCACATATTATATTACTGTAGATAAATTCGTTTGAAAAAATGAATCAAATACCTTCTAGTTTGTAAGCGTATATGTTGTCTTAACTGGCGTCGAAAATGTACTTCAAGGGTAGCTCGATTAAGCTCTGTTAGTAAGTAAATTCTAGGAGCAAAGGTAAAGCAATTCTTGTGAAAATTGAAAGGCTGTAAATAAATATCAGACTCTTTTCTCGATAGTACAGTGCTACACTCCCATAGTGTCTGTAGATTTAGCTTCCGACAAAGCGACCAATCAAAATCAAGATAATTTAGGCTGCGTCTTAAGCACCTTAAATAAAAGCCTTTCAAATAATCGATTAAATATGCAAATACTTTGAAAGGGTTTTCAGAAGTGTGTACTAAGGTAGTAGCCTAAATATTGAAAGATGATATATTTCTTTTTATCTCTCTTGGATTTTATGAAAATAAAAAATTGCGTCGGTTTGTTTAAAAAAGAACTACAAATTCACTGCCTTTCAAACTTTGCTTCGCTGGTTTCCAGATGACATTGATATGATGGAAAAATTAACCAAAACAAAAAACATTTTGGCATACTTATTATTTTTTTTTGCTGGATATGTAATAAATATTTAATAACAAAGTTATTAACCCCTCTAAGAAAGCCATTCTAAACAGCAACATTATCCAGCAAACTTTCAATAAAACGAAAGAGTAAGGGATATGAAATAAAGCAAGTACGAATTCTAGACGAATTCAGTTCAGTTACGTTATAAAAGGCTGAAGCTTACGATAACAAAAGAAAAGCCATATTTAATTCTTTCACCTGCATGACGCCTTCTAACCAATCATATTAACCTGAGCGTCTATACAATTATGAATTGACTCGCAGTAGATGCCTTGCCATTTACTATTTAGCATTTGTGTCGCCTCTGGGCTTTTTGATGTCTGGCAGCGCCCCTGTACCTCTAACAAAACAAGAAACGATGAAATCGCTTTGTTTTGTAGCCGAGTGCTGAAAAGAAAGTGGTCGCCGTTTCTTCGTATAAAAGGTAGGTTAAACACACAATCCGCCGACTCCAGAAACAAAATCTCTTGACTATTTTCTTAGAGGAATTTTTTTAAATCATCAGTTATATGTATTTTGAAATAGTTAACTTGCAAAGAACAGCCCAAGCGATGAAATTGTTGGAAATCCATATCGGTGATCATGTTGCTTCCCGCATGGCGATCCAAAGAAATGAGACAAAATGCAATTCCAAAATTGACCACAATAACAGGGTACAAATTCATTCTACGTTTTATTCGACCCACGGCATTTCCATGGATTTTTTTTTTACAAAAATAAAAAAAATATATAAATATGTATTTCTCTAAATCTTGTATCATAGTCAGGATCGACTGTCAGAATATGAATTTTGTTCTTTATTAATCTGATTGTGAATCGTAAAATATATGCAAATTACCCAATACAGAACTGAAACGTCTGATCTGTTATTATCACGTTTCGCACGTTTTTGGTGCTAACATTTTTTTTTGCACTTTTACCCTGCTGAAACAGCTATAGTTCAAAGCATTTATTTTGTCTTTCTTTTCTTGTCTTTCTTTCTTTCTTTTATTTTTCCTTTGCAATAAGCAACTACCATTTGCAATTTTTAAATGCCCCAAAATCTACTTTCCCAAAGTAGCTCGAGTGGAGAATTTGCAAAGGTGACATGCTAACGATCTAATTTTTTGCTCAAATTAGTTTAAAAAGGCGCCCTTCATTTTCGTGCGCAAAAACTACTGCTAAGGGTCTATATGATTTCCATATAAAAAGTAGTAAATAACATATAGTTAACATGAATCACTATTTTTCCTTCCTTTTTTTCTCCTCTTTTCCTATTTCCTTTTCCTTTTTCTCTTTTCTTTTCCTTTTTTGGCCTAGAAACATTACATGCTTTGTTTCAATAATATCTTGGGACAACTTTGCTTTTTTGTAAATTTATTCGCACGTGAAACATATGCACTAAGAACGGAATTTTCCACGCCACTTATTTTTTCAATATATGTTGGTATGCGTATTAATATTCTACATCTATTTTCCTTTCTCTAAATGTAGGAGCGTCTACTCGCTGTAGCAATTTAGAATGGAGACCCCGATTTACGTGAACGGTACAAGCTCTTTTAGCGGGAAGAGTGTCTCGCTTAAGCGAGTTCTTAATCATAAGCAGGAACTACAAAAGGAGATCTCTGACCTAGAAAAGCTTCAGAAAACGTTACTTCAACAACGTCAAGACCTCGAGTTCCTCAATGAAAGTATAAAGAAATGGGCGCATGATTTTGACAAGATTGAGCGTAACAGCCAAGGTGTACCTTTCGTTAGGAATGTCAAAGAAATTTGTTTTCAGATAGAAACTCATCTAAACGACATTCATGGGGATTTCTATTTCAGAATGCAAAATCTGGTCACTGCTGATGTTCCCTGCTTTCAACAAGTTTATGAAGCTCTCGAATTGTTGAAAAAACAAGTGTCAAAAATTTTGAACGATGACGCCGCTTACAAAGCCTCTTTTATCGAAGAAATTCGACAGCTTCTTGGTCGACTAACAGGAATCACTGATACTATGATGGATATTTATTTTGAGCAATAAATCCCCACAAAGGAAAAAGATATCAACCGATGCAAACTGTGAAGTCGAATTGAAAATTTTCTTAACTGAAAAAAAGACATTTTCATATTGTAAGCTTATATGTTTCTAAGCCTTTGTTGTGTTCCGTTGACTGTATTTTATGTAATCAATTTTCCTGTAATTCCAATGGAAATGACAAACATTTATTTATATTTAGTTCAGGAGTCCATCCTGTTTAGTTCATTTTTTCATTCAGATAGAAATAAGTTGAGAACCGAACTCTAGAAGTCTGAACTTTAATGTACAGGCAGAAAGAAAATCTTGACCTCCTTTGCTCGGCTTGTTTGAAAACTAATTAAAATCACCATACTTGGCGTTTCACCTCAAAAACTTAGATTGGTAAGATGCTCTACTTTTTAGTTATTATATAGAAAAATATTCACACTGAAAACATGTAATTTCTTGCAGTTCTAGGTTGTTGATAATTGTAGAAATGATGTTTTAGAAAGAACTCTTTGTGTTGTAAATTAATGACTGCTTATTGTATTTGGGCGAAATAAACTCCCAAAAATAATAAAGGTATAGTTAAACGTAGATAAAATAACTCTTTAAGTTGTGTAAACTCGATAGTGAGATGAACACAAAACTTCACTGATGACAATGACAATAAAAGTTTGTTAAAAGTGATATATGAGAGTATGACGGGTGACTCAGATCGACAATGTTCGTGCACTACTTGAATCTCCGTTTCCTGCAGACATTAAAATATTGTCCTTATTGAAATAACTCGCAAATTAACACTACCTTCACAAACAAAAAAACAAATAAATCATTAATTTTTGTTTATTTTCGTTTGTTCAATATTTTTAAACTTACAATTTACAGAATTTGTTTTACTTTGCAGTTAAAGTGACATATTTTGTTTGCATTCAATTCTGTACTTGAATTTATACAATTCGATTTCTTTCGAAATCACAATGCGCTCATGTGTAAAATGACAAACAAAAAATAAATAATGAATGCAGATACTGAGCGAAGAGATCACAGACGTTCATCGAACTCTTAGTTCAATTAAAAGAAATTTCCTGATGACTATATATGGCAAGCTTTACCATGGTCATATTGTACAACAAATAATAGAATATTGTCTGTGAAATTTGAAATCAAACCAATACTTCGGCGAACAAATTCAAATACGTTTAAGTCAGATTCTCGTGCACCTGCTCGGATGCCTAATCCAATCATCTTACGGATTTGGAAATTCTGACCCAATCAGATTTCAGCCGCCGATTTGTCATATTTTGCATGAAATTTGGGTGGGTCGTCAGCGAAGCTTTTTGGTCTGAAAAAATATTCTACTTGTATAGTGTTTCCGAAATCTCATGCCGGTGAAATAAACTAACTTGTTTGTGAAAATCCCAACGATACCAGGAGCTTTTGGTCTCGACTGTTAAGGTAAGCATTTTAAACCGACGCATACTGTATATCCTTGTTAATATTACTGTAACGCTGGTTTGTATGTAACCAATTTCATAGCTCTCTTCCTTAGCATCATGTATGATATTAAACTTTGAAATAAATGAAAAACCGAAAATTAAAACTTCTGCTATCCTCCTCATTCGCGGTATTGATCATGACTACAAACATAAATAGCAACCAAAAAAAAGCGACATTTTACACATTTTTAAATTTAAGTTTGTTTTATTTTCGCTTTAGTTTATGCGTGCAAAGATCGCAAATCTTTTGCTAGATATGCTAATTAAAATCAGCTGTTCTCGAAACCCTCAAAGAGCATGCCCGAAACATTAATCTTACCCATGCCACAATGCACTTTCAATATTCTCGACCCCAGTCAACGCTTCCGACTCCCTGAGTAATGGGCATTAGAGAAGAGCCCTGGGGTAGAGAATGCAGTTTCAATCTCCGTGTCCAGGGGCTGCGATCCGTTTGGTCAGCACCAGGGTTTTGAAAGCTCTGAGGACGACATCGATCTAGTTTTGTCAGTTTGCTCATGTTTTACTAATGTATTTATTCTCACCTTGTTTGGGAATGGCTGGAAGAACTCAAGGAAAATTTTGGCTATAAACTTTGGCATAAAATGCGCTTTCCTTCGACTTTAATTTGCAAACGTTGAATACGGTTTAGTTTTTAATACAATCGTGGGAAATGCTCGGACCGGACAGTCACTCTCTCTGCTTAACCTTTCTAAATTTTGAGTTGTTTTTAAACTCTCAAAGGTTCTTGTATCGGCCACCTAAGCCGCGAGTACTGATGGCTTTGTCTTTTTTATAGGAATGTCGAAAGAAGGGATAAACGAGAATAAAGAACTTACGACCCGCATCGAGAAGTTGTCGATAACTTCAATCAACAAAAACACCAAGCTGTTCAAGTCACAAATAAGAGAACTGGAAAAGCAATATGATACAATGCAGCAACAACTAGAGGACCTGCATTTTATTCTGGATGTTGTCTTGAAATGGGACGAGGACTTCAAAAAAGTGGTGCGATTCAGCCAGGGCGTGCCTCATACGAGGAACACAAAGGAAATATGTGCCAATATCAAAACAGCCATGATACCAAGCAGCGAGTTTGACCGAACCGTTCAGATTTTGGTCAAGGAAGGGGTACCTTGCTTCAAGCGAGCCACTTCGCTCTTGGAAAAGCTAAAGTCGCGCCTCGACGAGAGATCGCCAAATGCGAAGTTCTCCGAGGAGATTCGCCAACTTCTCGGGGAATTGATTGGAACTTTGAGCACGATTATGAACTTCTTTTATGATCAAGAATCTTAGACTGTTGTCATGGTGATTATGATCCATAAATATCCCTGTTTTAAAGATTGTTTTGTATTAGTTTAAGAAATGAATGCTGTAACAAAAATGACCGGTTCGGAACTGTAAAAGGTCAGTTGAATTACCTAAAAGGATGAGTACGAAGTTAACGTTAAATAATGCCGTTATTCAAAACGATCGCGAAAATAAAGAATTAAAACGTAATTACTTAATGCACGCTGACAACGCTTGCAACGCCGACTACTGGCGCTCTCATCCATCCACACTTGCCTGTCCAAATTAAATGGCTGGCATCACGTCACCGTTTTCAGCTAAATGGGGCAAAGGTTATTTTGAAAATCACTATATCAGCAATCACATTCACGCGATCACGAAACAAAAGCGGTTTCGACTGAGACTATTGTTAAGGCCCGTTTCAAACGTAGTGCTACTGCCGTGCCGAACTCAATTGATCGAATTAAATTCGACTTTAGCACGGCAGTAGCGCGATGTTTGAAACCAAGTCGTGCTACTGCCGTGTAGCACGGCAAGTACACGGCAGTAGCTCGACTTGGTTTCAAACGTCTTGCTGCCGCCGTGCCGAACTCAATTCATAAATTATAAATACATTAAAATATATTTAAAAGTTTGCTAAACCGTTTCTTTGTTTTTGCGTTTTGTTTTTGGCAACAGCCGTTCCATTCGACTGTCATTGTGTGAATTAAATTCGACGTCTAAAACCAAGTCGTGCTAGTGTCGTGCTGCAGTCGAGCTACAGTCGAGCCAGCTTAGCACGGCAGTAGCACGACGTTTGAAACAGGCCTAAGACTCCTCGCCCTCTAATAGGAAGCCCCCCTCACTTTAAGTCCACCCGGAACGTCAGCCCTCCCTCGACTGCCCCCTTACCGTCTTATAACTGCTTATAGGCTCTTTAAAATTAATTTCTTGTGACGACCACCCACTTTTTGGGGAGACAGCTTTGAAATCTTTCCAGTAGTAAGTGACCACTTGACATATGTTCTGATCTCAACGTTAGCTGTGTTTTTACGACGCCACTTAAAGTATACCAATACCTTTTAGAGACAACACGGATCTTAGCTGCACGCAGTAAATTCTCCTTAAAAAAGAAATGTATCGGGAACTCTACTCAGAAAAAGACCCTTGTGGTTCGATTCTCAGTTATAGCTTGCGTTGTAGGCGAACACCCTCCAGAGGGGACCACTGAATCGTCGCACTTTAGGTGGCCTGGTGGTCGCTTAAGGAAGGTTCGACTGTAGTTTACTATATTGTTTGATGTGAAACCCTACCTTAGACACTTAAAACAAAAGTATCTACTGTTTTCAGATTTAACCCCCTTTCATATTGTAGCTTCCCACCTATAATTATTTGTGAGCATGGAGGCCAAAAACATTGATGACAGTGCCCGATCCACACCTTGAGATAAGAGGGGGGGGGGGGGACGGTCTCAAAACATTTATTCGGCCCTTCAGGCCTCAGTTCGGTCTAAAGGTCGGTACACACTAGGCGACAAGTTGCAGCAACACGTCGCAGCGACATATCACTCCATGTGTACAGGTCGGGCGACTAGTTGCAGCAACAAGGTGAGGCGACCCGTCGCAGCGACAAATCGCTTCGTGTGTACTGGAGAATTTTTGTAAAAATCTTTGTCTCCGCAGCAAAATTTTGTCGCTGCAACAAGTCGCAAAAAATCAAATCAGACTGAATCTGTGCGACTTGTTGCGGCGACAAAATTCTGTTGCAGCGACAAAGATTTTCACAAATTTCTCCAGTACACACGAAGCGATTTGTCGCTGCAACGTGTCGCCGCGACATGTTGCTGCAACTTGCCGCCTGGTGTGTACCCACATGGATCCGCCACTGGATGAGAAACAATCTTTGAAAGACTAACTGATCTTCTCTTTAAAAAAAGTCTTCATTTTTGAGAGTTTTTGCCCCTATTTTAATGTACAAGAAGAAGGGAATGCACTCAAATAACGCAGCTATGAAAAACAACTCTCTCTTTCAACCAGGCCAGTATCACTTGGTATGATATGGTCTCTATCCTGTGCTGTCTATCAATCCAACGAATAAAAATTATAGCCATAAAAAAGGGCCTTTTTTAAACACCTGTTGCGTGGTGCTTTGTTCACTGGTTGCCATCAAAATATAAAGAGCGACAAAGGTGTTCCGAACCGCAGCTGTAGTGGCAACAAGCGTGACTTAATCTGACTAACAAATATGTTTCTTGCATTTGAATAAAATTGTTATCTTTACTGATTTGTGTTAATCTCCTATAATTATTGCATATTTCGCAGAACATAAGTCGAGTCCACAAGAATAAGCTGGATGATTACTAAAAACCGCACTAGAGATAGGCTTAAATGAGGATAAGCAAAAAATTCTAATTAGCTTTTATTATTTTACATTTTACATGTACATCTGCTGCGGACGTTTGTTGACCAGACAAAAGACTCACTATTTTTGTCTACTTGACCGAGAAACAATATTTAATTGATTACATTGTGATATTTTTTATTATACACCTGAAACGTAAAAAATCTTCCTGAAGTATTGGTGGTAGAGGTAGAACGAGCTGTCGTGACTTTATCAAGTTCAACTGACTAGCTAACTGTCAAAATAGCGCGTGGATCCTTCCGCCGCCGCCAGTGGGTTGTCTGTTATCTTTGACACTAATCATAATTTGTCGCGGGTTCAATGAACAGGAACGAGCACAGACGAAGAAATGGAGATGAACTATCATTTGCTCTTTAAAATTCTGCTTGTTGGAGATGTAGAAGTGGGAAGATCTGCTCTACCACATCCCACAGCGTCTGAGACTCCCTCTTCGACGCCAAATATTGGAGTTGAATTCCTGAAAAAGACCTTAGAAATCGGTGAGTACAAAAGATGGAGCTGCGACACTATTTGTGCCTTTATAATGCCTTTGATAATGATTTACAAACAACTCGGCAATTCAGGCAACTGTTTTTGCTCTACTTGTGGTTTTATTTGTATTTTTATCAGTTCGAATAACGAATTGCCCGGTTATGAGGAAACGCGAGTACAATAAAACAACAGTTGTTAATCAGACGGGCGGGAAGTTGGTTCGATAGCGGATGTGTTAGCGTTGCGTGTTTAGTTTACATGTAAAGATTAGTGTCACCTCATGCATTTCTGGCATTTCTGAGTTCGCTTTTACAATCTCCAGAAAGAAAGAAAATCAAACTACAAATATGGAACGTAACAGGTCAAGAAAGGTAAGTCTACCAAATGTTTTATTTCCTCTGAATTATATATCGCTGAACATCTAGCCAACGGGCTCGAGGGTGGACTGGGGCAAAAGTGGATGAACTAGATTGCGCAATGCTGATTTTTAACACAGGTCACCCAAGGTCAATTTAAGAAAACGAACGTGACTCTGGCGTCATAATCAGGTCATTTCTTTATGATGATGTCATCATCAGCAGCATCATCATCAGCATCAAATCCTTTATTTAAAAACGATAAGAATTCAAAATTAATTGATGCACCCTGTCAGGTCGGGTCGTGCGATAAACAGAATAAAAGTTAAAATTGGATCACTGACAATACAAAATTACAAACGATTGCCCTAAGAATGATATTGGTCAAGAAATTAAGAGGAGGCACAGAAAAAACTCTTCTTAAGGCACTTAACGTAAATTGCTCCCGTCATTTTTAACACGCGAGTTCCGGCTTCTTTTATAGCTTTCTTTGCCTGTTACAGGCGTTCAAATAGTTGGGAGCGTCGTAAATTAAAGAGGGGAGGACGAGGGAGAGCGGCCAAGGAACGGTGTTCCCTCCCTCTCCTCTCCCCCCCCCCCCCTCCCTCGTTTTCAATTGTTACTTTGCGCCGTTCTCAACATTTGAAAACCTGGAACAGGCTACAGCTTCCTTTACTTGCAAGCTCGGTAGGGCACAATAGGGGGTATACTAGTCCGCTTGAAGTAATTTAACCTCGGTTAGTAACGTCTACGAAACATCGCCGAGATCCTTGTTCTCAGGTCCCCAACGGACACAGCGAATTACCGGAAGTGTGTTTCGATTTTCCTTTCATCCTGGGCCCAGTTGTTCGAAGGCCGATTAGCGCTAACCCAGGGTTAAATTTTAACCCTGGGCCGGGTTGTTCGAAGCTGGGTTAAGATAACCCAGAGTTAGTGCGAACTTTGAACTCAGATATTAGAGCTTAAAATTCAAATTCAGTTTAATTCTCTTTGCCTACAATTTGATGATTGGATACTCTAAAAAGAATAGAGAAAATTATCCGAGAGAGTGCTTTTGATAACAAGAAAAAGAAAGCCAGGTTAAAATTTAACCCCGGTTAGTGCTGACCGGCGTTCGAACAACTGGGCCCTTGTCTCTGTTTTTTTTTTTTTTTTTTCATCAAAAGCATTTTCTCGGACAATTTTCTCCATTCTTTTTAGAGTAGCCAATCATCAAATTGTTGACAAAAAGAATTAAACTGAATTTTGCTTTTTAAGATTTCATATCTGAATTCAAATTTCGAACTACCCCTTAACCCAGCTTTGAACAACCCGGCCCAGGTTGACAAATCGACAATTGCTTTTATTAACAGGCCAGTCATGGCCCGTACTCCAATCCTGGTAAACAGCTGGGGGCCCTGAGCAAGGATTTCGGGGCTGTTTCGCAGACGGACTTAATCAGAGTTTAGTTTAGACTACGGGGCAGGCGAGGGGTATAACTTATACCAGAGGTTCTAAGTAACAGACTGACAGCCACTAGAACTAGTCATGAGAGAGATTAATAACGTTTATTATTCATTCAAAACATTTCCCCAATTCTGATTGGCTAAAAGCACAGGCATAATACACCATAACCAGTTACTGATGACAAAATTTGGAAGAATTTTGTGTTTAACGAGGAAATGACGTCAAAAATGCAGCCTTTTACCGGTTAATGCACCGTTAACCGAGAAGATCTGGGAACGAGGTTGAGTTGTTTTCGTTGTGAAAACTAAAATGGGGGACACTTCACTCGTTTCAAGAGTAAGAACTACAGCTGGAACTAGGCGAAATAATGGCTGAAAACATAGCAAAAACAGCAAGAAGACAACTCGGAGTGCGACACGTCTGCTATTTGGAGAATATTTGCGGAGCTGGACAAACCTAAACGTACACCATCGAAGATAAACTTAACATCGATGCAGGTAAGCATGTTTAAGCTATGCTTTTAAAGAGGGAATTATTTTGAATGAATAATAAAGCAATTAATGAATTCGGCTTTCGTAGGATATGAAGAATTAAGCAGATCTCGGAGGCCGAGGTGGATAGCACCCTCCTCGATCTGCCTAATTCTTCATATCCTACGAACGCCGAATTCATTAATAGGGAGCTTAAGCAAAGGCGTTTTTGAGCGACGGACGTCAACCGGAAGTGAGGTATTTTCCCTCTTAACATGCCTTGATGATATAAAATTTGTATTCCTTAGCTTCTTTACTGTTATAGAGGAGATTTGACTGAAAATTTGAGCGAAACCACCGTCAAAAAATCAAAAAAGGCCACTTCCGGTTGACGTGCGTCGCTCAAAAACGTTGTTGCTTAAGCTCCCTAATCGCTAATTACGCCAAACGGCAAGCATGAATTTGCACCACGTGACCAAGTTTAATTGTCGTTTACTGTTAATTACTTATACTCAAAAATAAGTAGTTTCACGCCAGTTGTATCCATAAGAATTGCTCTGAGCCGTTTTTATCTGCTCAGTTTCTATTCTGAGAAATTCTCAACTTGAATCTGACGTTTGCCATAAACGTGACTCTTAGTCTTTCTATTACTACGGGCTCCACTCTCGCGTAAATATAACTCAAAAATACTTTTTAAATTTAGCTCCCAGGCCTTGACTCCAAGTTATTACCACGGCACACTTGGCTTTATCCTCGTGTATGACATCACAGATGACGCATCTTTTAACCGCATCAGTAATTGGTTAAGCATCATCGAACAGAACGCCAGTGAAAAAGACTTTCAAAAACTACTGTTTGCAAACAAGTCGCGCTGCTGGTGCGAAGAGTTAAGGACAGTCACTACGGAGAGAGGAGAACTATATGCTCGAGAACATGGAATGAGATTTTTTGAGTCAGATAACCTGGATCAGGCCATAAGTTTGATAACACAAGACATCTTAAAGAAAGATCAAGAACAGCCCGCAATGAAACTGCTCTGTGACATTAATAAATAATTAATGATATTTTGAAATGTAGACTACGAGTAGTCCCCCATACATTTTTCTCTCTCCCCGCCGCGTGAGGCCTTTTCTCGCGTGGGGTGATTTTCACGCACGCTCGCGTTTCGCTCGCTCTACTACCCCGAGGAAAAATGGGGGACTACTCGTAGTCTATTTGAAATGCAACGGATAGGTAGTGGTATCAGGTAAAAGGAAGATCTATGTATCTATCAAAAACTATCTAAAGTAACTTGAAGGTGTTTTTATTTAACATCAGCGGCTCCTCATACTAGATATTAAAACAATTGTTAAAAAGACTTCTACAGTGGAACCTCGATACAGTGAAGGGCCAAGAGACTGATAAAATGTATTCGCTGTAAGGAGGTTCTTTTCCATATATTTTACTATTACTGGGGTTAGCTAAGGAATATTTACCAATTATTCCTCGAGCCCGAATAGAGTCTGACTCAATAGCCCCGAGGTCGAAGTAGTTTTAGTAAAATCCAACTAGTTCGTCAAAAATATCGAGACAAAACAACTTTAGCTAGCAAAACGCTATTCAGCTGCCATTGTTTTGGTTTTCAAAGCCGGCGCTTTTCGCTACTAGCGGGCTATAACATATAGTCTAGTAGTAGCTCAACAAATCAGAACACAGCATTGATAATAGACCGCCATGCCAGTTGAATGTTACTAACGTTTGTTGTACCGAGAGCTTCGTTATATAGAGGTTCGCTAAATCGACGTTACACTGTACAGGGTCAGACCTTTACCTGAGAAAAAAGAAACGACATTTCACAATGGCACTAATGGTTTCCCAGCGAAATGACTTCCGAGAAACGAGCGTAGAAATTCCGTACTGATGACGCGTCACTATTCCGATCTCGGAAGTGCTTCTCATTGGTCGTGCGGCGTGGAAAATTTGTTTCAGCCAATCAGAAGCGCTACCCAAATCTGGGTGGTGATACGTCGTTAGTATGGAATTTCTGCGCTAGTTTCTCAAACGTCATTTGCGGGGAAACCACTAGTGGCGTAGTGAAATGCCGGCTGTTCTCTCAAGCTATTTATTTTAAACATTGTTTGCCGGTGCAGTTTTATGTGTGAAATCATGAAGATGAATTCATTCTTTCATCTAAAAATACTGATGCATCAGTCAATGAAATTCCGGACTCCGGAAAAAAGCAGGGTTTAAGCACGTCCAAAGCAGGGACTTGATGTACAAGTAACAACGCTAAATTTGGCCTTAAGAAGCGGAGCAATGAAGAAAATGTACGTCTGTTTACAGATGTTACTGAATTTATGTAGCAATCACAATATTATATAGATGGAGAATGTCGCAATAAAAATTGTTTAAAAGGGAGAGGCGGAAATGACGTACAACAAAAACTGGAAAGGAAAAATGCTAAGGATATGAATTACAATAATTACGTCTGTTTAATCAGAGTCCATACACACCCTATTCCATAGGTAATTCGTCTCGAGTTATTTTTAGAATCGGGATACAGTTACCTCGCGCGCTGCGTGGATGTTTCGTGGAGGTTTCGCATGACTAAACGCCGTGCAAAACATGTCGGGCGAAAGGCAATGAAAGCGTAAAGAGATCGAGAGCATTTCTAAATATTGAAGCGAAATGAGTCGGCGCTCACCTGGGAAAACCCGTGAAATCAGTTTAACTCGAAGTTGTCTTAACCTCAGTGCTTTAATAAAATGAGAAATTTCGACGGTCTATTGAAACCGGTCGTTTGTATAATAAAGCAAGTAGGACGCAAAGTGTTATTTTTGTTGAATAATAAAGGACTAATAAAAGAATAAATATCAACCAGAAATTTCTCTCTTCAAACTGTAAATTATAAATGATCCTGAGAGAATAGCAGGATTTCCCTGCTGTACTGTTAGCTCTATACAAGAGAGGAAGGGCGATTCTTTTTTAATTTCCGTTTCGCTGACACAGCTTTAGCAGAAATCACTCTTTAGTCGTTTTCGTCGACAAAGCGAATAGCAATATCGCTCTCCGCGTCTTGCGCCAGTTTTTTCTGCGTCAATTCGTGAAGGACGCGTGGCTCTGAGCGTGGGTCATCCACGCGGAACACATTCGCGCTATGTGATTGGCTGTTGTCTAATCCCCCTCGCGGGGATCTGTGGTCTTAAAAATAACTGGAGACGAATTACCTATGGAATAGGGTGTGTAAGGGGGACGCCTTTTCTGTTGCCTTTATCCTCTCTTGGTTTTGGTCAATGCATGCAGTAACGGGCGTGAATTGAAATTGGATGTAACAGCCGTAAATAGTAAAACACGACTGTAGATTAAGTGTGTGGTAAACTTCGCAATTGGGAATTGGGTGAAGGGTCACTTTCACAATATGCAAAATTTATAGGGAGTCATTTCCGAAAAAAAACTAGGATGAAATGAATTGGGGGTCGCCTTGAAAATCATGGTAAATTATTGTAATTATTTATTTGGGGGGTAGGAGTAAAGTTTTGATACACTACACTTTACTGAAACCACCCCATCCCCTAAGACGTAATAAACGCTCGGTCCATAATTTTGCGGACATTTCAAATTTCGAAAGCGCTAGAACCGACATAAAACAAAATAGTTTTATAATAATCAGAAAATGCGATATCGCAAAGTGTGACCCACCTAACATTAACAAAAAGTAAAAAAAAAAAATGAAAAGTAACACGAATAGCAAATGTTAATTACAATGACACGAATTGAACAAAACGGCTTAGTCTCGAACGTTTATGCTCAAGTTCCATCTTATATGTAAGTTGTAACAAGGCATTTTTCGCCTTTTGTTGCCACAAGTTCTTACTCTCTATCTAAAAATGGAGGTGTTTCTGGCAAGAGCTTTGAAGTATGCAACTTGCTTCGCCTAAATATGTCCATAATAATAAACAAGAGCCACTATAGTTCTTGAAAATATCATCTATAACTTTGGTTTTAAAATTCAACCTCTCGACCAAATTTGTTTTGCTAGTCGAAAGAAAATTTTCTTGAATGCCATGTACACCAAAAATTGGCTTTCTAGCTTAACTCACTTAATTGCATATGCCTGAATTCAAAATATATCCAAGCAGCCATAAAAAAGACAAAAATAACAGAACAAAAATCACCTACGTATGTGTTAACTTGATTTTCCCACCTTCGCTAGCATCAGGAAACGTGAAATTAAGCTTAAGAAGGCAAACAGATCAATAAACACTCGGAAAGTTTCGCTTGTATTGAAACTTTGTTTTTCTCCCAAAGGTTACATCACAAAGTAAAACTGGCCGGACCAAGGACCACAAACTGTACATTGAACAAAGTGAGCGAGTTGGGATAATCGCGCTGAAATTTTGAAGAACGCGCTAAAAGCCACTATTTAAGTGACTTTTTCGCCGTCGCGTTAAACTCCCTATTTAGAGCGAACGAAATGCTTACTGAGCCGTGACGGAGAACAATGCCTCAAAAATTCGTCACTCGCCTCAGGCCAAAAATGTCACTGCCTAAGATATAAATTCTGCATTTTTAAAAATCTTTAAAAAATTCAGATTAAGCTAAAATCGAAAACAAAACTGCGGCATCGTTTTCTACAACTTTTCTATTTTTATTCTAGACAAAAACTAATTTGCGGTGATGTGCACTTGAAATTTGGACTCGTCAAAATGCTTCTAGGGCCTACTAAATTACTATGCGATTGACCTTTGAATGATTATATATTGTTTTAAGTTAGTAGAATGAGTTGATAGTTTTGCTAACAAGTTTTTCAAAAATCCAGTTATGTACGTAATTGCGCATTCTGCAAAACGTTCGCTGATTTTCGGATTCTTAGCAAGGCCACCAGTGACTAAATTTGATTTAACTAAAAAATTATTGCGTTATTTGCTTATATTTGCCCTATGGAAGGAGCGTTCCATGAAGGTTACAAACCAGCTGCCTAGGAGATAGTTTCATTTATTTATTATGATTCTATTATAACTTATACTCTTTTGGCTTCTTTACGCGTATGTCAGTTACGGACAAAATGAGAGCGCGACATTTAAGAGTAGCATTTGTTTTATTGTTGGTTACCGTCGTATTGTTATATGTTGGAAAAAGCAGACATCCCTCTGAGTACCTACGTATCTTTTCAGCTAAGTTTTCGACTCGCTTTAAACAGGAGGCAAATGTTGAAGAATCAGAGGAGGCAGCCGCAAAGTCTAAAAGCCCCTTAGATGAGTTTGAAGTTTATCTGCGATATACTTCGTCAATTAAACAGTTTCCTCTTCAAGCTGAAAGTTGGATCTTACGAAGCATGTCGTTATTTTGGCCGAAGAATTCAAAAGTTGTTGTCGTCTTAGATAAAGAAAGTGAAGAAGACAGAAAATACGGTTCTACACTGAATGAGACAACGCAGAATAAAAAGCTAGATTTACGAGTTTGTTACATGGAACCATATCCTCAAGAGATGATTCATCACTGGGGCAAAATGCGGATGTATATGGACATGATGCATGCTGATCTATGTACTAATGCCACGTATGTTGGTCTGGTTGATGTAGACACACTATTCACGACAGCAGTTACGCCAAGCTTAATTCTGGAAGATGGGAAACCTGTGGTAACGGGAAGAATCGGAGACCCTAGAATTCCCTGCTGGATTGAAAGTGCTGCCTATATACTTGGTCGAAAGCAAGTCATGCAGTGTATGCATTATTTCCCCGTGACATTCAAAACGGCACATATCAGAGAATTTCGTCAGTATGTGGCTATATTGCACGGTAAAGACTTTAAACAAGTTATTTCTGAAACAACCTACAAACTCAATATACATTGGTCGTGTTACTGCCATTATAGTACCATGTGCAACTACATGTGGTACTACCACAGAAATGAATACGCATGGCATTTGCAGTATGTCAAACCGACTCGTCCATTGAACGCATCAGTACCGTATGACTATTTCTTCACTGAAGTCAAGCCAGAGGAAAAGATTCCACATCCACGTTCTTCGATACATGTACGCCACTTCATGCTCAATGGAAAATACATGGATGCAAGAGAACCAACGGTACGTTTCGTCAATGACACATTGGTTGAAGGCCTATGTTATTCTTTTGGAATAAAACTCTGTGGCGATCTATGCAGGGAATATAATCAAACTAACATTCATGTCAACTTGTTCAATTTCGAAAACTATGATTGGTTATGGGATAGTCGCTGTATGGAAAAACAAATCGAGCATTACAAAAATGTCGCAGATCTTTTCAACAAAACGTTTTTCTATATGGACTCGAGTGAGGAAATATGCCGAGCTATAGCATCTCTTAAATCGTAAAAACGCCAGTGTAATTATATCCAACCAGGTGCGGATGCAGGTAATTTTAAAGGATTCTCTTATACTCTCTTTTAAGTAACAGATGGTTTTCACAGTGACGTCATCAAATTGTAAAGTCAAAATAGCCAGGTTTTACGAATTGTTATTAACACTAGGTTAAAGACAAGCAAAAAGTAAATCTTTCTACATGTTTACATTCCCTTAGCCTGTTTTATTTCGAAAATACAGCAATTTGAACCTCCGAGTTTTCACAGTGCGTGACACCAAAATAGGAATGCTGTCTCAGGAAAAAAGTCTCTGCTCTTGATTTTCAGCAGCATAACTATTTCAAGTATTAGAAGATATGTTTATGCGCCCCTGTACTAGTTCTCGAATGAAAAGAAAGAGCTTTTATAGAAAAAGTGAACTCCAGATGTTTTTGTTGATTTCCAGCTGCCATACTGGTGCACCAAAACGGTACACCAATATGGTGTCTACATACAAAGCTCTACAAAGGTGCGTGAAACGTTTCGGCGAATAACTGGGAAACTTTGGGCGCGGCCACAAAGACCTGAGACTTGAACAAATTGTTTATATATTAGTCTTTATAACATTTCATTTTCTTGGCTTCTTCCACTGGACGTTTCCAATTTATTTTTTTGTTTCGTGACAGTGAAACAAAAAATATGAACAATGAAAAAACTGCATTCTAACAATGTCATCAAAAAATATGGTCGCGGTAGATTACGAGACGTGATCATTTATGAGAGGTTCTAACCACAAAACTTAAAAATGATCATTTTCCTTTAATTTCACCTGCAAGAATATTGTTGCTCAATCCAGAACTCCTTGGGTGTCCTGTGAACACCACAATCTTCAATTCACACCTCTAAAGGAGATGTCGAGAATCCCAATCCAGTTCATAAGCCCTTGATACACAAACAGGTGCCAACAACAACAATCAGATAAAGGATAGGAAAACAAACACAAATGGCTATAAACACGGCTAATGCATAGTTTTGGGAAAGAAACCTTTTGAGTTTGTGATGGCCATCAATATGCCAAAAGAGCATTTGGACTGGCTACTTTGTATTTTCTTCTTTCGGTTACGTGAAGTCATCTAAGCGCATTCAATTCGCGGCAACGGCTTTCTCTAACACGGGACTGCTGACTAACCAGTCCCCTTCCTTTTAAATGACTCCAAACCATTCGATAGCCACTGTTAGACTCTCAGGGAAGAGTATCACAACGTCTTAAAACAATATAAAAACCTTTTGAAACATAAGAGAAACGAATACTATAGCAATAAGATCTGTGAACTTGAAAATATGGTCGAAAATTCGAACAATAAGAGCTTTTGGAACTGTTTGAAGTCAATGGACGACACTATGAAGGAAACCTACACCCCTCCAATTTCTGAAGAAAAATGGATGTCCCACTTTCAATCTTTGAACTCGAATGAACCCCTTAATGAACAGCAGGAGGCAATTATAGATCAGTTGCAGAAATCAAAGGATATTACGACACGATCTCACTCCTTGGATTACCTCATCACTGAAAGTGAAATTCGCACTGCAGCTGGAAAACTCAAAAACAACAAATCTTCTTTTTCAGACAAAATCAAAAAAGAAATGATCAAATCTAGCCTAAACGAATTAATGCCTGTTTATCTAAAACTATTTAACACGGTCCTCGACTTAGGAACTATGCCCCGAATGTGGTGTGATGGCCTCATTACACCAATTTTTAAATGTGGTACTAAAAGCGATCCATCAAACTACCGTGGAATTTGTATTTCCAGTTGTATTGGAAAACTATTTTGTTCAATTCTCAATCAGAGACTTCTAGGGCACGTTGACTTAAATAATATACTTCACAAGTCTCAAATTGGTTTTCTAGCAAATAATAGAACAGCAGATCATGTCCTCACACTTCGAACATTAATAGACAAATATGTCCATTGTCACAAGAGAAAATATATGCGTGTTTTGTTGACTTTAGGAAAGCCTTTGATTCGGTTTGGAATGATGGGCTTCTCTATAAGTTATCTAAGATCAATGTCCAAGGAAAGTTTTATAGTCTAATTAAGAGTCTATACTCGAAGTCTACCTGCTCTGTCAGGATTGGAAATAACAAAACGCGATCTTTTCAATACGCAAGAGGAGTGCGGCAAGGCTGCATTTTAAGCCCTCTGCTCTTTAACTTATACCTTAACGATCTAGCGTTCTCATTTGACAATGTTTTATCAGACCCCTTCGTGTTACCAAATGGCACCAGACTCAACTCTCTCCTTTACGCAGATGACTTGATAATATTATCGCGATCCAAACTTGGTCTACAAAACTGCCTTAACGTACTATCTTCATATTGCAACTCATGGATGCTTAGAATAAATCCTAAGAAAACCAAAATAATGATATTTCAACGATGCACTCGAAAATGTGAACATAACTTCCGCATAGGCAATGAAGTGATCGACGTTGTCCAAAACTATACTTACTTAGGAACTCGCATTACATCTTCCGGAAATTTTACACTTTCGCTCGAACATCTCCGACAAAAAGCTCTTCACGCGCTCTTCAGCCTCAGGCGGCACACGGATTTGAATAGTCTTAAGCCCTCACTTGCGTGTAAAATTTTTGACTCTATCATTTCACCAATTCTAACCTACAACAGTGAAGATTGGGGTGCTTTTGTTAAATCAGATTTTAAGTCCTGGGACAGCTCTGCAATTGAAAAAACCCATTTGCAGTTCTGTAAACGTTATTTACAAGTACATAACAAGGCATCCAACATTGCTTGTAGAGCTGAACTGGTAAATTTCCCATGATCATTGATATAAATAAAAAGATTCTAAATTACTTAGACTATCTGAGAGGTAAAGATGAAGATTCTATAGTTAAACAGGCCTTACAAATTTCAATTGACCTTCATCATAACGGAAAAACTAGCTTTTACTCTAATCTCATGAAAATGGTTGACTACTATGATCTAAACTATGACTTTTCCTGTAATTCATTGAGTGACTCAATAGTTAATAGGTATATCGGCATAATGAAAAATAAATACGTCTCTTACTGGAATCAGACCCTTCAACAATCACAAAAACTCAGTTTTTATTGTACAATCAAAGACGACTATAGCCCCTCGCCGTACCTAGTTTTAACAAGAAAAAACCCTTCGAGAAAAGCATTAGCTAGATTTAGAATAAGTAGTCATCAACTTAGAATTGAAACAGGTAGATACGAAAACATTCCTCGCAATGAAAGGATATGTCACTTTTGTACAAGTAACAAAATCGAAGATGAAAATCATTTCTTACTAGATTGTAAGGCTTATTCTCAGATCAGAGACATATTTTTCTCGAAACTAGAAACTAAAATACCTGACTTCAAATCACTTTCACACGATACTTTAATATCTCTTCTTATGAATTCTTCTGATTATTTAATTAACTGTCAATTAGTTTCATTCATGATCTCGCAATGCTTTGAATTAAGAACCAAATTAATATCAATGAATGAATGAGAACTGTAACGTTTTGTAATGTTTTGCACGTACTAATTAGTTCAGTGAATTAGTACTTAAATTTAGACTAATAGCTTTTGCAATACTGTAATTCCTTTATGGTCATGCAAATAAAGCTTTTGGTGTTGTTGTTGTTTACTTCGAACAATACCATCCAAGGTGTCATCGTCGATGGTTGAAAATGAATGTGAAATTTCAAGGTTAAAATCTTTACGCCGCCTGTTGAGTGTAGCCCGAGAAATGCTCAACATACAAGTCATATCTGTTCCCTTAAAGCCGTTATACAAACTACAGGTTAACCGTTCTTTGATGACACGAATCTTAGGCCTTCCTGAGGCACCAGTGTACTCTACATCTGGTTGAAATGAAAAGTTTTTTGCCGACTCCTCCATCTCCGTCACAAATCGACGACAGTTCCTAACTTTGTTATCTTAGCCTCCTCCACCATGTTGACTGAAGCAAGGCGTTCGGCATGGTGGTACAACAAGCATGCTGTCGATATTTCCGCACCCTCGAAAGAAAAGCTTCTCTTACGGTCGCCATTACGCTGGAGTCAGTCTCCCATAATTCACATTGGGTCACTTGAGGCAATAAAACGAGTGTTGATAAAACGAATGTACGTTGAACTTGAAAAACAAATGTCAAAGTTGAAAAACGACTACTGCTATTTATAAAACGAATGTCAAACTTGAAATACAAATGTCGATTAAGAAAATGAATGTTGATTTGAATAAAACGAATGTCAAAGTTGAAAAACAAATGCTCAAAAGAATGAAACGAGCCTCAAAGTTGAGACAACAAATGTTGAATCGGAAAAAAAACGAACGTCAACCTTGAGAAACGAATGACGAACTTTAAAAACGAATGTCAAACCTTAAAAACTAGCGGAATAGTTGAATTTTGATAAGAAAAACGCGCCATAGGTGTTGCGTAGAAGGGGTTAAGGGGAGTGGAGAATGCTACCGTTGCTGTCGAAGAATCTTGCGTGCTTGATGTTAAGTCCGGAACAGCGCTGATTATTTCTTCCGGTCGTGTTCTCGTATTTAATTGTTCCTTAAAAGCCAGGTATCTGCTTTGCAACTAAAAGTATCGCTTAGCAGGGTCGTAAACACGATGCTGGAATGCTAGCTTTTTCATCGTCCCGAAGATCGTTTCGAGAAACTGTGTCATCCATGTTGCCCTGTATCTCTTGCATAGCTAGAAGAAGCTCTCACCCTTTTGAGGGCCACTGTTCAAGAGGACTAGCTGGTTTTTGAACAGCAAGTCTGCGATTGGCTTTCTGCGCAGCCTAAGAAATGTGAGCAATTACCGTTGCTAACATTCTCGACCCCAGAGCTCTTCTCTATTGCGCAAGCATGCGCATCCATGAGATCCAAAGCCTCGGGTGACGAGATTGCGTTACTAAACAGTTATAATCTCATTCCCAACACGGACGTTGGAGACGAGATTGTAACAGTTACAAACATGACAGCTACTGCGCTGGGACGTCGTCCTTGAACCAACCAGAGCTGTCGATCCGTGGCGCTGGTCAAAAGAATTGCAGCTCTGGGGACAAGAATGGGCACTGTAGTGAACAACAGACCGTAACCCACATGCGCACAGCTGGCGGGTTATATGGGGTGTGTTCTTCACTTGTAATTCGAAACAAACACCCCTCCCCCATTGTTTTCTCGTTTTTACCCCTTATTTTACCAAACAAGAGCGCAGAGAAAAACGCACAAAAAAGTCGCCTGATTGGCGGGCTAAACAGAGCTCGTCACTGGGAACTTGGATTCATCATAAAGGAATACTACCTTCTAGATTGAGCTGGTCAATAAATCTAAAAGCTACACGCTAGTTATAAAAATGTATAACCCGCGAAACAGTACACTTGTTACTATATATACCTCATCTCTTAAATGATTTTGAACAAAAACACGGGCCACAAGAGTTCCAATCATGAGACTTTTAATTTGAATACATACATAATTAAAGTTTTTGGTTCTTGTAGAGTTAAGCCCCATTCATACCAAAGCTTAAACAAAAAGCTGTTGAGTTAAACACAGTTTAAAATTGGTTTCTTTTAAATGCTGATTACGTTGTTCTTTAGTGATGGCAAATGTAGTACAATTATGTAACATGTAAAAGTTAATTTGAATTCTGTGTAAGAGCCTGTGTTCTAGTTTTGACAGTTTTTCGTCACTGAATTTCTTTTTTCTTTTCAAGCCTTGTTTAAATTGGTGTGAATGGAGAATTAGCCAGATGCCTTATATCAAACTGAATATTTTGTAATATTTTCTAACAATTATTTCAAGATTTTACCATCATTGCAGCATTGTAGATTTCTTGTCGAACAATTGTTGTAAAGTGCGATTGGGTTCAAAAGGAAACGGCGTTAGTAAAAATCGTATTATTATGATTATTCTCTTAAGAATAAAAATCACAGCTAAAATTTTTGTGCAACGTTTCCACGTTGCTATAACATTATCAGGCGACAAAACAATACTTAGGGCTACCACTAAATATTCCTGGGGGTCATTTTCAAAGTATTGATTGGTTTTGGTCAATGCATGCAGTAACGGGCGTGAATTGAAATTGGATGTAACAGCCGTAAATAGTAAAACACGACTGTAGATAAAGCGTGTGGTAAACTTTGCAATTGGGAATTGGGTGAAGGGTCACTTTCACAATATGCAAAAATTATAGGGAGTCATTTCTAAAAAAAACTAGCTAGGATGAAATGAATTGGGGGTCGCCTTGAAAATCATGGTAAATTATTGTAATTATTTATTTGGGGGGTAGGAGTAAAGTTTTGATACACCACACTTTTCTGAAACCCTCCCCTTCCCTAAGACGTAATAAACGCTCGGTCCATAATTTTGCGGACATTTCAAATTTCGAAAGCGCTAGAACCGACATAAAACAAAATAGATTTAAAATAATTAGAAAATGCGATAACGCAAAGTGTGGCCCACCTAAGATTAACAAAAGGTAAAAAAAAAATTGAAAAGTAACACGAATAGCAAATGTTAATTACAATGACACGAACAAAACGGCTTAGTCTCGAACGTTTATGCTCAAGTTCCATCTTATATGTAATTTGTAACAAGGCATTTTTCGCCTTTTGTTGGCACAAGTTCTTTCTCTCTATCTAAAAATGGAGGTGTTTCTGGCTAGAGCTTTGAAGTATGCAACTTGTTTCGCCTAAATATGTTGAAAATGATAAACAAGAGCCACTATAGTTCTTGAAAATATCATCTATAACTTTGGTTTTACAATTCAACCTCTCGAACAAATTTGTTTTGCAAGTCGAAAGAACATTCCTTGAATGCCACGTACACCCAAAATTGCTTTCTTAACGCACTTAATTGCATATGCCTGAATTCAAAATATATCCAAGTAAGGCCATCCTCTTTTTTTTCTATGTTTACAGTCGTCCGAGCAACCCAAATTTTTGGCATGTTCCAAAATTAAAAGTAACGACGTAGTTACACCATTTTTCACTTGAAATAATTCTTTTAATCTGAAAAATGAGCATAGTAACAGCATAGAGAAAAACAGGAACAAAAACATGAACATTTTTCATAGTATATTGTACATTTTGTTAATCCAAATATATGAATGTTAACTTTTAACATCGTCCTAGGTTACCTGGCCTACTATTCCGAGACTTCTTGTGATTTTTTTTATTATTTTTTTTCAATCCGACCGACCGACCCAATATCAGGAAACGCATTCGACGGTAAACGAAGAAAAAAAAGGGGATGGCCTAACCATAAAAAATAACAGAACAAAATTCACCTGCGCATGCGTTACCTGGATTTTACAACCTTCACTAGCATCAGGAAAACGCGAAATCAAGCTTAAGAAGGCAAACAGATCAATAAACACTCGGAAAGTTTCGCTTGTATTGAAACTTTGTTTTTGTCCCAAAAATTACATCACAAAGTAAAACCGGCCGGACCAAGGACCACAAACTGTACATTGAACAAAGTGAGCGGATGGGATAATCGCGCTGAAATTTTAAAGAAAGCGCTAAAAGCCACTATTTAAGTGACTTTTTCGCCGTCGTCGCGTTAAACTCCCAAATTAGAGCGGATGTACGTAAAACTCTGACATGCGTACTGGGTAGTGACGGAGACAATGCCTCAAAAATACGTCACTCGCCTCAGGCCAAAAATGTCACGGCCTAAGATATAGGTGGTTTTCATGCAATCTCGGGAGACACAAATAACAATGGTGAAATGAACAAATGCTGGTGGACAAACAAAGCGAGCTAATGAGCGATCTTTTGTTTACCGTCCACCAGCATGGCAGCGATGACGTAACGTGAAAACCACCTTTAAATTCTGCATTTCTAAAACTCTGTAAAAAATTCATATTAAGCTAAACTCGAAAACAAAACTGCGGCATCGTTTTCTACAACTTTTCTATTTTTATTCTAGTCAAAAACTAATTTGGGGTGATGTGCACTTGAAATTTGGACCCGTCAAAATGCTTCTAGTGCCTACTAAATTACTATGCGATCGACCTTTGAATGATTATATATTGTTTCAAGTTGCCAAGCGGTAGAATGAGTTGATTGTTTTGCTAGCATGTTTTTCCAAAATCCAGTTATATATATAATTGCACATTCTGCAAAACATTCGCTGATTTTTATTTTTAACAAGGGCATCAGTGACTTAACTTAAAAATGATTGCGTTATTTGATTATTTTTGCCCTTGAGAAGGAACGTTCCATGAAGCTACAAACCAGCTGCCTATTTTATTATATAGACACGAGTGTTTTACTGGAATATATACCACTCGTAAAATTCATAAAAACTACATCCCGGACCCGAGTGGTTTATTTTCCATAATCTCACGCGTGAGTTTATCGATGACGTAATCTCGGTCATTTCCCTCTATTATTTTATCGATGTCTTTTTGTCTATAAAATAAAAAGAACATTACACGGCGGCTTGAAGATATGAATTTTATTTTCTCGTGGCAAAAACAGTATTTTACGAAGGAGCGCAGCGAGTGAGTAAAACATAATGTTTTGCCACTCGAAAATAAAATTCATATCTTCGCGCCACCGTGTAATATCCTCTATATTATAGGTGGTTTTCACGTTACGTCATCGCCGCCATGCTGGTGGACGGTAAACAAAAGATCACTTATTAGCTCGCTTTCTTTGTCCACCAGCATTTGTTCATTTCACCATTGCTATTTGTGTCTCACGGGATTCCATGAAAAACACCTATAACGTATTTATTTTACCCTTTTGGGTTCTTTACGTCAGTTACTTGAGTTACGGACAAAATGATAGCGCGACCTTTAAGAGCAGCATTTGTTTTACTGTTGGCTCACGTCGTATTGTTATATGTTGGAAAAAGCAAACATCCCTCTGAGTACGCAGGTATCTTTTCAGCTAACTTTTCGACTCGCCTGAAACAGGAACCAAATGTTGAAGAATCAGTGGAGGCAGCCGCAAAGTCTAAAAGCTTCTTAGCTGAGTTTGAAGTTTAGCTGCGATATACTTCGTCAATTAAACAGTTTCCTCGTCAAGCTGAAAGTTGGGTCCTACGAAGCATGTCGTTATTTTGGCCGAAGAATTCAAAAGTTGTTGTTGTCTTAGATAAAGAAAGTGAAGAAGACAGAAAATACGGTTCTACACTGAATGAGACAACGCAGAATAAAAAGCTAGATTTACGAGTTTGTTACATGGAACCGTATCCTCAAGAGATGATTCATCACTGGGGCAAGATGCGGATGTACATGGACATGATGCATGCTGATTTACGTACTAATGCCACGTATGTCGGTCTAGTTGATGTAGACACACTTTTCACGACAGCAGTTACGCCAAACTTAATTCTGGAAGATGGGAAACCTGTGGTAACAGGAAGAATCGGAGACCCTAGAATTCCTTGTTGGATTGAAAGTGCTGCCTATATACTTGGTCGAAAGCAAGCCATGCAGTGTATGCATTATTTCCCCGTGACATTCAAAACGGCACATATCAGAGAATTTCGTCAGTATGTGGCTCAATTGCACGGTAAAGACTTTAAACAAGTTATTTCTGAAACAACCCACAAACTCAAAATTCGTGGGTCGTGTTACTGCCATTATAGTACCATGTGCAACTATATGGTGGTACAACCACAGAAATTAATGAATACGCATGGCATTTGCAGTATGTCAAACCGACTCGTCCGTTAAACACCTCGGTGCCGTACGACTATTTCTTCACTGAAGTCAAGCCAGAGGAAAAGATACCACATCTACGTTCTTCGATACATGTACGCCACTTCATGCTCAATGGAAAATACATGGATGCAAGAGAACCAACGGCACGTTTCGTCAATGACACATTGGTTGAAGGCCTATGTTGTTCTTTTGGAATAAAACTCTGTGGCGATCTATGCAGGGAATATAATCAAAGTAACATTCATGTCAACTTGTTCAATTTCGAAAACTATGATTGGTTATGGGATAGTCGCTGTATGCAAAAACAAATCGAGCATTACAAAAATGTCGCAGATCTTTTCAACAAAACGTTTTTCTATATGGACTCGAGTCAGGAAATATGCCGAACTATAGCATCTTTTAAATTGTAAAAACGCCAGTGTAATTATAACCAACCAGGAACGGATGCAGGTAATTAAAGGATTTTCTTATACTCTCTTTTCAGTAATAGATTGTCTTCACAGTGACGTCATCAAATTATAAAGTCATTTACACTAGGTTAAAAATAAGCAAAATGTAAATCTTTGTACATGTTTACATTCCCTTAGCATGTTTCATTTCGAAAATACAGCAGTTTGAACCTCCGAGTTTTCACAGTGCGTGACACCAAAATGGGAATGCTGTCTCGTTGGAAAAAAGTCTCTACTCTTGATTTTCAGCAGCATAGCTATTTCAAGTATTAGAAGATATGTTTATGCGCCCCTGTACTAGTTCTCGAGTGCAAAGAAAGAGCTTTTATAGAAAAAGTGAACTCCAGATGTTTTTGTTGATTTCCAGCGGCCATACCGGTGCACCAAAACGGTACACCAATATGGCGTCTACATACAAAGCTCTACAAAGGTGCGTGAAACGTTTCGGCAAATAACTGGGAAACTTTGGGCGGGGCCACAAAGACCTGAGACTTGAACAAATTGTTTGTATATTAGTCTTTTATAACATTTTATTTTCTTGGCTTCTTCCACTGGACGTTTCCAATTTATTTTTTTTGTTTCGTGACAGTGAAACAAAAAATATGATCAATGAAAAACTACATTCTTAAAATGTCATCAAAAAATATGGTCGCGGTAGATTACGAGACGTGGTCATTTATGAGAGGTTCTAACCACAAAACTTAAAAATGAACATTTTCCTTTAATTTCACCTGCAAGAATATTGTTGCTCAATCCAGAACACCTTGGGTGTCCTGTGAACACTGAGTGTGAACACCACAATCTTCAATTCAAACCTCTAAAGGAGATATCGAGAATCCCAATCCAGTTCATAAGCTCTTGATACACAAACAGGTGCCAACAACAACAATCAGATAAAAGATAGGAAAATAAACACAAATGGCTATAAACACGGCTAATGCATAGTTTTGGGAAAGAAACCTTTAGAGTTTGTGATGGCCATCAACATGCCAAAAGAGCATTTGGACTGGCTACTTTGTGTTTTCTTCTTTCTGTTACGTGAAGCCATCTAAGCGCATTCAATTCGCAGCAACGGCTTTCTCTAACACGGGACTGCTGAATAATCAGTCCCCTTCCTTTTAAATGACTCCAAACCATTCGATAGCCACTGTTAGGGAACTCCTCCTTTTTACTTCGAACAATACCATCTAAGGTATAATCGTCGATGGTTGAAAATGAATGTGAAATTTCAAGGTTAAAATTCTTACGCCGCCTGTTGAGTGTAGCCTGAGAAATGCTCAACATACATGTCATATCTGCTCCCTTAAAGCCGTTATCCACACGACAGGTTAACTGTTCTTTAATGACACGAATCTTAGGCCTTCCTGAGGCACCAGTGTACCCTACATGCGGTTGAAATGAAAAGTTTTTTGCCAACTCCTCCATCTCCGTCAGCAAATCGACGATAGTTCGTAACTTTGTTGTCTTAGCCTCGTCCACCATGTTGACTGAAGCAAGGCGTTCGGCATGGTGATACAACAAGCATGCTGTCAATGTTTAGCGACATCAAGGCTAGAGTGATCTAACATTTCCAAAAGGTCTTTTTACAGCCTCTTCGTACTGATTTAAAAAGATATCAGTTTGCCCGGGATAAATTTGCTTGGCCAGAGTCAAGATTTGCAATTTGTCTCGTGGGTTCTTGAATAACACTAATTAGTAAACTCCACCTAGTGGTCTATTATCAATGCTGCGTTCTGATTGGTTGAGCTACTACTAGGCTATATGTTAAAGCCCACAAGTAGCGGAAAGCGCCGGGCTTTTTGGAGGCAAAAAGGCTTAAAGTCTAGCTTTAACTAGCTAAAGTTGTTTTGTCTCTATATTTTTGACCAACTAGTTGGATTTTACTAAAACAATTATTCCTCTCTCCCTCATGGCATCTGAGTCAATAGCCCATTCGGGCTCGAGGAATAATTGTTAAATAATGACTGTTTAGGCTAATGCTGCCACTGCCTTTCCCCTGATGGAATAGATTCTGCACGATATAAATCACGCTTAGATTGCAATTATAAGAACCACGAGTAAAGAGATTCACAATTCGCCTGTCTTTACTGGCGTCAATCATCTGATCATCAAACACGATCAAATTCCGTTTCTTCACATCAAGATAAGAATCCTACTCCAAAGCCGTAGGAATTCCCTTAACGAATTCAATGTGTAGCATGGCCACTAGCATTTCTGTATACGCAGACTGCCATTGTGAATAACACCAGATGATTCTCTCCGGGGGAAGGCAAATTGCCTCTGAAGCTTGCTGTAAAAGAGATCGAACCCAGGCCGTTTTTCTGGACCCGGTCATTCCAGCAATCATGCAGGTTAAAGGATACTCGAAGCGAAACCGCTGACATTTTTCTTGAAGGCATTAGAACTGTTTGTAATGGGATGAGACCAGCATTGCGGTGTTTAGACATCAGGTGCCTTTGCATGCTATCCTTTCTACTAAACGATTTTTCGTAAAGGGAACAAAACCAACTCATGTCAACTCCTCAGGAACAGAATGTAGACTGAGAAAAAGGTAGAATGTTGCGGATTTATATAGGTTTACGTCACCACCACCACCAGCACCACCACATTTCTATAGTTTTTTCTCCCCTAACACCACAACATTTCCATTGATTTCTTCCACCACCACCACATTTCTATTGCTTTCTTCCACCACCACCACATTTCTATTGCTTTCTTCCACCACCACCACCCCCACCACCACCACATTTCTATTGCTTTCTTCCACCACCACCACCTCCACCACCACCACATTTCTATTGCTTTCTTCCACCACCACCACCCCCACCACCACCACATTTCTATTGTTTTCTTCCACCACCACCAACAACAACATTTCTATAGTTTTTTCTCCCCTAACACCACCCCATTTCCATGGATTTCTTCCACCACCACCACCCCCACCACCACCACATTTCTATTGCTTTCTTCCACCACCACCACCCCCACCACCACCACATTTCTATTGCTTTCTTCCACCACCACCAACAACAACATTTCTATAGTTTTTTCTCCCCTAACACCACCCCATTTCCATGGATTTCTTCCACCACCACCACCCCCACCACCACCACATTTCTATTGCTTTCTTCCACCACCACCACCCCCACCCTCACCACATTTCTATTGCTTTCTTCCACCACCACCACCCCCACCACCACCACATTTCTATTGCTTTCTTCCACCACCACCAACAACAACATTTCTATAGTTTTTTCTCCCCTAACACCACCACATTTCCATGGATTTCTTCCACCACCACCACCCCCACCACCACCACATTTCTATTGCTTTCTTCCACCACCACCAACAACAATATTTCTATAGTTTTTTCTCCCCTAACACCACCACATTTCCATGGATTTCTTCCACCACCACCACCCCCACCACCACCACATTTCTATTGCTTTCTTCCACCACCACCACCCCCACCACCACCACATTTCTATTGCTTTCTTCCACCACCACCACCCCCACTACCACCACATTTCTATTGCTTTCTTCCACCACCACCAACAACAACATTTCTATAGTTTTTTCTCCCCTAACACCACCACATTTCCATTGATTTCTTCCACCACCACCACATTTCTATTGTTTTTCTCCACCACCGCCACCACATTTCTATTGCTTTCTTCCACGACATTCAATAAAAGACTGCAAAGTACTATCATTAGTTTATTTTGTAGCAATGTCTCGTGTAGTGAAGAACAATCGTGGTTTTCTCCAATTGTTAGCTGTGGTCCAGCTCATCAGCGGCAGTTTCCCTTCCGGACCGTTACTCCACAATAACTGCATGCATTAGTCCAAGTCTTATACAATATACTTAAGGAATACATTCCCATCCCCGAAGAAAATGAGCGCAAATTGTTGTCATATGAAGATGCTCTATTAAACCTTGCAGAAACAGCGGTCCCTTACAAAACAAAGAAGCCAATCCTTGTACAAGAGGGTGGTGGTTTTATTCAAGACTTACTGGTCCATGCTCTTACAAGCTTAGGATTTTTTATGCTATAAAAGAAAATACAGAGCTATATGTTACTCATTCGAAGCCTGCCTTCCACCTGTACTGATTGAAATGAAGAGAAAGATAGATTTTGTTGATGAAGAGCACGACAATGAAAATGAAGAGAGCGGAAGTCTTGATGATGAAAGCAAGGATGAAGAACCAAGGATTAAAGATGTTTTGAGTAACCTTTCCAATGCGGTGTCTAACGTGCGTGCTTCTGATTTTTTGCATAGCATGGCCACTTCCAGAGATATTCTATTCTGGACTCCCCGCGGACAGTTACTTTGAAATAAACGCATAATTCCCGTGACAAACATCGCAGAGCTAGTCGAATATGTACTATTACCACATAACGATGACGGTACCAAGCCTCGTGCGCTGAATACCCTTCTAGATGGACTTGCGGAGTTAGGAGTGGATAAAGGCGTAATCAAGAACAAAAAGGTCCTAAATGATTTGATAGAAAGAGAAAAAGGCTACCGAAATGGAGAAAATGCTTCCGAGAACGAGAGCAAAGTAGAAAGTTCACCAGAAAGAGAGGAAGAGGAGATAGCTTCTGCGAGTAGAAGTGAAACTGAAGACACCCAAGAGAGCGACAACGACACTGAAAACGAAAGTGAGGAAACAGAAAGTAATAGCCCTGAAACGTCCACAACCTTTCATTCTGAAAATCCCTGTGAACATTGTGAGAATTCTTATGTGTACGGGACATTGATCATGACATGTCCTAAATGCTCTTTGCACGATTCGTACAAGATTTGTCCCATATGTAATCACCAGATCCCCGAGAAGGGCAATGACATGAAAGAGGGCTTTCTTCGGTGCCACTAAAACGCCAAGAAGTGGGAAACCACTTTTTATTCCCTTCTAAAAAGGAGAAAGAAGATGATGATTAATTTTCTATCCCTCTCAAATCTCTGTATCGCACTCTTTATATGACTGGTTTTTAATAAAGTTTTTAAAACTGTATCTAGTGTCTGTTTTTTTTTCTTTTTTTTGGTGGTGGGGGGGGGGCTTATTACTCGCGTGTTTTAATTGATCTCTGTTAAGTTATTAATTGTCTTGTGTTTTTATAATAAAAAGTCAAGGCTGTAGAGCCAATTTATATGCAAATGACGGCTTGTTAACTCGCATAATTAACTGACTAACGGCGCTTCTTGCTAAACTGTCAAATGGACCTTATGGTGTTGTGACGTCATTACTAGTACTTGCCTGAACGTAGTTAGCATAAATTAAACAAGTTTCCCGCGCATTTTGTTCATGACCTATTTATTAAATTTTACTCCCCACTTTTAACCCCCCCCCCCCGCCCCCAGAAAGAGGGGCATAATTCTGTTCAGACACCACTACTCAGTGAGTAATCTTTACTCAGTATTTCTGCTTAAGTCTACTCACTACAGGGCTCAAATAACGGACAGCAGGTCGCCGGTCCTGATGACCTGCCAAATATTTTTTAGGCCGGACAAACCCCGATTTTGGCTGGTCAAATAATGAATACTACCTTATTATAGGAAATTAATGCTCCATAAAATTAAAGTATTGGAAATTAACGCGACTTAAATTAACGCAAATTTAATGGAAAACGACTTTCGAATAAAGAAAATTAACGCGAAAGAGGAGGTAGAATTTCTAATAAAGGAAATTAACGCGATTAAGACACAGCTGGTGGCCGAAATCAAAGGAGAAGATATTGACATCTCTTCTGATAGCGACAACGATGAAGATGAACTCGAAATATTGTAAACCTTCGCCTTAGCTTTTGTGAAAGATGAGAAATAAAGGGTAAATGGAAAGAAAGAAAGCTTGTAGTTAATGTGTTTTAGGTGTCAAGAATGTCTGGACAGGTTCCAAAATTGGGGTTAAAATACTGGAAATTAAAAGCGGAAATTAACGCTGCACTTAATTAACGTCTTAGTTAACGCTCAACAAATTAACGCGACTTAAATTAACGCGAATCTTAACGATTCGCGTTAATTTCATGGAGCGTTAATTTCCTTTATTATTCATTCAGAATATTTCCCCAATTCTGAAATTCTCCCGGAGAGTGTTATCCACCTCGGCCTTCGGCCTCCGTAGATAACACCCTCCTCGATCTGCTTAATTCTTCATATCCTACTCAGCCTCATTCATTAATTGCTAAATAATAACTAAAGGTATCATTTTGTTTTTTGCCCAATGGAATATCGAATTACGCTGGCAATAGATCGTTGTAGTGCATTGACTTTCAGCTTTTTGGCGGCAAGTTGGTGAAAAATTCGTTCACACCAGTTCGTGAGTTCCTTTCCGCGGTTTTTGCCCTTTTTCATGTCTGTTATACCCTTAGTGTCATCGTACGGCGGTGTCTGAAATCCCCAAGGTTCGTTCGTCTCATATCTGCATATCGGTAAAACTTGATCTTTTTCCTTGCGGCCGGCACTTAATCGAAAGTCTCCTCCGCGAAGAAGAACAACGCTAAATATTTTCGGTAAAGAAGTTGATTTGGGGGGAATCTGTTCCACAAACAGCGTGTTTATCATCAGAAGTCAATAAATACAGTGTCAATATACAGCAGAGCTTTCGTTTGGGTCGTCGCGTAACACTTTATCGGCAAGGGCTCATACGTCAACAGAATTTGCATAGAGCAAGGAGGAGGGATACAGGGGATAGACAACGTTCGTTCTCGATTAGCTTAAATTTTTATCAGACTATTCTGGAATGGAGGCCGCAAACGAGATTCATGTTCGACATAAAGAAATTATTATAAAATCTATGTGCTAAGATTTATTCCCGGAGAAACAGCCGCGGACGACCTATTGAGAATTGCGATCGATTTGCCTAAATTCTGTCGAAGTTGATTTTCACAATCCAGTCTAACAAGTAGATGTGAAACGTTAAATGGACAACCTGTTAGCAATCCTTTAGTGCAGTTTTTCCCAAAGACGGTCACACTATTGATTTTAGCACAAGCAGAAAGCACAGTACTACCTGCTGCATCGTTGCGTCACTCCACATTTCAGTTTGTTGTTGTTTCGCTTTGTTGCGTTTCCGTTACAACATGACGACATGAAATTTATTGCGGCGTTCTTTTTTCTTTAAAGTCTTTAGTGCAAAGCAGCAAAAAAAAAAAGCCACAGAAAAAAGAAGTCTTTACAGAGCGTTATAGAGCAAAACGCACTGAGCGACAACTTATGGAAAATATTACAAAATGTTCGTATCCACAAATGACCGGCCATGAGACGAGAGTTGGACCGGTCAAGTCCACGATCAGGCCGGACATTGTCCGTTGACCGGCCGTTACTGTTTTGGGCCCTGCACCATAATGAGTCATTATGGATACAACAATTTACTCAGTTTACTCAGCTCCTTTTACTGTGTAACTTCGGGAAAATCGACTTTTTACGAAGGGGATGTCACTATACGTATATTGCCCTCAGTTGAATGCACAGGTGACCCAAACTCACGTTACGAGGGAAGGGTGTAATGTAATTTACATACCATAGGTGACGCGCCGGTGTCGCGTTACAGGCGACCGTTGAAAATATAAGAGACTTTGTATGAGAAATATATGACTGAGATCTGCGAACGCTAAACCTTACTTTTTCTTAAATGAAATGAATAAAAAAGACTTACCTGCAATGTACTCCAAGGCGTTTTGGTGTCTGTTTGTCGTTTTACTAAAAACCAGTAAACGACAATCAAACCACAAAATGCAGTGGAACACATTGCAGGTAAGTCTTTTATATTAATTTCATATAAGAAAAGGTAAGGTTTAGCGTTATTTAGCGTTCGCAGATCTCAGTAATATATTTCTCATACAAAGTCTCTTATATTTTCAACGGTCGCCTGTAACGCGACACCGGCGCGTCACCGATGGTATGTAAATTACATTACACCCTTCCCTCGTAACGTGAGTTTGGGCCACCAGTGTTGAATGCCGGTACAATGAGAGCTCCTCGTTTAAGCGAAGGATTATTTGTTTTACCGATGGTTTCCGTCGTATCGTTATATCTTGTATGCACATGGTTATATCCTCCACTCTCTGAGTATGTAGTCATCTCTTCAGCAAAATTTTCTACTGGAGTGAAAAAATCAAATGTTGAAGAACCAACGGAGTCAGCTGAGAAGTCTAAAAACCCTTTAGATGAGTTTGAAGTTTATCTACGATACACTTCGTCAGTTAAACAGTTTCCTCTTCAAGCTGAAAGTTGGATCTTACGAAGCATGTCATTATTTTGGCCGAAGAATTCAAAAGTTGTTGTTGTCTTAGATGAAGAAAGTGAAGAAGACAGAAAACACGGTTCTACACTGAATGAGACAACGCAGAATAAAAAGCTAGATTTACGAGTTTGTTACATGGAACCATATCCTCAAGAGATGATTCATCACTGGGGGAAGATGCGGATGTACATGGACATGATGCATGCTGATTTATGTACTAATGCCACGTATGTTGCTTTCGTTGATGTAGACACACTTTTCACGACAGCAGCTACGCCAAACTTAATTCTGGAAGATGGGAAACCTGTGGTAACAGGAAGAATCGGAGACCCTAGAATTCCTTGTTGGATTGAAAGTGCTGCCTATATACTTGGTCGAAAGCAAGTCATGCAGTGTATGCATTATTTTCCCGTGACATTCAAAACGGCGCATATCAGAGAATTTCGTCAGTATGTGGCTCAATTGCACGGTAAAGACTTTAAACAAGTTATTTCTGAAACAACCCACAAACTCAGTATGCATAGGTCGTGCTACTGCCATTATAGTACCATGTGCAACTACATGTGGTACTACCACAGAAATGAATACGCATGGCATTTGCAGTATGTCAAACCGACTCGTCCATTAAACGCCTCAGTACCGTATGACTATTTCTTCACTGAAGTCAAGCCAGAGGAAAAGATTCCACATCCACGTTCTTCGATACACGTACGCCACTTCATGGTCAATGGAAAATACATGGATGCAGTAGAACCAACTGCACGTTTTGTTAATGACACATTGGTTGAAGGCCTATGTTATTCTTTTGGAATAAAACTCTGTGGCGATCTATGCAGGGAACATAATCAAACTAACATTCATGTCAACTTGTTCAATTTCGAAAACTATGATTGGTTATGGGATAGTCGCTGTATGGAAAAACAAATCGAGCATTACAAAAATGTCGCAGATCTTTTCAACAAAACCTTTTTCTATATGGACTCGAGTGGGGAAATATGCCAAACTATAGCATCTGTTAAATCGTAAAAACGCCAGTGTAATTATATCCAACCAGGTACGGATGCGGGTAATTTTAGGATTTTCTTATACTCCGGGCCCCAGTTCCTGCAAGGCAGAGCGCTAATCCAGGAATAAAAATTTTGTTCTATTGTTGTATTTACCTTCCTATGCATTTCCTAGAGTAAAATTCTATGTCATCATTACTGAATCTCGGAGTAAAGACACAAAAGTATTTTGTAAGCTCGAGTAACATGTTCATAGACAAGAAAACCTTGTGTAAAAATTTTCTTAATCCTGGGTTAAATTTAACCATCTTTTGAGGAACCGGGCCCGCGTCTTGTAGTAATAGGCATACATTCAGCTATTCACGTCCTATCTGAATTGGGGATTAATTAATGATATACAAATGAGTATATATAATAGGAAACACTGACACGTACTGTCCCATCAGGGGCGCATCTAGGGGGAGGGTGCAGGGGATGCGCACCCCCCTGAGATGACCTGCGGTTTTCTAATGCAACTGGTATTCAAAAAAAAAAAAACTGTGTCGTCTATTGGTGTTGAAGTAGAGCAAGAGACACCCCTTCCTATAAAAAATCCTGGATCCGCCCCTGCCCATTCACTTCACTTTGTCCAACACGAAGGACGATGGGCGACCCATGCCAGCCATGGATTAAGTCGGGTTCTGGATTATCTATTCATGTATTCAATTCAGTCTGTCTTGGGCTTGTCCCAGGTCAGATTGACTCCCCATACCTTATTACAAAGTCATGAATAACAATACCCACGGATGAATATTATACTACTGACGGTACGTTATATGAGGCTTGAGAGGTTTGGTATGAAATGGTGCATTTAAATAATAAAAAGAGGAATTTGTTGATATGCAGATAACTTTGCTAGATATAGAAACGTAGTTGGAATGGGTGAAGAGTCTGCACAAAACTAAACTTTAGCCTTTTTATCATAGAAAAAACTTTACCGTTAAAAACATCAAGGGTTAAATTCAATTTTCATTACAAACGATATTTTTGCCTTTTTTTCGATAGGAAAAAACGAAAACTACAGGTAATGATCGATGCATGACACATGAGATTTTGGCAGAGACTGAGCACAGTTTTTCTATAAATGCTTTATCCCTTCTGTGACACACAGGTCTCTTGAAACAAAGGTCTCGAAACAAAGGTCCTTAAGGCACTTAACGCATGACCATCTAAATAAATATGCATATTTTGAGAAAATGCTATTTAGAACAGTTTGCTTCTATCAATGATCCTGAAAACTGAACTACAAAATAATGTACCTTAATGGCCTTAGCAATATGAGTACATTCTAGAAGCTCAAATTTTCGTCACGTGACTGATAATTGAGAATTAACAGTCAAAATATTTACTCTAAAATTGGGAAAGGATAATGAAAGAGCAAAAAGTTCTTTTGGGCACATTTCAGAGGCTATTAAAAAGGTTCTTATAAATTCGCCTTGTATGAGTGTTTACGTAGTTATATAGGAATCGGTAAATAAAGGGAAAAGGGTCACGTGTCTTATTAATTAGTTAAATAGCTAATAGGATAAATAACATTTCCAATCATACAAGGCGAATTTACGATTTACACTATTTATGTAACATTTTGGTAGTGAAAATTCCTAAGGTTAAGGTTTGCAACCCTTCCCCAGTTATGAAAACGTGTTTTGTGACGTCATTGACGAAGCAATGTTACGTGTTATTTGAAATCACGTTCCACGTGTTTTTTTTCGTTGAGCCACATTCGTCGTTCACTTTTCAGGAGCACTGATGGAAGCAAACCTTTCTAAATGACAAAAATGTCAGAGCCAGATGCGTCAGAAGTGCCAGAAGTTCAACCTTAAGTCGTAAAATTAAAGGAGTTGAATTTCAAGTGTCTACACATATTGTCCCTTCATTTTAACCTACATCCCGAACATTTAATCACTTTAAATTTCAAATATTAAACTAGGCTCTCCTCACAAGGGCCGAGTAGGAGAGGACCCTGTAAACGAGGTTGACATAGCCTTAGTTTTCTTGACTTTTATAGGCAATGTGAACAAACGACAATATATTACAAAATGCTCATTATAATTTGACGAAATTTGGCAGAAATTCTGTTCATATCGCACTTTAGTCAATGAAAGCCTTGGGAGCCGATTCCTGACTGTGAGGGTCCCCAATAGGGTTCTTCAATCCCGTAATCCCGACCTAAGATTTCGAGCAATCCCGTAATCCCGAGGGCTATTTTTGGCATCCCACCTCCTGCGCATACTTTTAATCCCGAATCCCTCCCTGATTTTGCTATAAAATCCCGAAAAACCTATTGGGGACCCTCGACTGTGTTTACACTGTTTAGCCACACGTGTCTCACTGCAAACTCTCATTAAAATCTTCGCTTCAAAATCAGAAGCAGGGAGTGATTTAGCAATAACGTAGCATGCCGCCCTTTACTGAACATAACTTGTGTAGGTCCCTATCCACTTGTCTATTGCCGGTTTTCAGTGTCACGCCATTGAAAATAGACCAAAATAAATACCAAAACCGTTCAATAGATTAAGTCCAGAATCTGGGAAATGAAAGGAGGTAAATATTCAAAGATCCTCGCCAAGATTCAGGTCAGAGGAATATTTCGTATACGAGATGTCCGAAGAAATGTTTACCCAAATTTATAGAGATTTGTATGGAGACGCCATGCTGGTGCCCACCTGGATGGGCACCAACATGGCGGACGGAAACCAACAAAAACATCTGTTACCGAGTTTTGGTACAAAAGCGAGAATTTATTCCTCGAGGACTTCATAAACATTAAAGTAATACTTTTTCTAATACATGAACTGTTTAGATGGCAAAATTCCCCCAAATACGTCACTTTTTTGACCTATATGACAGCTCTCTCGGCCGTCATGTAAATGCCACGTCACGCAATAGCTTAAAAATTGAAGCGTACTCTATCACAAAACCAAGAACCCTTTTGAAGCGAAAATTTGTAAGAAAATTAGTTTTCGGCTGCTCTAATACATCATGAGAGTAAAATCTCAGTAGGATCGATAGTTTTGTAGTTTGAATTTTAGTGATGTCCTGTGAAAACCAACAATTGCCGAGACACGGTGATATTTAAAGAATTCTTGACATCGAGCATTTTCGGGTTAACCATTAAAATAATTTTCAACTGATATTCATTTTTTTTTCTGCGCTTCTTTTTTCTCAAGACGGAAATACATTGAGCCACGTCTTCCTAGAAGCTGCTAGCACGAGTTTTTTTCACGTTGGTAGCGCGAGTTTTGCAAGCTGCAGCTAATCCTCTGGTTCAAATTCTTTCACTTTCTAAACAGGCGAAATTTACCCGAACATAAAAGGTCGAAAACACGAGCCCTCATTTTCATTTTTGCGATCGTGGTTCTCTTATGGTTTCAATCAATGCAAGGAAAATGTATATTAATAAATCAGACATACACAGTGTAGCGTTCATATTTGAGGTCAATTCAAGAGTTAGTCATACCACAAATGACTACCTGATGACAACTTTTGAACCGCTGGTCACGCGACTAGAACTTGATCAAACGTTCGAGAAACAGTAACACCAGCCATTTCACCAGGAGAGTGTAGTCAGACTAGTCATGGCGGGACAGTTCGACTACTTATTCAAACTGGTCCTCATAGGCGACAGCGGTGTCGGCAAAACTTGTATAATTTTCCGATTTGTTGAAAACAAGTTTGATTCCTCCTTCATTACCACCATTGGCATAGATTTCAAAATCAGGACCGTGGAAATCGGTAAGTTGTGTTATTTATTTTTAGAGAGAGGTCAAGGTTCTTCAATCAAAATACTCTCCTACTTCTAGAACAAAACTGGATAGCTATTGTAGCTCGTAAAGTTGTTGGGTGCCCTATCTCCTTTTGATGCGTCAGAATATTCTAAGAATTTTCAGTCATTTGGTGGAAAAGGGAAGAAAGCAAGGCGTAAAAAGTACGTGCATCCATACAAGTTGGGATGTAGTGATTGACGCACAAAACACGAGAGCATCAAGAGCTATATTTTTGACTGAAGTTCGTTGAAGTCCCACTTTTGGCTACTTTTGCTTTGTTTTTTTTTTATCATTATTTTGCCCATTTTTTTTTCCTAAGATGGCGCTTATGCTAATACCAACTTATTATATTGCAAAACAACCCTGTTTAATATCACATATATTTTTTGTCACGGCAATTTCACCGATCATAGAATATTGCTTGTCTAGTTCTTCACGTGATCGTGTGTTGTGTTAACTTTGTATCAGTATATGAAAATGGCGGGAGTTTCGCGGTACCTAGAGTAGCTCAGTTTGTTCAAGATCTAAAATAGAAAATGTAAACTATTCTGGCACACACCCTTTCGCTGGCTGTTGCCATGTAAAATGCCGAAATTCAGTTTTGAAATTATGATTTAAAAAATTCCACAAAGTATCAATTCACGTCATCGCCGTTGCTTGATGCCGGGATCGGATAAAAGCCGATATCTATTCCTTATTGGCTTTACCGGCTTAATGAACCTAGAGAGTTCGGTTTAATGCTGCTATGTCTGAAACAACTTTGATGAAAAAGAATGGACGTTTGACCGTCTATTCCCAACGTTGGTCAGTTTATCTAGCCTGATCCGTTTCGCAGACGGAGTTAACCAGAGTCTAAGTTTATCGGGCTCAGGCATAAACTGAGCTGTATGTTGAAGGGCAGAATCTATAACTAAGATGCTCGGCTGCAGAAATTGACCCGCGTTGAAGAAGTTTATTGCGACAAGCATTCATTTACTGCAGTCATTTTTGTTCAGTCTAGCACAGCATTCTTTTGTTGTTGTTTTTTTTCTTTCTGGCTTCTCAGATGGAAAGAAAATCAAGCTACAAATCTGGGACACAGCGGGGCAAGATAGGTATGAATGGTTAACGGTCATTTCGCCCCGGTTACTTAGCCCCCTACTAACAAGGAATATTATATATGAAGCATGCTTAAGAACGAGGAATGTTACATTTGAAGCGTTCTTGTTTTGCTTTCTGGCTTATAGAATGAGAAATATTACATTTTGAATCGCGCTAAATAACTCGAAAATGGGGGGCTAAGTAACCGGGGCGAAATTAATTAACCGGTTACCGTATGAATCAACCTCCTGGGTAGCGCAGTCGATATCTTTGGCCCGAAGCATTACTGAACAAGGCAGTTATTTCGATGCCAGAGGTCGCCTTACCCTTCATAAGGATTGTTTCTAGCCTGCGTAGCAGGCGCTTGGAAGAAGTGGGCACCCACTCTCTTTCACCCACTACTTCCAAGCGCCTTCTACGCAGGCTAGATTGTTTCTCATCGATGGCCTTTTTGCGGTTTGTTGCGAAGGAACGATGCTTTAGCTCACAACTGCACGAGCATCTGTTATCTTGAAAATTTTGGCAATGCGTTAATGGTAGGGTGTCTGAAAATCGCAAAAGCCAGAAAAGCCAAAAACCGCAAACCGCATCCGATTTTAATCTGTGTCTGAAATCTGACGTCAGCAAGTGTTCTGGAAACATTGTGCGTTTTCGTAAACATACCCATGAATCATTTACACTATTATCTGCATTTTTGTCAAAACTATATCGGAGAGACACATCTGGAACGCCCGACCCTAAACCGAGTGTCGTAACCGTTATTTGTCGACCGAATCGACCGACTGTCGACCGATGAACTTGTGTCGACCGAATCGACGGACTAGAACCGACCGGTCGACATTTTAAATTCGTTGTCGTCGTCTCAAGAACTTTGTCTTCGAAATATTGGAACGCGGTCAAAGTGTTTGCTGTAAATAACTTGTTACGTAGGGAAAAAATTTAGAACCAGGCTTTCGTCAGTGTTCCAGTATAGTTCCATGCTGCATTCATGTGACAAACGTTTGAGCTTGCTGTATCTGCTATTTGAACAGACTAGAGTTGTTTCAAGAAATACATGAGATCTATACCAATTCAATTTGGGGATTTTCCTTCTCACGCTCATTTCAAGAGGAAGGCGTTTTCTTCATAAAAGTCATAAAAGTTTCAAACTGACTATGACCAAACCGTCAATGATTTGTACACCGGCGTATAAAACTAGCTCCCAACTGCACGAGCATCTGTACACAAATATCGGGTGCGCGATTGAAAACTAAGGAAAATTTGCTGGTAGCGCGTTACCTAACACAGAGTCCCAAACGTAAAACTGCACTATCACAGGAAAAAAGTCAGTGAGGTTGTGCCTTGTTTTGTGCCCGCAAGATTTTTCACGGGGATCCGTACGTCACGTGCAAAGCGTATGAACGATACGTTCACACGGTTTTCCAGTGCTCGGCACTAAATGTCAGTTAGCTTTGCTTGGAGTTGTCGTTTGTTTAAGTTCTATGACACTAGCTATGCGGGTTTCTAACAAAAATTGCTTAGTTTGGATACCATCGCTTCATTTTCCACAATAATCAGGTAACTTATATCTATCTGCTTCAAATTCGGTTGGGTTAGATTTGATATCTCCCTGTCTCTGTCCTCATTAGGTTAAAACTACGTCAAACGCAAAAGAATTATATAAACAACAAAAGACTGGTTTTGTTGGCAATACCGAGTTGACATGAGGTTAACCTTTCGAGGCCTATCACTTCGTCAGATCAAGAGGCTTTGCGTGACCTTACATATCTACATGTTGGTCGATTTACGTACCTATTTCATCAGACAGATTTAGAAAAAAAACAACGTGACGAGAGTCACGCAGTGACGAAACGAGAGTCACGCCGTGAAGGTGTGGGCCGGATCTAAAACCGAGTTGACCAATGAGGGAGATTTGACTACCGGAGGGCACGTTCAGTTCTTTTCGCTCGCTTTTGAACTCTCATCGATCATCTGACATGCGCCGTACTGTCTTTGCTTAATATGCCTGTTGGTGGAAACCACTTTCAATCTTGAAGCGTAGTATTGCAAAAGCAATGCAATCATGAAGTTAAATAAATAAATAAACAAATAAATAAACAAATAAGCAATACTAAGTTGGTTCGATATTTGTTTTGTTAGGTTCGAGACCATAACATCCACTTGCTACCGTGGGGCGCATGGCATTATGCTAGTGTATGACGTCACCGATGAAAAGTCATTCCGAAACATACCAAGGTGGATACGAAAAACAGAGGAACTTGCCAGCCCTGACGTCACAAAAATGCTGGTAGCGAACAAGTGCGACCTTGAAAAGCGAAGGCTTGTCACTAAAGAAAGAGGTGAATTGTTAGCAAGAAATCTCGAGCTTCCTTACAAAGAAATAAGCGCGCTGTCAAATTTAAATGTGGAGGACGCTTTCTCATTGATATTACAAAGAGTGTTCAAACAGGCGGTGTCCCCGGTCAGATCCTGGGCTGAGCGAACTTTGGAACAGTCAGTGGTACAGGGAGACCTGTTTTGTAAGCCCACATGCTGCATGTAGTATTACGTGAATGTCACGCAAGCAAAGATGTCACGTTGTTATTCACCATGTGGACTTGACTATTTCGACCTTCCGCTGTTTCTCAAAGCTGTTCAAAAGAAGTGAGGCAAATTTTCATTTTCGAAATGGTTAATCGATTTGTTTGAAATGCATTAATGCCCTTGGATTAAAAGGCGCAAAATCTATCTAGTTTTACTTAGTTTTTCAAGTGTATGCGTGGACTATCCCTCTTTTGTCTCATTACTACCTTGTATGTCGATGTAATTTTTATCTACTGTTGCCTTGCTTCTCTTGTACTTTTGTTTGCGCGTAGAGGTTTTAAGTTATTAAAGCAGAACCTGGCACAGAAAACATTTCTCTGTTGTTGTGATTCAGCTCTCTCTTTATAGCGTTTTCACCCTTAGCGTCGCTAAGTTCAAAATAATAATATTAACCACAACAAATGAAAAGAAACAAACAAAGACTGATGAAGACTGGTATTGGCCAGTCGAAATATCGCAATTTAACTCTATTTCACGTTGTTTGATCAGTCCCTGCAAAAGTCTTCTTGACTGTAACGTTTTCAAAGACACAAACTAGCAGCTCCATAATGTAGTGCTAATGCCTAGGTAGGAATAGCCTGCGTAGTAGGCGCCGGTTTTTTAGGGCGAAGGAGGAAATTTCGAGGACGTGCGCGCGCGTACGAGGGCAGAAACGGAGCGGAGGCCTCCTCTCCCCTTCGCGAGTTCCCCTCGCGCGGCGCCTGCCACGCAGGCTAAGGTATGAAGCAAGTTCGATTCTTAGCTATGGTAGCATCAAGCATAGGACGTCATAAAAAGTCGCAGTGTTGGAGCCGGTGAAGTAAAAGAAACGGCGATAATACGCGATATTCATACCCAAGTGCTTAAGTTTCCTTAAAGACGCTGCCACGGCTTACTTGAAATCCCTTTTATCAGGGTTTTGGAGTCACAGGAATTCAGCGTAAATCTAATTGAAATATATAACAGGATGTTCTCCAATCACGCGCGCTCTCATACCAAGACATTATGAGAATATTTCCCGGCAAGAATTCTTGGGGCAACATTGCAAAATCTCTGATTTAACTGATTTACAGGGTAAGTAGGTGAATGTTTGCTAATGTTCTCGATTCTTTTAAATCCCAAACACCAGTTTACGACCAGCTATTGGTTTTCACAAGACGACTTAAAAAATCCGTCATCTTGTCAATTTAATTAGACTCTATCTAAAGTTATTTTATATTATAATGAAACTACGGTGAAATTGGGGCGGCGTACGTAAGTCCACTGACCGTTGTGTATCCTTGTTCTTATTAATCGTGGCGGTCTTAACTTTGAGAGAGAAAACGAGCAGGGAAAGAGAGTATTAAACAAAACCAAAGAAATGGAAAAGCCTGTAGCCTCCCTCGCAGTCTTTCTCAGGACTTGGTCACTCGTTCCATACCCATCCGTTGTGGGGAAGGAACGTGTACAGCGACGAGGCCCGAAAACGTCAGCGTGGGAGATTAGAGAGCCTGCGAACGCAGACGTATTGCGGGCGGAGAGAAGCGACAAATGGAAATACGGCCGAGTTTCCAGGCTGGGAAAAATAATAGGGCCCAATCATTACAGTTACATCATTAAAGTTGAAGGAAATGCCGAGAGTAATTCTTAAACATCGTTCTTACAACATGTGGAACTAAAGCTGGAATAAGCCCGAGCAAGATACCTGCCAAATTTGATCATGACAGGACAACACCTGACCTCTCTAGCAGGATGCACAGAAAGAACCTTTCTCCTCTAACGATTTCTTTTCGTCTCCAAGGGCAGCAGTTTCATCTGTTCCAAAACGTAATACTCTTTCTAAAATGTCTTTTGCTAAGGTCATAAACGCCTCTTCGACATTTGAATTTGACAGGGCACTCACTTCCACGTACGATATACCAAGACTTTCGGCCAGTGACGCCCCTCTATCTTTGCTTACCGCGCGTTCGTCTTGAAGGTCACACTTGTTAGCAACGAGGACTTTCTTTACGTTTTTGTTCGTATTTTCTGATATTTTAGCCATCCATGTTTTCACGCTGGTGTAGGACTTCTCGGCTGTGACGTCATAGACGACCATTATCCCCATAGCTCGGCGATAACAGGTTGCGGTGATGGTGTAAAATCTAGAAAAAAGAGGATATCGAGTATTGAATCACAGCATGGCGATCGGCATAACAAGGTGCAATTCCTATGAGGTTCTAGAGGCCTCTGCATAACTGAGTCTCGGAAACCATTTAACAAATTTGAATTCAAATTTCAGGAGCCATTATGGTATTCTTTTTCAATGTAGCTCTGGCCCTGTGGAAGGCTAATTTTGTTAGCTGAAATATTAGCCTCAAATACATCAGCCCTTTGCCATATTGCCAGCCCTGCATTAAGTTTTGTTTTAATTCCCACTTCAAGCGATGTCTGGCATTAGCATCTCTACCTTAGAGATCCGCCGGCAAGAAAGAACTAGTCAGTTTTGTTAAGGACCTTGAGCAACTACGACGACGACAACAACTTCAAAAAACAACAGGTTTAATGATCAAAACGACAGCTCTGCACGTGCACGCTGCACGCTTTTTAGTACATTTCTTTGACGTCCACTGCACGACTACGACGTGAAACCTCCTAATTTGACTTTTAATGGCGGACGTGGACATCCGACGACGAATTTTCCTTCCTCTTTTTGAACTTGAATAGAATCCTTAAGAATTCAACTCCAGGAAAAGTCGCCGGCATTTGACATATTGAGCGGGTCCAAATAAACGCGATTAAGTTTGAAAGAACGCAAACTCATTTTTTTTAGCGACGTTTTCACTGCAGCTCACTGCTGTCGTCGTTGTCGTTGCTTGAGGTCCCTATTTACGCATGCGCATTGAGTGGACCTCTACATTCAAGGGTTTTTATTATTTTTTATGATACCTTTCCTGGCCGGCCGTATCCCAGATCTGTAGCTTGACCTTTTTACCATCTAGAAAGAATTAAAAACACAGACATACGTAATGCCCATTTCAAACACCTCAAACACAATAGACTCTCTTTAGCTTGTATGTTTTGTTTTCCCAATAGAGCCTCTAGAGGTCCCGGGAGAACTTTCATAAATCATGCATACATATGCACGTGAATAAGAGGAAATTTGAAAGAAACAGTTCTCTAGAGTATTATCACATGACCTGTATTGGGAAACAAAACATACAAGCTATTAAAGAGGTCTATTGGAACAGGATTTGGCCCAGCGGCGGTCACATGGATCGCAGGTTCTCATCTCGTGACCGGAAGTAGGATTTGTGATACCGGGAACAATAAATTTTATAGTTCGAAAGCCCGCAAATTTCGAAAGTAAATTTTCTCATGTCAGTATGTTAGTATATGTGGTAACCTTTATTCGTAGCTACTAGATACAGTTTTATTTGAAGTAATTAAGCCAATCTAAACATTTAAAATATAAAAAGTGCAAATTTATACCTGCAAACACAAATATTCAATACTCTGATATATTTCAGCATCATTTCATAAGGAACATGACAAAAAATACAGATGTGAATAGCAGCATTCGTACTAAAAATATTGCGAATGTCAAAACAAAAATTATTTGCGAAATTTTTGAGCTTTGAACATGCAATCTACGTATGTGCATGTATATCCTTCAGTATGAGGGAATTTGGAAAAATATTGCAAAACAATATAAACCACACGCTCGGACTTGATTATTTCAAAGTCTGCGATAATATACTGTTGATATTTCTCTATCCGCGCAAGTTTTAATGAATTTGAGGGCAAAATAAACTTATTTTGAGCTATTTCATACTCAAAATTTATATTTGAGAGCGTTCATGGTAAATACGACCCGCATATACATGCACGACTCACGGGAGCTCACACATTTTGCGCGGCGCATGATAAACTGATGTAGCCTTTGTACTTACCGATCTCCACGGTTCTTATTTTGAAATCTATTCCAATTGTAGAGATATATGAAGAAGTAAATGTGTTTTCTACAAATCGGACCAGGATACAAGTTTTTCCCACGCCGCTATCTCCAACTAAAAGGAGTCTAAACAGGTAATCATAATTCTTCGACATGTTGTGTTCTTGCTGGCAGAACTGCGTGACAGCCTATGATGCCTTGCCGCGGATTGCAAAATCACGTGCACAATTCTGATGTCACACAAGACATTGTAATGAGCGATTTTGCATATTTTAAAACACAAACAACAAAAATAAACAAGTCCAAGGAGATGTTTGTTATAAGTAGGTGGGAGGTTTCCTTGCCCAATTTCCTCGAGATTCCTAATTAAAATTAGAAAAGATTCTGACTTTTAAATAAAATATCTCAGTTTTGGCGCAACCTCGTCCCAAGCCCTAGGTACGAGGTTGACTTAAGCGTCGTTTCTTAATCTAAATTAAACACCAACTTGGCTATCTTGTTATCAGTCCTTTCGTTTAAACTGCCTTTTAAGACTTTTTCAGTCACGGTCTTAATTAAGCTAAGTTAAACAGAGAAAAGTAATTTGTCTACACATGAATATATTTGTTTGCTTGTTTATTTCATTTGGTGAAATTGAAAATACAGGATCTAATCAGAGGATCTAATCAGAAAGAGAATATCTTTCATGTGTTACTACGCCTTAACTTTTTAAGTTCAGAAAAATGCCGTACGCGAAGGTATTTCAAGGAGAAAATGTTACCAACTTCCGGTTCCGGTTTACTTGTCACGGAAGTTTGGTAACCACTCCTTTTTCCTCTGCCATAAACAGAACTGTAACACAACGCCACGGGAAAACAGACTTCTTGATTAGAGAATGGCCGCACAGAAAAACTTTGACTTGTTTTTCAAGCTGCTTCTTATAGGCGACAGCGGAGTTGGCAAGACTTGTATAATATTTCGATTTGCCGATAATACGTTCAATCCGACATTTATTTCGACCATTGGAATAGACTTCAAGATCCGAACTTTAGAACTAGGTGAGTAAGCTACATGAAGTATAGCACAAAATACGGTGGTCGTAATCGAGTCAGTCTGACTTGCAAATGAAGATTTCAGTAAGATCTGTTTCGAAAAGCTTAAAATTTAACAAGTACCATTAAGTTCTATGGAATTCTTAGTGCTGTTTGTGTAGTATTTTGCAGAAAAACCGCACGGTTTTCTGCTGATGTGAAGGCATTTAAATATGCACATACAGATCACAGATCGTCATGGCCGCTGATTCATTTTGTCATCTAACCATGGGGTGTACGTTTGAAACACAATAGAGCCTCCCTGCTTTTTTGTTCGTCGTGTTAAATTTAACAAGGCATCTACGATTTTCCCATGGTTGTTACCGTATTTCGGCAAACGTAGGAAAAATATTTATCTTAATAGTTTTTTGATGCCGTGTATTATTTCCGTTCAAACAACACGGCATGTTTTATGTTTATAGCTTTCTCGAATATTGAAATTGAAAGAACTGTCATCGTTAATTGTCTGTTTCATGAAAGTATAAAATTTCACGAAGTCTTCGAACTAAGTTTTCTCTTTGTAACAGATGTGTTAGTATCTGAAAAGCTAGATGAATTTTGGTGATAATTATGGCATTTTATATCCTGACGACTAATAGTTTCCATGTACTAGTTAGGTGGATTAACCAAACTGAAAATATCAGAGATGTATATGGAATGACTATATTTGTGAAAATTAAAATTTCTCGGTGTTGGAAAAATAATGATTTTTAGTAAACACATTCACATAAAGGCCTTTTGATGACCAATATAAAAATGAATGCTATTTCTTTGTTGTGCCAAATGAAGCGAAGATAATTTGGCAAAATATACATATGTTTCCGCAGTGAAATCGTAATGACGTAATGGTTCGAAAGTGTTTGCATATTGAATTCAGGAGAAGAGCTATCTCTGAGGTGTCCGAATACACAGAATGTTGCGTTTTATATATTTGCCCTTGATGGTTTAATATCACATCGCTTACTTTAAGGTAAAACTGCTATAAATAGATATTGGCTTTCACCAGAGAGACCAAGAATTTTTAAAACCCCAGCAGTAAGTAACCTTCTTCCTAATAATAATAATAATAATAATAATCATAATAATGAAAATAATAATAGTTAATATTATTATTATTATAATTGATTATGGTAAATTATAAAACCAACGATGATACTAACATCAGTTGTAATGTTAAAAAGGCATGCCGATGCCCCCCCCCCCCCCCCCCAAATAAATAATCGGAAATGCGACTTTCAACGTGGCCTACATGATAAAACCCCGTCAAAGCACAATTGATCAAAATGAAATGTATGTAAATGCCATTCAGGGTACGTTCTTCCAAGTTTTTTTGTGTCTTTTACGTAATGAGGAAGTTTTTATCCCGGAAAGGGGGTGGGTTTTCTGCCAGCAGTTTAGTTTTGAATTCAACAATCTCGACGTGTGAGCTAGACTGCAAATGTCACCGGTCTTGCGTAGCCGTAGCTCTGTCAAGTTTTAAAACATTTAAGATGCACTTTCGCAGAATTTCATGTCTTTTAGAGGTTTTTTGAATCATTGGTCGGTCATTACCAAACGTTAATCGTCAGTGTATGTAAACTATTAAGTACAAAGTGGAACATTTTTCATGTTTGCTTTACTACGAATTTATGCTTGTTTGTTTGTTTTCTTTTTTGCCAAATTTTGAGACAAATAGCCCTCGGGCCTCGACGGAACGGCCTATTTCCTCTTGCTTTTGATTGTTGCCAACTTAAGTTGGATGACGAAACAAATAAAACTCGCAACGTTCCTCACTCGTGCATGCTTGGTATTTTTCCAAATAAGGTGGTAATTAAAAACAAGAGGAAGCGGAAATACCCGACCGAATGAAACCTTAACTTGAGCGCTTACCATATGGAAAGGGGGACTTTTCGTTTTTACTTGCGTTTGATGCGGTCGACTCTTTTTAAGACCTTAATAATGCGTTTTTTTGTTTGGAATTTAAGGTGGGAAGAAAATCAAGTTACAGATCTGGGACACCGCCGGCCAAGAAAGGTTAGCTTTTACCTTGGTGTGCCTCACATTATATGTTCTTCAGCAGCAGTCGACAATTTAACAAGTGGATAGTTATGTACCATATATCTGCGTGGTTGTTCGTGATTTTTTATTATTATAATATTAAACGTGAAACGTGATCTATTTTTTGCGTGGCAATTTTTCGTGAAGCATGCATTGTTCAAATTATTTTTACGTAAGTTAATTGTTGGCTTCACACTAGAAGCAAAGGTAGTTTCAAGTAAGCGCTTGATTCAAGTGCACTTGGAAATCTTAAGTCGCTGTGTAGAAAACATGGCTTCACACTTGTACACAAAGTATATTACTTGAAGTACCAGCTGACAATCCTCTTTCATGGTAAAATACTGAATGCCTTTGCGTTGGAAAAGGGTTATTTGTAGTTTCGTAATTTTTTTAAATTACTTTGAACTCAAAAGGTTTTGACCCTGATAGACATACGTACTTCGTTTTTTTACGAGTACTTATTAGCGGTGCAGAAAAAAAAGTGACGTCTTCCTCTGTATTTCTTTAGAATGGCTCAACAACGCGCTTTTCGGCAAAGAAATCACCGTAGGGCTTTGCTTGGCCTCTTCTGCAACGCTCTTAGCTAACCAAGACATGTTGAATGTTTATCTGTCCGTTTATTAGAATCTTGGAACTGCTACGCGTGCACATCGTGCACATGGCTTCCATTTCTTATTGGTCAAGTGTGTTCTCAAGTGTAGTGTTGACTATACTTAGCGGCGAACGTCGGCTTTTTTAAACTACGAACGTTTCCATGATAACCAAGTAAAGTTGAAGTGGGTACATTTTACCCCTTCACACTCGAAGTGGGTTCCAAGTACACTTTCGTTATACTTGCAAGCTCTAGTGTGACGCCAACAAATGTTGGAAATGGGTATAGGGGACCCATCTCGTGCTCTTGTAAAAACGTTTGTTCATCTTAGCTCCGTTAACACCTGCGATTTAATTGCGCGATCTGGCTATTAATGAAATATTTTCGGCAGTTATCTTCATTTTACTAGCTAGTTAACTGCAGACGTATTTCCGATCGTCGCTTCTGTACGTTATTTTTCGGAGGGAGAGAAGCGATAACCGGAAATACGTCTGCCGTTCGCAGGCTACCATTTTACAAACATGTGCCCTTTTTTCCCTGAAGCAGAGTAAGCATCATGGCTAATTGTTTTGGTATTTTCATGCGCAAATCGCCGCGGATTTACGCAAAACCTCGATCAGTTATCGACGACTTTTTCTGGGTTGAAACCAGGTAGCAGCTCATTCCTTAACGCAGGTTAAAAGTCGCCTGTAAAGGTCTCGGGGCCAAGAATGTCGTTGTGAGTCTTGAGAAAAACGCAAGACTTAGTGCTTGATTAAAACGCTAACTCAACTTCCCCCTCCGAGATGATCGTGGGTAAAAACTAATGATGTTTCATTTTTTCATTTATGTCTAGATTCCACACAATAACAACTGCGTATTACCGCGGGGCACTGGGCATTATGCTCGTGTACGACGTCACAAATGAGAAAACCTTCACAAACATCTCAAAGTGGATGAGAAAAATCGAGGAGCACGCGAATGAAGACGTAGACACCATCTTAGTTGCAAACAAATGCGATTTGGAAAGCAGGAGAAAGGTCACGAGAGAAAGGGGAGAGATGTTAGCCCAGAACCATGGCATTAAACACGTAGAAACGAGCGCACTTTCAAGTGAAAATGTCGACCAAGCGTTCATTGTTCTAACACAGGACATTTTGAACAGAGTTTGCCCGCCCGTTCAGGAAGAGAGCGTCAAAACTGGCAAGGGAAAAGGGAAGAAGAAACGAGTTAACTTGAAGAGATCATCTTCTCCTCGCCTTTCATGTTGTAGGTAGAAGAATCCTCGGTGAAAGAAATCAAAAAATGACAACTCTCGATAGTCATAAGATGAAGTCAAATCTTTCCCTATTTCTTCTTCGATGGTTGGTTTTTGTCATAAATTATCTTCCGTTTGCCGATAGTGTTTGCACAGCGTTTACAGTGAAACGGTACCATAAAAAAGGCGAGTGTTGTGTTCACACGAGATGAAGCGTGTCTTTGATACAGGTCCGTGTAAACAATCGTTGACTCGTGTGTAAACCTCGTGTGTTCTTTTCTCACGAGACTAACGGCGCTTTCCAAAAGTCAGAACTGGCCGGCCATACTGACCGTTCATTATGACAATGAACATTTTTTTTCGAAATTTTAACTTAAACCCCTCACTGCCGTGCACACTATTTAAAGAGGCTATGTTACGCTTTTTACTACTGAAATTTTTAAAAAGCTAAAACGTGTCTCGCATCAACATTGAATTCCAAGAAAATGGTGCAGTTTTGTTATTTAAGACTGGTTAAGCATTGAAAATGTTTCCTGTCGTCTGTTGCTGTGGATGGCAAGGATAGACATGGATTGAAACTTGGAAAAGTTGGGCCGACTTTTTCAAGTTTTAAATACTATGTCCACAAAAATCACAAAAAAATATCATGGTAAGTGCTTCCTGATGAAATTTGTTTGATATGTTCATACTAATTCTACACTAACAGGAGCATTTTGTGTATGGGTTAACCCTTTGAATTCTCCTTTGTGGCCCCTATTCATTTAATCCTACGGAAGTAGTGGGAAGAAGGTGATAAAATATCAAGCAAATTCGTGTTGTGTGATCATGTCCATAATTCTCATGACCACTCTGTTTTCAAAGCATTGATATTACAAGGAGAAATTTGATGCTGATCACTCTTGGGGCTTAAAGGGTTAAGGCTGTAAGTAATGACTAAAGCACAGCATTGACCTGAGACACTGAGAATAAACTGATCTGGTGGGATAGGTCTGATTAATAGTTGAATTCTCCTTACGACTGGAATGGTCTGGCTGGTCGGGTAGCTCTGACAAATGGTAAGCATCCTAAGTCTCTTTTGACAATTACTTGACACATTGGCGCACCGTGTAAGCAATTGTAGCCCATCGAAATTAACTGATACGTCGTGTGTAAATGCTTTGTAATCGTTGTCTAAGGAAGACGTTTATCCATGATATCATATGTAGTATGCTATCAGACCAGAGTTGACCTTACACCTAAAGCGCGTCTAAGGGATCGATTTGAAAGTCAGTGAAACAGATTAAAATCATCGGGAAGTGAATATATTGAACATTTCAAAGTCATATATCTCGTTAATGGTAACGCTATGCGTTCTCATGATCGTGCTAATATGTAAATATCTGGGTAATAACAATTACATGCAATTAGCTACCAACCCCCTCAGAAAATCAATAAATAGAAGAAATAAATAAATAAAACGGTCTCCTACCCAACTTTCTCGAGATACAGTAATAGCCCGCGTATAAGAACCTGAATTTTTCAATTTAGCCTAAATAGGTTCTTATATAAATGGTACTTAAAGCAAATTTAGGCTACCGAGGTTCTTAAAATAGGTTCTTATATTTTCATATGAATTTCATCTGAATATACTATATATATTATAAATATCATCTGATAATACAGTATAAATCATTTATTTGTTGCGTACCATAGGCAGAACTAGATGATGATCTTTTGGACTTTTACAGCAAACTGAAAGAACCCTTAAAATTTTTAAAAGGTTAATGCTTAAAATGAAAATTTTTAACAGGTTCTTAAAACCCAGGTGAAATTACTGTATTGCATTATCGTGTTTCGTTGCGTACCAACAGAACTAGTGTTTGGATAAAGAAATCCATTTTAATTAATGCAATTTGTGAAATGTATCGTGTCGTTACGGTTTGGGCTGCGTGTTATAGGGATGGCCTTGTTGTGCTTTGATTAAAGTCCCTGCCTGGTCTCAAGCTTATGTTCAGGCAGTTATTTTAAAACATGTTGTGGTTTTCAGTTTATAATTCCAGCATCCGTAATCTTCTGCTGAAGCTCACTCTCCCACGCCATTCTTTGAACTAATAGTTGGTCTTTTGAACGCTCCCACGTTAATTCTTTGGACATTTTGAACGCCAGTTACACGTTAAACTTTCGTTAATGTGGACATCATTTTAAAACGTTGAAAAGCCAGTTAAGAACGAAATACTTTTCAAAAAATTTCAAAAATTTGCTTGTGTTAATGTATCCGTCGAAATGGTAAAGCCCTCAGTCAACATTAATTTTTGAAGGTAATTAAAGGGGGAATTAATTTGCTCATTGGCTTCTCTAGAGAACCAAGTTGAAGCTACACGTGTCATCCTTTTGCATGAGTTAATTGGTAATACTTGAAATTACATAAATGTATTTATCAGCTGTAAAAAATATTCTTAATAAAATGCAATATTGGCCCTTCGGAAAAAGAGAGACTCTTATTTTATTTTTAGAGAAACGTTCAGTTCTTTTTTCTTAAAGACGGATTTCTCCTTGTGAAAGGTCCCCAGAGAAGGGCCCTGTTTGAATTGCCTTTATACCAGTCCCAGATTTCTCTGTGCCTCAAAAAGAAGGGCCCCAAGTTGCCTGAATGGTTTGACATAGGGAAAAGGGGTTCCAAATGAATGGTTTCAGGACGGGGCGGAAAGGAAAATTGATGACGTCACTTTCCTTGGAAGTTGCGAAGGACTGGATCACTCATTCCCAGTCTCCTTTGCTGCCACCTCCACCTGCAAATTCCAACATGGCGGAAGAACCAGAGGATAAGAGCTTTTTTCAGGACGTTCTGGAAGAAGAAGGAGTGAAAAACAGGAACGTTTTGTTATCTTACGTGAATATTCTTGGTGGAGCTGCGAAGAAAGTAAAGAATATGGCTGACGTTGATGTTTGGCCGGACGTTCATCGTGTAAATAATCTTGTCGATACATGGACCGTTGTCGGGTATTGTTTTGGAGCCTTTTCTGTTGTGGGAACTCTGTACTTCTCCTTAAAGACTTGCAGGGAGATAAATCAGTGGAGAACCTGGATGAAATTTAGGAGAAGTTTGATTCTTAAAGGAGGAAAAAATTAAGATTGTCGGCTGGAGCCTGGAATATTAGCTCAATGTACTGCATGAATCACTGCTGAGACTATAACGCGGAGAGTGAACAATAATGTTGTACAGCAAGTAATCACAGTATATTTTAATTTAGCATGAACTACAAACGATACGCTGTTTTATGTCTGCTTCTGGGAAGCAAACGGCCATTTTTACGTGAGAATCAACTGAGCCTTTTGAGCAGTGGCAGTTTCAGCCATTCATAAGGCAGACAGAAACTTATGTTCAAGTTTGTTCAAGAGCCCGAGGGTTATTCTACCAGAAATTGACTAGATTGAAGTTTTAAGCTCCTGCTCTGCAACCCAACTGAGCTTATCCTGCAGTAAGCCAATCAAGTAATCAAATCTCACTATTTTGTTTTTGTGTTGTTGAAAGTAGAGTGAATGTCAGCATAAGGAGGGCTGATCCTTAGCCTAAAATGTCTGCGCAGCTCAACTTATGTATGCATGTCACCCTCTTCCATTGGTGCCTTGGGAGATCGTACGGGAAAAAGAAAATCACTGGAAACTAGGAGAAGGCAACACCTCATGACAAGGAGAAGAACAGTGGTTAGAAATTTTCACTGGTTTTCGGTCGTTTTCTCCTTTTTGAGTTTACTGGCTTATAGCCAGAAAGCTTTATGCCGGCATTGGTGTAAGAATGATGGTAAGGTCATTTCTATTGTTCTCGTACATGCAGTAAAGTGTAACCTTCGGAGCCAAAGGGACTGGGTTCAGTACCTGCTATCGTCCCTTTCTCTGTTTTATAAAGCATTGTTATGGCAAAGAGGAATTTGATACTGATCGCTCTTAGGGCTTTTTAACAAGGTTAAATAGGATAGTATGCTAGGATAGTGTGAAAATCACAATGTGGGAAAATGCAAACACAAATCCGTCTCTTTTACTATGTAAACATTCAATTAAAATGGCAAAAATTTGCTTAAATTCAAAACACTGGCATTTTTCAAATGTCATCTTTAATATGGTAATTTTGTTACAACATTTGCGTGCTTATTCCCAGAACCACATCTGTGGCCTGCCGTAGCAACCTTGTGTGCTATAGTGCACATGCAATTTAGAAGTAGCTACACACTTGATTGCCTTGAAAAACGATTTTGTTTTGCAAGCATGTGGTTTTTGAAGGACATTCCGTCTGTTTTGGAAATGTGCAAGCTACCTTCAGTCTTAACCCATTTGCCCCTGGAGGTTTTGCGGTAAAACGTGTTTTAAGCTAGTCTAGCAGTTTTCTTGTCACTGTCATGCTATAAAGAGCTAAAACTGACCACCGAGCCGTTTACAGGGCATACACTTCACAGCCTTCTGATCCAGATGCATAATATTAGCTTGCAAAGTTTGGGCATGCGCAGAAAGCAAAATTTCGAGTTCTTGGGTTTAAAAGTGACACAGCAGTCTTGACTTTTACTTTTCACTTTCTCTCGTCCCCTCTTTTTTTACTTTTCTTGCCTCATTTTTTTCCCGATTGCTGGACATCTAGTAACCAGTAGGCTTCATTTTGGTGGGAAAAGTTTTTAGGAAAGCTTTTAGCTGGGTAGTGGAACAAGATCTTCATGGAAATTTCAGGTCAATGTTACATGCTTTTTGTCTTTTTTTTCTGGTGTCCTTGACTGAATTGTGCTCTGGTATGGTTTGAAAGATCTCTTTGTTCTGCACAATTTAGCGGACAAAGTTGTCCTTGACTATTAAAACTGATGACATCACAAGTGGTAGAAAAGATGTGGATCTGCACCTGTAGGTGGTTACGGGCGGCTCAGGGGTGAATGGGTTAATCCTGTGAGAATCTAGCTTGACTTGCTTAGTGGTGATAGTGCTTCATAGGGCAGTGTTTTTAGGCCATAAAGGACTATTGTTTTGCTGAGTCTGTATTGTTTATTTCCTTGCTAGTGATAACTTACGATTAAATAACAACCATGGCATATTAATGCAGATTCTAAGTACTCTTACTACCCACTAATAATATAAAAGCTTCGACCAACCATGGCAAGATGGCATAGCAATATTATTATCACCATTAGTGCATAGTTTACCTTATCTGTCTCTTGAATCTTGCAATAGGTTGATTCAGCGACAGAACGGGAACGTCATTTGATGACGGGAAAGAGTGTGGAAAGGACCAAATTCGACTTCCAGTGCCCAATTTGCTGCTCTGCCATTGGTCAAGCCAGTTGTTTGATTTGCGTGCGCCGTCGTCAACTGACATTCCCGTTCTGTTGCTAAATCAGCCTAATATTAACTTAATGCACAATTTGACATTTTGTACACATGCAATGCACTAGACTGCAATATTTCAAGAATAATGATATGAATATTCAACTATCTTATTTCTTATTTTTACATACACACTTGTTTATCTTAGTCCAATATTTTTGCCCAGTTTGACATCTTGTTTAACAACAGGCCCTTTAACTGGAACCAGGCTTGTCCCAGCCAGCCCCAGGAAAAAAAAATAAAAAGAACACCCTCAGGAAAGGATGTACCCTATGACTTTGGGTATCAGCACATAACCTTACCCCTTCCCCACAAAGAAAAACCTCTCTGCCTTCTCCCTTTTCAAATCAGCCAGTTAATTAATTATTATTAGACATCTATAACAAGTTATTTATCAATAATCTATAGTACACCTTGGAGAATCAACCAAAGAAACTCAAAGAAATGGGCTAATACATCTCTTAGCAGCTAGAAGCCACCATCGTTCTAACAAATAATTGATGGTAAATTATACTACAAGTTATGTCTACATTACAAAAAGTGAAAGAAATTTTGGTATACGTAAGACAATTAGATATGTTACATCATAAACATCACAAAAAGAGATATCAAGAACAGATAAATAGTTTTAAAAAATTGCTGTCCACTGGAAAGTGAAAGTGAAAACAAATGATTTTCACACAAAAGTTTTTCTCAATTAAATCTACTAATTTAAAAAACAACTGGAATTTAGACTTAAATGAACATAGAAAAGTAAAACAAATCATAAAAAGCCAGAATTTTAAAGCTTTAAGACTTAACCCTCGGACGTACAAGGGGGGGGGGGGGGTTCGTGGTTGGTGATTCTGTTTAGCTGATTATTTTTATTCTTGATAAAATCCAAGAAGGTGGCCAAGATGGCGACCATGTTTGGTGACGTCACAGACGTCCAGCAGCGCCACCACCCATAAAATATACCTCACCTTGTACAGAAGACCAAAGGCTTTCCACTGAAAGCAAAATCGTTTCAAAATACTGCAACATATCAAAAACTCAAGGGGGTCCATCCCCCCCTCCCCTTTGTACCACGGTGGGGGTATGCGTGTACGTCCGAGGGTTAAATTCCAATGATTTATATTCAAATCCAAACCTTTAACATTGAGTTGGAAAAAGTATAATAAATTAAAAAGCAAAATTATTAAATTAGACAGAAAACATGTACAGGCTCTCCACTTTTCTACTGAAAGCACATTGGACCAGAACATATATTGTGGATGTCCTGTTAAAAAGATTGCGACTGGTTCATTATAAATAAGGCCCTTTTCGCACTACTGTGTTTGTTTTGCAAAAACATTCCCTGTCAATAGGAAGCCATTTCTAGTACAAACGGTTTTTTCACCGACCAAAATTTTCTCAAGTGTCACCAAACTTCAAAGATCCCTTCGAGAAGATTTGGAAGCCCACTATTTTTTGTCAGGCAACAAAATCCTTTATTCCTTGACGGCTATCCCTCGTTAGATCCTCTCATTTCGCGAGCAATACCCATTAAAGTTCCTTTAATTAACGCATCTGGTTGTAACAAAAATTTCGCGTGTCTCAGATACGAACAAGGTTTCAAAAACGAAAAATTGGTGATTACAAATTTTCAAATTTTTTGCAAACGCCAAACTCTATTTTTCGTCGTATTGCGAACAAGGCCTAAGGAAGATTTAAAAGAAAAAAAGTTTTTATTTGTCTGATGATTGCAAACAAACTGTGTCATTCTACCGAACATGAAGGCTCGATATTTTCCGCCGCCAGGGGGAAGAAGCGTGGTTTCATTTTACGAACCGAGCCTACCAAATATGGCATTTCTTGATGGGGTTCATTTTAGTTCCGGGGAGACAGTTGAAAGCATCTGCAAACGGTGGAAAGTTAATAACTGTACCCAGAACTCTGTAAAAAAAAATGAAAGGACACATAGAACATTATTTATGCTTACAACACACGCTTTTGTACATTCCAGTTTAAGGAATGGTCTAAGACTTAAGTGAAGGTCCAGGGGCAGATCTAGGGGGAGGGTGCAGGGGGTGCACCCCCCCCCCTGCGGTTTTCTAATACAACTGGTATTCCGCAAAAAAAATAAACTATGTGGTTTATTGGTGTTGAAGTAGAGCAAGAGACGAGTGCACCCCCTCCTAAAAAAAATCCTGGATCCGCCCCTGAGGTCATAAAAAACGACGTGCTAATCCTGTTAATGTTCAAAGGTTGGATAGCGCTATCCACGGGATAAATCACTTCCCAGAGGATAAGTGTTTGTTTCACGAGTAGTAACTTCTTTTGTCCATTTAATGTACTATTTTTTATTTGTATTTTCAAAGATTGATAAGCGCTAGTGAGAAGACCTCGCATGACATTCGTTGTTCTTTCTCTGGCCTGGAGATAGCCTCCAACCCTTTTTTTCCCAGATCACGCGCGTCGACTTGTTTTCGCGTGCTTTTGTTTCGCGAAGTCAGTCCTTTATCTCCGAGCCTAGAACTGGCTAGATTAGATACTGCTATATTATAATTACCTGAATTTATTTGGTGAATGAGGATCCTCATCGAGTCTGACTATAGCCGCCTGTTTTCTAATGCTGGCGCACCAGTTCTACAGTCATAAATGAGAAAAAAGTATCGAATTTTTATTCATCTCTCGAAAACAACGCAATGGCCTTTTCTCGTTAACTGACAAAAGGGCCGATAAAAAGACTCAGTTTTCTTTGCTTTTGAAATTTAAGTGCTTCAAATCTTTGGGCCTTTCCACAGACCAAGCCATTTGCAGACTACATGCGATGTCGGTATGTGGTTTATTGACTGCGAACGTGCTATGCTATGCGTGTAGGAAGTTTAAAATCGTTCTAAGGGTTTGAAAACTGCATAATTGTTGACGTTATTTGCTGAGTTACTACCTCAGGCGGGTTACGTTCGGCTTCAACAAAAAGAAGATAATCGTTTCGAGAAATAGTAAAAAAAGGAGAGGCAGACATTAACTAACTATTTTAAGCATTGCCTTGCACATGTTTCTACTTGATGGTAGATCGAATCTTTCTGGATAAAACGAAAAATTCCACAGCTGTTCTTCGACCACGGTGGAGTCTGCTAGTCCGTCGCAGTTGTTCTTTAGCTTTGAATTTAATAGATTTAAGACGCTCCAGTGAATTGCAATGGATTACTGTTCTAGAAAAAAATTGAAATTTACCTGTGCAAATGCCATAAAGAATGTCTGATCTTGGGTCATGTTTAATAGAGGGAGCGGTTGTTCGGGGCCATTCTTCTTTTCCCATTCTTTGTAAGCCTAAAAAAATGTGTAAAAACTGATTAGTGTTGTAAAACATCTCATAATAGTGGGATGTTAAATCTGTTATCATAGACATTAAAGTAAAGTAGAAACAACCTGGAGGGATTGGAGCGATTTTCTCGTGAATTTGCGATGATTGCGCGTGAAAGAGAGCATGCGCACTTAATAGCGAACGCAGGCAAACTTACAGGCAAACACGCAGGGCGCTTGTTGGTGGTTGAGTTTTCTAACTTTTGCTAAGCTTATCTCCAGTCCTGTTCAGGGCTTTTACGCTGAAAGAGAGAGAGAGTCGCCAGAGGTGAGCGAATCGAATCTCAGACATTCGCTTTTGTTGATTAAGAAGAGCAAATTGATTTTAGATTTAGGTTTCAATTTTTTCATTATCTTTTGCCTTCGAAGGGCTTCCGCTTACCCGCTTGCTTGAACAAATGCTGTACAGTTTTCAAAGATGGAAATAGCATACGTCGTAGGATCAAGACTTCTCTCCTCGTGCGTGTCAGTACCGTCTTGCGCGCGTTGCTTACCACACAAGCTAGATTTCGGATAGTGATATGACAACCTACTTCTTTCTGGTTCAGCCCAGAGTTATTTCTATTTAAAAAAGCGTACCCTACGAACAGAGGTTTCTCGCTTGCATGGCTTTCAGCGCTTACGAAGTCGTTCGCGTGGCTTGTCTGTCGCGTAACTGACAAAACAACCACGCGACAGACTTCGTAAGCGCTAAAAGCCATCCAAGAAAGAAACCTCTATCTGTAAAAAAGCCAGCCAGAGAATTGGTGTTCTAATGAGACTACGTAATTTAATTCCTATGAAATGTAAGTTAATATTATTCAAAAGCGCGATATTACCATTCCTCACGTACTGTCACCTAGTGTGGCATTTTTGTAAAGCGAGTGACACTCGAAAGCTTGAAAGACTACAAGAAAGAGGACTTAGAGCGGTTTTCAAGGATAATAATTCTAGTTATGAACAACTATTAGAGAAGGCGGATCTGCCAACACTACTAAATAGTCGCTTACAGGATCTGTGCATCCTTATGTATAAAGTAAAGCATAAACTGTGCCCTGCATATATAAGTAACATCTTTAAAGAACCAAATAGTAATTACAATCTGCGGCAAGCAGATTTCTCTATACCTAGGTATGAGACAGTCACCTATGGCAAGCACTCTATTAGATATTTAGGGCCTAGGCTATGGACAAAACTACCCAAGAGTATCAGGGACGTCACAACCCTAACGTCGTTTAAAAGCAAGATACGCCAACTCAATATAAGTGAACTTTTAGATGATGGCTGCGCAGGCTGTAGCCTTTGTTCATTTTGACTTCTGTGTATTTTTACTATAAATCTCTTAATTAGTTAACTATAGATATTTTACCTACTACTGTATATAGTTTTTAGTTTGTATATTCTCCCCTAATTGGTGTCCCCAAATTAGTAAGGGATTTGCTCCCTGGCTAGACGGTTTTTGACACTTTAATAAAGTTTCTATTCTATTCTATTCTATTCTATTCCTCTGCTCGCAAGTTAAAAAAAAGCGTTGCTGTTACTTACATTGTAAGAAGCTTTCAGGCCTCCGTTATCGGCTATGTTTTCACCTAGCGTGATTTTTCCGCTTACCTATAAAAACATTGTAACAAGTGTGAGGATGAGATGGCATGTAACTGCACGACACAAAATCATCGGCGGTTCCTTTCGTCCTTTTGTAATTCCATTTTCTATATATCGCATCCTCAGTAAAAAGCGGCAGCAGTCCTGCTGATACTATTTGAAATAAAACCATAAGGAAATACTCGCTAATGACTTTTTACCTTAAATTTTGCGATGTACAGTTCGGATGCATATCCTTTCTTTTTTTCCTTTTTTGATGAGTGAAAAGTATTTATTTTTAATTTCCAAATTCTCTCCAACTGGTTGAAATTAAATCTCTTTAAGTTTTCTACTCAGTCAAGAAACAACAGAAGAGAACAACGATCAAGCCTCATTTTACGGCACGGAAGGGTGACCAATCGATTTCCGCAAATCGAGTCCAACGGGAGCACCAGTTTTTCCCGATATCGTTTTGAAGCATACTGATTATACGGTTTTGGTTTATCTCAAGTTTTGATTAATAGATGATTGGTATTTGTACTTACATGTTTACCAAAGTAAGAAAAGTCTGAATACTGGTTAACCATGCATTCACTTCGAGCCTTATACTGCTCCACTGAGCGATTAGTCCACCACGGAACTCCATAATTCCCTCGTTTGTCGTACATGCGACCTAACCAAAGATTTAACAATTGTAAATTAGGAGTCTCAAACTCTAGAGCAAGTGAACAATAAAGAAGCGATGTTCTTTTTTCCCTGAGGAAAACTAACATGGAGACTGTTCGCCGGCGGGTCTCAAAGGGGTTAACCATTTTAGTCGTAACGAAATTGGAAATTTGTAGCCCTTAGTCTTAAAAAAATACACCGTGAAAAAAACGTTTCTAGCCGGTATTGCTTGTTACTATTTTTGTGGCTGATGGACCCCATTTCAGCCGTTCTTTCCATATACCCGGAGGATTCTTAGAGGCCTGAAACCGGTGGGAAATTTTGAAAATTTATAAAACAAGTGATTCTTCCTCTTAAGATGTATGTTAACCACAACGAAGGGAAATTACCCATTAGCCTTAGAAAACGCAAAATATCAATCGTTAATCATAAACGCTGCCAACCGCTTGGTTGGTTCAATTTAGATATTTTCGTTTTTTTTACTTTGTTTAAAAGCTAGTTCAGAATGCCGGTTATCTAGCTACTCTAATCTGAAACATTAGTCAGCCAGTCGAGCAGCTAGCACGTCATCGATCGAGGAGCAGTTTTCGAATGGAATTTGGAGAAAATTGAAACGAAATTGCAACAAACGTTTACCTGAATTGTCAAAGCCGTGAGACAGCTCATGACCAACAACTGTTCCAATTCCACCAAAGTTAATAACCCTGAAGGCGATAAAATGGAAAAAGAAGACAAAGAAAAAGAATTACAAGTGAAGTGAAGTTTTTTCACTCATGTAGAACATCCAGCTTTAAATCCAATCCCACGCGGTTTGATCGGCTCTCTTTGGTCGATTTGTGAGCAAGGTCCATTGGCGAAGCTAAAAAAATATAACTAATACACGAAACGTGCACGTGTTCAGAAGGTGCCGTTACCTACATTATTGTAGGTTTGGAGTCCATGAAAACTGCGAAATGCTTTGCATGGCTCTCTCGACTCGATATCCGTCACAATTATAATTGGGGTAGGAATCAAGAAACTAAGACTTTTTCAGGAGCAAGTCTGTAAGCAAAAAAAAATTAACCTCCAGTAACCCTTCTGTGACAGGTGTGAACTTACTTTGGAAATTTCTTGTCATAATAAGGAGCTTGTAAAATGCCTGCTGGAAATACTGGGAAAAAGGACAATATAACTTAGTTGGCGACTTCTCAAAAAGTTGCACCACCTATGTATCATCACCATCATCATCACCATCATCATCATCATCATCATCATCATCATCACTATCACAATCAACGGGAAAATCCAAATTTCGCGATCGTTTTGCAGAATACTTAAAACCACTGACTTGGTCGCATGCAAAGTGATTCAACAGTTGAGAAAGATTTATATGATATGAATGGGCACACTAGAGGATTTGGTACACAGAGTACTAAGTACTACCGCTTTCAAAATCGATTTCACAATCTACGATTGACTTTGACTCTAAATAAAAAGAAGACTCACCGATCTGATTTCGTGACGGACTATAATATGCATTGACTGTTGAAGGTGTCATGTACCATCTGAAAATAGAAAGAAAATTAAGATGAAATCAAGAATATTTTTAATAATCGCCTAGCTACCTCTAGAACGTGCGAAGTAGGTCTTAAAAGAACTCTGAAAACATACTTGTGTTTGTCCACTGGTTTTCGTAGAGTCTTAAGGTTTTTCTGTAGGTAAAAGTCGTCAGCATTCCTTTTATTCTGAAAATACGTCTTTACGTCAAATTTAAGCTGTAAAGAAGGAGAGGACATAATGGATGTAAGTGTCGTCTATAGATGAATTCCAGGTTTTAAATTATCAAATTGTAGAAACACTTACCCCGTCATATTTTTCTTTCAGTTTTTGTGGGTCTTTGATGTAGTCTGGAAAACCAATCATGTCCACAACAGCATCTGCCTACAATCAATCAATCAATCATTTGATCAACCGATCAATGCTATTCAATCGGCTTGTGGTTTAGCGTATTGATGAACGCTCTTTTAAAACGTTTTGTCCAAACGCATACCTCTTTTGCCAACTTTTAAAACATTATTTTGGCAGGAAAATAGCAATGTTTTCTCACACTGGTCAGAAGAGAAGGAAGGTGGTGGGCACAAAAATTGCTGAGGAATATCTTCAACCCAAGGGGTGTAACCAGGGTAATAGTGGCCAACAGGGAGTGATATTGGTCTGTCCATAGTGATACTGGCATACAAAGAGTGATGTTGGCGTATCTATACTGATATTGACGTAACATGAATTAAGAGGGATATTGGCATTCCCAGAGTGACGTTGGCTAACTTAAGGTCAATCAACATTACCTTATCTTCTGCAGCTCGGCGTGTTTTGTCATCCATCCAGTCGAGATTTGGCAAGCCTTTCTTGAAAGATGCACGAATAGCGTCAATCATCTCGGTGGCCTGCAATCATAAAATTTGAAGAAAGGCTCTCATTCTGTGCTTCCATAATTGCTCTGCGAGCGAAAAAGACAAAGCGTCACCATGATTCCCTTGCCAATTTCTTGATTTCTTAACAAGAGCGAAAACTGGAAAACTACAGATTGCCAGTGGACAATTTCAACTCGATGATCGTCCGTGAAAACCACACGTAAAAATTGGGGTCGAGAACAGCTTACGGTGGTAGAAACGAAAAAAAAAAACGCATCTGGGACTATTTATGTTTCCTCCATCACCGATCACGCAGCAAAGCAATGAAGCTGGTTACATTTTTTTTATTCTCTGGTCCATTTTTTTTTTTTACCACAGAAACAATTGAGAAACTGTTATGTTCAGTAATTCATTCCCGGTTAGGGATGGGGCCAACATTTCTTCGGGTCACGTACAGGTCAAGCCGATTGCATAGCAAAGGCAGTACTACTGTCCTCAGTTAACAACCTGTCTTTGTTCAGACTGCGATTCTCTTGTTGTTTGCTTTTATTGTCAAACTGGGATAGTGCTGTAGCAATCACGCGCTTAACGCAACAAGCATTGAGCCAACAGAAAAGCACAAAGCGCCGTGCATGGAGGAGCGCTCCTGTCGATAGCGCGCTTGCTTTCCATATCCTTAAAGAGTAATCGAGGAGAGCTGTGAGTGCTTGCTAACAACTGAGTTAACCCCAATCTCGTTCCCAGGGCCCTCTCCTCAGTACTCGTCCTCGGAAGACAGGTATGAGAAGACCCTGGGATCCAGGTTGAGTTAACCCCTATCAGAAGTTTACCTGTTGTTTGCTGGTTCCTTCAAATGATTTTTCAATAAAGAGAGATCCCAGGGCCATTCCTATAGCGCCGTCAGTCTCGCCCATACATCGCTTCCATAAGTCCTCTGATTTCTTGGAGCCTGTTAACACTTCAATCATCTCCTGATGAGCGTCCCGGAATTTTTTGGATAACAAAGGCGCCATTTTGGATACTACACGCCACACCATGTAGTTGTTTAGCAGTCTGGATAAAAGACAGGGTGAGAGATTGGTTGTAAGCCATGGTAACTTAGGCCAGGATGCTCTAAACTACAAGGCTCGCTGGCAGAACATTTTAGTTGGGCGATTTTCCAAGTAGACAATAGAGATATTAGGGAGTTTTAGATCCGAGCTTACCGCAAACCTCTAACCGCTGGAGGTCACGTGACAAGTCTTTCGCGTCACGTTTGAGGTTTACTATGTGCGTTTTCAACGTGGGGAGGTAGGTTTTCACGTATGCCATTTACCTGAAAGCTTTTAGCGTATAATTCTTGTTTCATCCCACGTAATGATACAAAAATCTTGTGGAGCAAGTCTTTATCCATTAACAGAGGCACAAATTCGGGCGAAATGCTGAATTTTATAAATCCTATTGGATCTTGAAAACAAGTGCCATTCATGGCTGCTGATTCAAAGTGGCGGCCGTAATTTAATCCACCGCCAACCTAAATCGAATTATGTTTGAACGTCGAACCGCAAACGGGTAACCGCAGACCGCGGTTAGAGGTTCGCGGTAAACTCGGATCTAAAACTCTCTATTTAGGGTCACGCTAATGGCAAACGACAAACATGAATTTGTACCACGTGACCAAGTTTACTCTAGTGATCGTTACCTCTGCCCCAGAATTAGTAGCTTCACGTTTTGGTTTGTTTTTATCTAGACGTTTTCTTTTTAAACAAATTCTAAACTTGAATCTGACGTTTGCCGTTTGCCGTAAGCGTCACTTTTAATCTCTACTAATGTTTGTATCACCGGCATTGAACTCAGCCAGAAAGAAATGATTTGATTTTGATGACTCCCGTTGTTAAAACAACGGACCAAGAGGCGCGCCTTCTCCCCTTCTAGTTGCAATTTTGAGATTTGAAGCAATGTTTCCAGCTGATGCTTTTTTTCCAGTTCGGACAAGAGGTTGAGATCTCACGGTACCATTTATTGTGCCCGACTGTTCTTGAGTTACCCCCGCCCCGGGATTAACCCCTGGTTATAAAATGCGGCCTTTGCATGCAATGCGAGTACCCAAATCCTACCCCGCTTCCTCCACAAGAACAAACAAAGATTACTTACACTTCCGATGCATTTTCTATGACAGGTGACAGGACTTCAAGATAACGCGTGGCATACACCACAACCTCCTCAGTTTCCTTTATATCAGCTATATTCTTAAAGTGATTTTGGAAAAACGGAAGCCAGGGGATCTGAAAAGAGAAATAAACGAACCACAGGTTTGATTACGCTGCCCTCTCTCCTCCGCAGAGGCTCCCCCTGGGTATCCCTATAAAAATAACAATAATCGAAAAATAGATAGCGCGCGGGGAAAGATGGGAAGAGGGAAAAGCCTTTTCTCTCTTTCCCCTTCCCATCGTGCCCAGCGCTTTCTTTTTTTCTCTCTCCCCAGCCTCTCTACACCACAAAGAGGCCTCTGCGGAGGAGAGAGTATGCTGCCGGAAATGCAAAGCAAGTAGCCTTAGGACCTTAGATAGTATAGTCACAGGTCAAAAATTTACCATCGACAAAGACCGGCACGGAGCAAAGGCGTCTTCACTCGCTATCACTAGCCTGCGAATACAGCCGTCGTTCCTTGCTCCTCGTTGCTAGGGAAGTTTCACCAGGAGGGACCTGGCGAAACGTCCCTAGCAGCCAGGTGCGAGGAGAGACGACTGTTTTCGCGGGCTACGCTATCGCCTCATTAGGGACCTTCAGCAAGGAAGGCGACGACGGCAGTGAAAACGTCGGTAAAAAATGAATTTGCATTCTTTCAAACTTAATCGCGTCTATTTGGACCCGCTCCATATGTCAAATGCAGGCGACTTTTCCTGGAGATGAATTCCCTCAGTGACCGGCTTGGTGGCAGCCTATGAAATTGATATCAAGGAACTCATTAACGTTCTTACTTTTGGACAAAGCTTTTGAAGCTTTGCGATGTTCGTTTTGTTGTACATCTCGTCAATTTGACTTCTATTCACATTAGGCACAAATATCTGAAAACAAACAGATATGATGTCAACACTATAGGATGGGCAAGGGGAATATAATAACCCGAAAAAAAGCCGATATACCCCAAATTTTTTCCCAAAGAGCCCTTGATGAAAGAAGCGGAGTAACCCATGCACCCGAAAATATTGGTAAAATGGGGCAGAAAATGAACTGTTTATCCATTCAGATTAATACCGTATACCCAAGCTTGCTGTATACCAAACTCTGGCTGACAAGCCTGTTGTTACGCTCTTAGGTGCAAGCTCGTCCCCAGGGCGCTTTTCGCTGGCTTTGGAGGTGGGCCAGGTGGGGACGAGGTTGTCTTAGGTGTTGCTTTCTTTTAGTTGTAAGCCATTCGTTTGTGTTGCTTAACCGCAGTAAAGCAGGCGAGGCGGGGAACACGCTCAAGCGCCACGCGTGACTAACGACACGGTGCACAGTGCGTTTTTTCTTCCCACCCCACCTGCCTGCCCCGCTCCCTGCTTTTGTCTCGCGTTTCATAGCCTGGCTTGCTAGGGATTTTAGGTCCTCTCGAGATGGCGGAGGTTTGGCCACCAGAATAAGCCGAAACGATCAGTGGCAAGCACTGACGTGAAATTTGTTAAGAGCTAGGTCTTCGCCACCGGAATTTTGCTCTTACGCAAAGATCAGTGAACGATCCCGTCTGAAAGGTTGGTTTGCAACCAGCCACCTTTCAAAGTGCAACTGGGCAGAAGGGAAAAGTTACGCATGTCCCCCCGTTATGTCTTGAGGGTTCCGGAATCTGGAATCCTGGGTCTTGGAATCCGGAATACAGCTCAAGGAATCCGGAACCCTCATAGCGACTGTAATCCGGAATCCAAGGGCGCGATCCATTCAACCAAAATTTCCGGAAATTTCGGTCCAAAACTCAATGGATCGGTTCGGTCCAACTGGAAAAGTTTCGAAAAACTGGGTCCACCTTTTGAGGTGGACCACTTTTCCCGGTTGGACCGGTCTGGATTTTGGTTGAATCAGGATCGCGCCCCAAGTTCCACTGACAAAGGATCCAGAATCCAGTATCTAGAATCCGGAATCCATGGCGTGGAATGCAGATTCCAAGACTCTCTTGGATTCCTTTACATGGCGCGATCAGTTGGAGTTTAGTTGAGAAGCTCAGTGCGTTTAGATGCAAACCTTTGCCAGCTTCATTTCGAACTCCAGTACATCTCTCATCTGTCTTTCCGTTTCGTTCCTGTCCCTTCCTCCCAGCAAAAGGCCAACAGTAGTCATATACTTCAAATATGCTACAAGTTTCTGGGAAAAGCATAAAAAGTGACGGCATCAAGACATGTCATAACACAGCAAGAATCAGAGAAAAAGCATTTATACAGAGATCTTAGTGCAATACCACAGTAGAGCTACAGACACTGTTCTATTAAACAGCAAAGGGAAGAATTGTTTCAGGCTGCAAATTTATGTTCTTGTTTGCGAGTTTTTACTGTATGACTTTTCTAAAAGTCACAGCAAGCGAAACTTACCGGATCAGACATGTTCTTCAGATAATAAATTCTCGACAGCGAAAGTCCACCTTGATCGACCTATAAATAGAAATGTGTGACATTAGCTACTCTCAACCGCGGCTTGGACGCGACTTTTGTAATCTCCATATAAAGACGCGAAACCTACCTTTATCGCATTTTTTGAGGAATTCTTATCATCGGCATCCACCTCCGTTGAAAAGAAAGCAGACACTGAATATATCCTGTGAACTTTCTGAAGCAATTTTGCGAATTCAAACTGGGTTTTATTCCAAACCTGGGTTACATTCCATCCACCGAGACGATTAATAATGTCGAGCAGCGGTTGCGAGCCGACTTTGTTGATAGTTGACTCATCCATACAGGCGTCATAGAAAGTCTTAGCTTTCTGTGTAGCTTCAGAAGTCAAAGACGACCCCGTCAAGAGTTGCTTTACAATCCTTTCGTTTTCTTCCTCTAAGACAGAATAAACACCCCAGAAAGACTTGCTTTCAGGAATAGGGTTGTTTTCAACCCATCCGCCACAGGCATATTCGTAAAAATTTTCACAAGGATGAACCGATCGGTTCATAGAGTGAAAAATATGGTAGGCGGCGTTTATGCAGCCCTCAGTTACGCATGTAGTTTGTTTTGTTTTTGAGCAAGGTTTAGCTGAAGGCAACTGAGGACAAGGTTGAGCTGAAGGTTTTTTTGAGCAAGGTTTAGCTGAAGGCAACTGGGGACGAGGTTGAGCTGAAGGTTCTTTGCCATTTTGAACTCCTGGTTTAGACATACACTTTCCACCCCTTCGCGTCAGCAAGGCAAGAAGGATGACACAAATAATTGTAAGGACTACGATAATGGCCACCAGAACAGTGGTCTTTTTCCTCCAGAGAATGTTTGAGCCAACTGCCGATGATGATTTAGATGTTGCAGAAAATCTCACTTTGTGTTCGCCTTCTCCGCCATCCGTGAAAACGAGAGCAGTGTCTCCCTTTCCGATGAGGTGCTGGTCGTCGTCCATCGAATCTTCGCTGAGGAGAGGAATATTCGTCGTTCCGTCACTTGTTTCAGCGCGAGTGTAATCTGCTCGGTAGTGATTCGCCATTTAAATTGATCACTCGCAAAAATGACACCCTTGCTTTGCGAAATGAGGCGATTTTGTAATTTTAAGATGGCCGCTTTTATCGGAAGATGATTCTATGTGGCAAGTCAATAGATCTGTCAAATTTAAACAGCAAGTCACACAAGTAATCTTTAGCTCTTGTATTTCACTTCCGTGGATCCCTGATGAAAAATCAGCGACTCTCGGCGATTTGGGAGGAAAAACAGATGAGAATAGACATAAAATATAATTGATACCACGCAAAGTTCCACACTTATGTAAATCCTTAGCAGCCGGAAACTTCACTCCATTAAGGTATTGTTGGACATAAAAAAATGCAAATGAATAGGACGAATCTTTAATGTCAACAAATCGCTTGCGAGTGACCTTTAGGGAGGGGTACGTGTACCCCTTTTTTGCCGTCATCATTATGATACCGCAGATTTTTCGGACCTATGATTTTTTGTACTGGAATAATAGAATAACGAAATTTTCGATCTGGAACAGCCTATTCCAGGCTCCAAGATAGTGGGGAAACGGATCAGACGGATCGAGAAAAAAGTGTGAAAAACCGCGGGAGGACGGTCTAATGACAGAGGGTGAGGTGGAATTAGCAACACTCAGTAAATTTAATTCTTCTTCACACCCGATAATGTACCACATCAACTGGAATCAGCTATGAAGTCAGGCGCTCCCCCCTCCACCCCCGACAAGCCCTCCCACGAAAAGATGAGTACATCTTACCCGCTCAGGTAGCCAAGCCGAACTCGGAATTCGTTTGATTTCATCTTGCTCACTCGGGGATTCAGCCATACAATAAAAAGAGAAATCAAATGGCATGGTCCTGGTAAGGTCAAGAGAGAATGAATTGTCCGATATTTTGATTTGAGAAGCGCAATTTCATCGGGGACCACGAGAGAGCTGAAAAAAACAATTCCCAAACTCTTCAGGCTCGATGGGGCCGGTGGAGACCTGGGAAGGGTTAGAATAAAGCCCGAGAATGATCACGTGTGTTACGGATTTTCCCCACTATTTCGTGAACTGTCGAACAGAGCACGTACGAGCTTGCACACCATCATGGAATTGAGCAAAGTTGCTCAAAATCTTATAAAATCTGTTGCTTCTGGAGAGGTAGGAAACGCAATCGCTTGCTTGTTTTCATAGAAAAGTTGCTCATTCACTTGTTTGCTGGATACATGTCGTTTTTTTATGTTGCATGCCCTATGTCATACACCTTGCAAGACCCGCCCAGCGTTTTGCTACTTTCATTGAAAGGAGAGCTTTATTGTTGGCATTTCGTCGGTTCGAAGGGATTTTTTGTCAGTAATTTATTGTTGTCTTCCAACCGTTGTAAAAGTTTTTTTCTTTCTGTTTCTGATTACGTAACCCGTGACATCCGAAATGTGTTTGTTCACGCTTTACATGTGAATATGCATGTATCTTTGATCTCCAACGAATCTGTTAAGAATCGATTGAAGACTTGAGGCATTTAATTCTCGTGTTTGGGTTGTAAGTGCTGTAAAAGTGTTGTAGTAGCTGAGATTCTGCACAGGGCAAACATAAGCTTAACTTTTTGAATATATTAACTTTAATACCCCACCCACCAACCTACAGTTTAAAGAAGAAAAATATACCATTGAACCAACTTGTGTGGGTATCATCCACGCCTCGCAGTTGTTAAAACGTGCTTAGCTATCCACTGGAGAAATTTCTAAATGACTACCCACTGGATAGCACAATACCAGGAGCCCATAACCTGAGTGAGCAACTTCCATGCGCTTGTGTCACAAAGTTTTCATGGACCAGTTTGTTTTTAGAACGGTTTTGGCGCGAATTTTGAATATCTTTAAAAATTCCACAAACCAGTCGGCAAAACCTACAGACCTGAAAATGATATTTTTTGCCTTTTAATAAAGTTAAGTTTTCCTTTTTGATACCTTATACTTCAAAATAATGTGCTCATAGACATGGTGGAGATTCTATTTTCGTGGGCAAAAGTGCACTAAAATGTGTATAAAAATAAACTGGTCCATAAAAAAGCCTTGACATAGGCCTAGTATGGGAGTTTCTTGCTCGGGGTTATGGGCTCTTAGCAATACTTATCCACTGGTTAGTGATTTATCCTGTGAGGCTCTGTCCAGCTTTTAAACAACTGGGGTCAGGTAAACTTGATAATACTGGCCCAGGTTTTTTGATAGTGTAAATTATAAATCCCATGTCATATTGCATATTTTGTCAGAAGATAACTTTTGCTTTCCCAATTCGAAGTTCACAGCTTGCTGTAAAAAATTAACTGTCCCTAATAGGACTTGAATAAAAGTTATTGTATTTAGTGAGGTTCCTCTGGAAATATTTCCCTTGTTGCTGAATGAGAAACCCAAACCTCCATGGTATTCGCAATAGAGATGACAGAAGTTTGGGTTGTGGGATTTATATTGTGGTAAAAGCGGAGCGGGACCTTCCTTCCACACCTTGTATAAAATGTCTGAAGCCTTAAATTCAAACATTTGATTAGTTGTTCTCAAAAGTCCCTCACTTCTCATTTCTGGTTCCATAAGTAGTAGTCACTCATGTTTTAAGCATCACACTAAAATATCGTTTGAGCTCGAATTGTGGTCGCAAGTCTAACATTTCATATGTCTTCTTTGAAACAGATGGTTGAGCTTCAGAGCTTATGGGCCACGCAGACTGTAGTGGTTGTCTTTCTACGTCGGTTTGGATGACAACTGTGCCGGCTGTGGTCGACGGAACTTAGTTCGGTCAAACCACAGCTTGATGCACATAACGTGCGCCTGTGTGGTGTTGGATTGGAGGAACTTGGCCTTGAAGAGTTCCAAGAAAAAAAGTTCTTCACTGGAGGTTAGTTTGGTCCCAGTGTGTTAAAGCATCCTTTTGAGCAAGTTCAAATGCAGAAAAAAATCATTCTAGACTAAATAAGTTGCTTGCTTACTTTATTAGAAGGTGGATCTCATTTAGCAGCAGCTTGTATCTTTGACGAAGTTATTTAAATGTAATTTGGCAGGAAATACAAACCATCTTGTGAAAGATCACCACCTCTTGCTTGGTAAACTTTCAAAGTTTTGTTAAGTTTTGGTACCTGAGGGGAAAGGTGGGATTTCAAAACTCAATTTTCAGGTTTATTTCAGTATTTTAATGGAAATGTGAAAAAACTACTCTACAGGCAAATAGCAGGGCTAGTCTGGAGGTGGGGGAATGTACACGTCATGGATTTTTGTATGACTGGTGATAAACACCATACTCTCTCTTATGTTATATAAATTCTTGCTTTGTTCCACAGAGTTGTTTTTGGATACCAAGCAGCAGATTTACAAGGACTTGGGATTCAAAAGGTGAGGAATAGCAAGACTGGCTTCTAAAATATTGTTTGCACACTAAAGCAATGAAACTATGAAATGCAGAGAGAACATATTGTGGGTTTCATGCAGCAGGAACCAAACATTTCATAGTCGCTCTAGGGTATATCAGCATGCAAAGAAAGTTGTGTCCAATATTCCAGGGCTAGAGAAGTTTGCTATCAGTGCTGGGTTGTTCAAAGCAGGGTTAGGATAACCCAGGGTTAGTGCAAAATTTGAATTCAGATATGAAAGCTTAAAAAGCAAATTGAGTTTTATTCTTTTTGCCTACAATTTGATGATTGGATGCTCTAAAAAGAATAGAGAAAATTATCCAGGAAAATGCTTTTGAACAAAAGGAAAAGAAACCCAGGTTAAAATTTAACCCTGGGTTAGCACTAATCGGCCTTCGAACAACTGGGCCCAGGTTAGTGAGTTCTGTTCTTCTTGCCCAAAGGGCAAGTGAAGTTGTTTGGGAATTCAAAATTACCATAGAAAAGAACTGTAATAATCCTGCTTATCAAATTTTTTTTGGCGGGGGGGGGGGGCTAGTGAAAATGACTCTCGCTAGTGCATGGTAGCTGCAGCTTGCCCAGTGGGCAGTTTGTAGAACTGACTTTCTTTGCACTTGGCTGCATAATGTAAGTAACTAAGGATCACAATGTGCTGCTAAAGCACAAAGCTAATAAGATGCAGTTTATTACATGACCTTTTTGTTGAACAAGAACTAGGTGCCTGAGAAAAGGGCATTCTGGCCTTGAAAACCTTATAGTATTATTTTCTTATTGAAAATTGTGTTAAATGGGTGTACTGGTTGAAAAGCTTCAGTTAAACTTCAATGGCTTTTTGGCAAAAAATGCATTTGAGTGGCAGAACTTAGAAAAAAGGAAAGGTCTTCTTGTGCTCAAACTTTGGTAAGTTTGTTCATTTGCTTTGTTTAGGTACAGTGCATTAACTGTCCTTGGTGGCTTGACAGCTAAAGTAACAAGGTTAAATATATCCAAGGTGATTGCTTAATTTTAAATACCTTTAATCTACTGAAGTCACAGTTTATTTGAAGTTTAACAAGTATGGAAAATAATGGATGAATGTGATTTCTGGTAAAGTTGACTGCAGAAAGTTCGTTTTTTTCTGTTACGTTTCAAATTTGTGAAATAGATGGTGATCATTTTTTAATCATGTATTTATGGTGCAAACAAGGTGATTCTCTATGATCATAAATTAAAGTTCTTTATTTTGATTCAAGTGTGTTATTCTCTTTTGGGTGCCTTTCATTATTACTCCTGTATGTGTGGTTCGTATTTTCATTTTGTGTTGTTGTCTGCAGGCAAACTCCAAAAACATAAAAGGAAACTTAAAGGGTGATGGAATGCTAAATGGCGGCATGCTGATAGTGACAGCAGGGGGAGAGAAAGTGTTGCTCAGCCACAAACAGGCTTCACCTGGAGATCATGTCCCTAATGAGAAAATTCTTGAGGTTCTTGGTATAGAAGTTGAAGAGGGAACAAAAGAAGAAAATGAATCAGCACCAGAGGGCGGGGCAGCAGAAGGGGGCTCAGAGAAATAACTTGCTAAAAGATTTGCTGAAGGGTTGGGAGTGTATCTGTCACTGTCCGTAAATTTTTATGCATTGGACTCAAATTGTTACACAGCTACTACTACTACTGCCACCACCGAGCTACATCCCAGGTCCCGGTGTTCCTGAAAGCCGGATTAGTGCTAATCCAGGATGAGAAATTTTGTTCCATTTTTGTATCTTACCTTTATGTGCATTGCTTAGAGTAACATTCTCTGTTATCATCACTAAATCTTGGAGTAAAGACACAACCAGTATTTTGAAAGCTCAAGAGGCATGTTATTAGACAAGAAGACCTTGCTAAAACTTTGGCTTAATCCTGGGTTAGACTTAACCTGCCTCTTTCGAGGAACCAGGGCCAGATGTATATGATGTGGTTTAAATTTTCTTTTCTTTTTTCTCAAACTCATTGTCATGCATTACCATACAATTTTACTTCCATTCATAATAAATAATTTATTACACCACTAATCAGAATATACTTTGACACTTCTATTCTCTATCCCAAACTAAACTACTTTAGGACTATAATGGGCACAGTACATATGTAGTCTATTTCCATATGATTTACTGGATGTATATGTCCAATGCCTTATTGTTAGTAAGTTCAAGTGAAACCACTTTCATGACAGCTATTCTCCTTTAACCCTTTAATTGAAAGGGGGACAATGCAGTGGAATATAAAACCTAGAGTGACTTTTGAGAAATTTGTTGCTAGATACACCCACCAAATTGCCTTGTGATTGCTTGGGAAACAAGGGCAAGATTTGACATTATGTTGCAAGTCACTTATGGTGTTATTTCATTTGCGTTTATTGCTATGATCACTGTTAAGCAAACACTGAGAGAGATTTAAAGGCATATGGCAAACATCTCATTTGCACTGTACCACTTGACCAAGTTTTCCCTCATCCATGTGAACGATTTTGTCTACTCACTTCGTAATTTAAAAAAATTGCAGCTGGAATCTGGAGTTTGCCATAATTTTGAACTTTTCATTACTTCTACACAAAAATAAATCATGTCTGTTTCATCCATGGGAACGATTTTGACCAGACAATTCCTAATTTAAAAAAATTGCAGCTGGAATCTGGAGTTTGCCATTTTTTAAAACATGATTTCAACTCTCCCTATAATTTATTAGTTATTAGTAGTAAGTGATTTTGCTTAACCCATGAAACAGATATAGTAAGAGTACTATGCAGTACCCACACTCTAATTTCATTGTTTTCTTTTGTTTACTTGTATATTTAGTATTATTGGTCTTTTTACGGGTTAAGTAAAATCACTCTATATTCTTGCTCTGCCAGGAGGTTAATGTAGATGGATAAATAATTGTGTAATAATTTTAGTAGAAAGTGTAAAGCATATAAATAAACTCAGAAAGCCAGATAAGAAAATTTTGTTGCCTACAGCTCTCACACGTTTTAAGTAATTTTAAGTGCCTAAATCTGCACTCCTTTGAATCTGGCTTTTAATGGCAATACTTAAAACATATTTTTTAATAACAAATGTAGGAGGAAAAAAAAAAACAAAACAAAAATCAAAAAAATGATTATAAGTAATTCTTTGTAAACAAACTCCTTTCCCAAAAGAAATCAGGAGCCATCATAAAATTATGTTAGAAACATACATGCCTGACTTTTTCTGATTTTTTTTAGAGTTCACTTTGTGTTCGGTGGTTTTATGAAGCCATTATGTTAAACTCTCTTGGAGCAGCATAAATGGTGGATGAGTCTAATAACCCTGGCCACATTGTTGGACTTCTAAATCCTTCGGGAAAATTTGAATTGTGTACCTTGATTGAAACATATGCTTTACATGGTACATCTAAGCTATTATTTTGCCCTTAGGGATTCTAAGTGACATATTTTATTACTAGAACGCTTCCTGTAATTTTGCAATGAACTGTGTTGAATATAACAGGAAAGGAGGATATTTAAAAAGAAAAAGAATTAAATATATAATCAAACCAAACTGTTATTGTTGTCTTCATTATTGGTGCCCCCTTTCCCGTTCCGCAGAAACGAAACTTGAGTAAACTTTGTCAAAGGAGATAATACAACACCCCCTTAGCTTACGTATACGCGTAGCAAGCGTTTCCGTTTGGTTTCGCAGCAAAGGAAGACCCGAGGGACGGGATTTCCTCCCCGCTCTTTTACTCGCACCATTTTTCGCGCTGTCTTTGACTCTAGTTCCTCATTCTCCGAAACCGACCGGAAACGCTTGCTACGCAGGCTGCACCCCGTCAGAAAAATAATAATACAGCGCTGAATAATAATAATGGGAAAAAATACCCAAAGCAAGCCGTGCTACTTCATCATAAAATTAAGCCCTTTCAGGAGCTTTCACAGGATTGTAATAAAAAAGATCCTCGGGTTTTTATTTATGTCATAGTTTTTATAACAAACAAAACAAAGGAGGATCAAGGTTTTTGCAAAAGCTTGACCCTTGACCCTATTCTTTAACAAAGTGTTTTTATTTTTCCGTAGTAAGTTAGTTTATGTTCAGTGTTTCTCTTCAATATTATCGATAATTTATCGCAACACATTAACTCACTGTGGTATTTGTGCTTCGTTCTTTTATAATTTCCATAAAAGGCAAATGCTTGCTAAATTTATGTTTCAACAAAATATTATACTGCGCTCGTCGGGTTATAATCCTTTAAAAAGTTTAGCAAGCCAATGAAAAGACGTCTTATATCTGATTAATTAATCTTGTCCAATCAGGATGCAACTTAAAATTACACTTCAGCCAGATTAATCGTGCAGTGGAATGTTCATATCCAGTTGCTTTCGCACCACTTTCGACGGAGAGCCTTTTCTGGGGGTGTGTAGTTTATTGTAAAACTATTACCTTGTGATTTTCTTAACATTCTGTAAAAATATTCAGCCACTATGTCAGAGACAGATGAACTGGCTCGCAAACTAGCTCATCGCCAAGCGCTGAATGAGAATGAAGAAATGCCTAGACGTCAGCTGAAAGTCTTCAACCCGTACACGGAGTTCAAAGAGTTTACAAGAAAACAGATCAAGGATTTTGAGAAAATGTTTAAGACGTAAGTGTCAGATCACTTTGATGTCTGTTACCTTATACTCAAAACGGTATTTAGAGTAATAGAGAAGAGGATTGGCCTTCACTAGTCCAGAGGGAATTCAGATTTTTCGCTTTCGAAATTCCTACGAACTAATCGCATCCTGAAATCGATAGCTGTCCATCTGTGTAGATTTGGAAGGTCGTGACATTCTCCTGTAGACTCAACAGTTTATCTTTTAGTGGTTTGAAAATGCTAAAAGAACAGCACAAGTTTAGGTTTTCTATTACAGTGGAATGTATACGGACTATGATACTGTATTTAATTAATTACATGGGTTTAATTATTATTCAAGGCCGGCCAGGGTTTTGGGGTATACAGTATATACAGTATTATTATGCTTAAAATTGGGTATAAAGTATTCCCCCACGACCAATTTTGGGTATAAAGTATACCACGTTTCTCTTAATTTTGGTATTTTACACGAGTCTTAGTGTAATTTTTGGTGTATTGGAAGGTTTATTTTGGGTATTCCACTACCTCCTCCCCCCCATGGCCAACCCTGATTATTCTCTCAAAATATTTCGCTATTTCTGATTAGTTCCAATACGGCAATTATATTCCATTTGTAAGAACCAATCTAGCCTGTGCCACAGACAAAACTAAACTTAAGTTAAGTCCATCTGCAAAACAGCACCAAACTCCTTGTTCTGCTGAGCCCCCACCTGTATACTGGGATTTGAGTACATGCCATGATTGGCCTGTTAAAAAAGCTATTGTTGATTTGCCAACCAGGTTGAAAGGAAATTCGAAGCGCATTTCCAGTAATTCGTTGAGTACGAAGGGGACCCAGGTCAAGGATATTGGCACTGCTTCAGAGATGTTACTAACTGGGGTTTGATTACACCTACAACGCAGGCTATCCAACATCTAGTCACCATTTCCAGGCGTGAATGCAGAGCCGAAGAAAATGATCAGAATAAGAAATAGCCTTATTACTGACTAAACATGAATGGAACAAATATTAGAATATGCAAACAATATTGTTCCGACAGTGAATGTCACCTACATTTTGAGGAGAATTTGAATGGAAAGACATCTGTTCATATTCTGAACCTGTGCTGAAAAACAGGCAGATGCTTTGAAGAAAGTTTCCAAGGACATATGAAGGGATGTCAAGAACTTAAAAGAAATATTTTGAATTAATTAGCGTGCGAGCTCTATGGGGTGCTTGGGCAGCGGGGCAGGAAAAGAAAGGAGAACTTGCAACTACGTCTCTGAAATTTGAATTCCACCTCCAAGTGATTTGCTCTGTCTGACGCTAGCTTGGACAACCAAGTACTAGGGCTCCTTCAGGTTCAGTGGAGCCAAGATCTGGAACACGCTTTCATGTATGTGAGACACTCAAACGGAAGAATACCAACACTCCAGGCTGGTTCTTCTCGCGATCAAACATATGGCTGCTTGAAAAATACAGCCATTTGAACTAAATTTGTTTGATTTAGCCTCCTGCAAGCTTGAATGACAAGGCCACAAGTTTTGCCATGCAATCTCATCATACAAGCTTCCCCTACTGAAATAATAATATGCCCCTGGGGAGAGTGGGTAAGGTGGTGTGTAATGGAGGATTTATATGGTACGGTTGTTCCTTTCTTTAGGTACGACGTTAACAATGATCATTACTTAGACCTCATGGAGATGAAGCAGATGATGGAGAAACTAGGTGCACCTCAGACACATGTTGGGCTCAAAGCCATGATTGCGGAGATTGACGAAGACAATGATGGAAAAGTTTCTTTCAGAGAGGTAATCATAATCCAGAACTTCATATTTTTTTCCCTATAATAACTGCTTCGGGAGTGGGGTGACATGTTTGAACTAATGCACTGCACTTTTTATCTAATTTTTTTTTTTATTCAAGACATTTGTTATGCTAATTACAAAGAACTAATTAAAAAGAAACTAATTACAAAATTCCAAACAACCGTAATAGCAGAAGGAGACTGACAAAGGGAAAAGTATTACATACTTACAATTATCTACAGTTCCCAATTATATACGTTACAGTCAAAAAACAGCTGCGCAATTGCTGGAAAGTGGCTTATTTCACAAATAGTTAATTAATACTTGGTGATGTAGTTATTTAATTTTGTTGCAGTTCCTTTTAATCTTCCGTAAAGCAGCAGCTGGAGAACTAGATGAAGATTCAGGCCTGAGTCAGCTTGCTAAACTTGCTGAGGTTGATGTCGATGAAGTAGGTGTATCTGGGGCTGCCAAATTCTTTGAAGCTAAAGTTAAAGAGCAAGCATTTTCAAACAAATTTGAAGCAGAAATTCGCCAGGAACAGGAAGAGAGGAAGAAGGCAGCTGAAGAAGCTAAAGCTAGGAAAGAAGCATTTAAAGCCAAGAAAGCAGCATTTGGTGTTAGTTAAAATAGAAAAAAGTCAATTCAAGTAGTTTTAAATGTTGTCAAAAAATCAAAATTGGGCAGTTTTGCAGTGACTAAAAAATGTTCTAGATTTTGATTGGTTGAGATTAGCGGTAATAATATTAAAAGGTCAAAAAATCAACTGAGCATTTAAGTCATTGTTATCAGCTTACAGTGAGGGCTAAATTGAAACAGCCTGAAATTAGAAAAATTGCTGCTTAAAACTTACCCCTTTTCCTTCTTTGTGGCTGTTGGATGTGCAGCTTTATTTTAATATGCAGTGTTGTCCTTTACTGGAACCTTTTTAGATTCTAGCAGTTTGTGGAGGTGTTTTTCCTGATACCATTGCTGATTGAGACATACCCTTCGGGCAGAGTCCCCTTAATTTGTTAGCCTACATGTAGCCGCACCCGCCCCATGAAAACTTCGTCTGGGGGAGGGTGTGGCTACATGTAGGCTACCTTTTCTCTTCTTGATCAAGGTGGAGAAAAGGTGGCTCTACCTGAATTATTTATTGCACCAAACCTTTGAGGTCGCCACCTTCCAAACTTCTGGACTAGTCAATCTTGTTTTCTCTCACCAAACCGGTTCTTTTGAGTGCGAGCATCTGTTTATTGATAAACCGATGGTCCCAACCGAGCCCGCTAAAGCAAACTCACAGCTATTAGGCCTGGGTTCGAAACTACATCCTAGCAACAAGTAGTGCATGCTCCACAAAGATCTTACTCAATTCATGGAGAGTCTTTCTCGAGTTAGAGTACATCTCTGCTGGCAGGGAGACCGAGATACTGAGGTTTCTTTAAATCACTGTGCAAAAAAGGCGTCAGCTCTTGCAGACTATTATTTTTTATTTGTTATGTATTGTGTTCCAGTGACCTCTAGCAACACATTCATTTTGGTCTAACTTTCCACTGTGAGCCAATGTCTATCAAGTAGGAGATTCTAAACATTTCACTTGTTATTCACTGCTACATTACTTTTTGAAATGTCATTGCAAGACTTGCCATTAGGAATATTAAAATTTCACAAGACATTATTAATTTTTGGCTGTTGAAAGAGGAATGGCTACTTAATAGAATAATAATTTTCATTACTGGTGATAACCAAAGGTTATACAGAGTGCGGGCCACAACAATCGAAGGTCAAAATGCTTTTGCTCCATCGCTGCAGTGCTTTGCAGCCTAAGCCTGAACAGTTGAAAAATAAACTTAGATTTGTATGAAGAAAAATGGTTTCACTTTATTAAATTTTCGCTTCTGTTTTTGTACCTTTAATGATACAAACATTTATCCCGATTCAAATCTATATGTTATTGTAGCTGTTGTTAAACATGTACATTGCAGATAGGCCCAGCTTGCAGGCTTGTCAGAAAATTTTGAAGTAGACAACTGAGTTGACAAAGTAAGCCGCCAGTGCTGGTGGCAGTGCTGAGTGCCCAAGACGCAAGCCTCTAGCGGGGTTTGGGGTTTATATATTTTTTTTAGACGCTCTGAAATGCTCTTTTCTGCACTATCCAGGCTATTTTCTCTCCAAAATTACTGAAAATCTTAAGTGTGTTATAAGGTGAATTACCGAGTGTAAGCATTAAATTTAACTGTGAGTGACACCAAAACAATTGCTATAGTTTTCAGAAGATGTTTCTTAACCAGTCCAGGGATATTTTATTTCAAAAACGCCACTGTATCTGTAAAGAAAGGCCAAGCAGAGTAGCCAGCAGATACCAACCAAGTAGGCGGTGATTTTCCCTTACAGCCAGCTACTTTTGACAACCCTGGGTTGCTGCAGCAATTGCTGGATTTATGAATGGCTATTTGCATTATGAATGTGAAAGCATTACTAAAATGAAATAATAACAATAGCCTAGTACACATAAGTTTTGGTTTGTTTGAAATTTAATATTCATAAACAGATAAAATAATACCATTTTAGAATGACATAGTAAACAAAAATGCACAATTACGAGACTCATGCAGGGTAATAAAAATATTTTGTGTTGTACCATTTGCAAGTTGGAATGAAGTTTCATACTGGTATTTCTTCTAGAACTAAATAGTACACCTCTTAGATTTATTTGATTAAATAAGGGATGAAGAAAGTGTGATAAAACATTGTTGGAATAAAATTTTATATGTTTGTAGGAGTTTCTTTACTATGCAGACTTACCGGCCATAATTTATCATCTTAACCAAGAAACCCTCTTCATCTTCTCTTCTACTAAAACTAGATCCACTTAACTAGAGAGGGCCATGCCCATATAGCCAGTAAATTAGGGTACCCCTCCCTCTACTAAATGAAAGGCCTAATTGTTACAAAAATTTTGTCATACGCTAAGACTTTTCAATTTCAATATAAATGGTCTAGTGCCAATTTTAAGGGTTTTTTTTTGCAGAAAGCAAAAACAAATGTATCCTTAAAAAGGATTTGAAAAATAAGTATATTTTATTTGATAATTATGATAATAAAATTTTGAAAGACTGTTTGGACAAATGAGAACATGTGACACCAACATTTGCAGTCCAGTAAACTTTGCCGACACACTTGTGGTAAAGATTGGGATGACCAATGTTGCTGGTGATCAACGTTTTTTTTATCAGAACAGTATCCTAGGCAGTACCAGCAGCTATGTCAGAGGTAGGGCAGTGGCAAATGGGAACCAGGCTTAATAATGTCCATCATTAGAAGGATAAAACTCCTAATCTGAGGACCCTGTGAGGGTACAATTCTGACAAGCGACATGGCCTTGAAACACCGTCATACGAAAGCAGAAATGGCAACAAATGTCACAAAGATGGGTTGAAACCGTGACAGCAACAGAAAAGTGCAAATACAATAGGAAAATTTTGGCAGCGATATTGCTTCTTCCTCAATATGCGAAATGAAAGGTTTTGAAATTCAGAATAGGGACGTCCATAACCCGCGTAAGGGTTGATTTCCACTGTCAAGCAATTTTTATGTGCATACATGCATGAAATTTACCCTTGCAAATAAAATAGAGGCAATGTATGAAAGGTCATACAGCTGTAAGTAAGCATAAAAGTAGAACCTCGCTCAACTTCATGTTTAATCTCAACGTTTTATATCTTGCCTCTATTTTATTTATGTGATTAAAATTTACGTGTGTTGACGTGCGTAGCCAAAAATGCTTCAGTGGAAATCAACCTTATTAGGGTCTCACTCAGGGGTGATCCAAACTCAAACATAGAGGGGGAACTCAATAGAAATCAAGGGTAGGAGTTGAAGGGACAACTCAAAAGGGGGTGAAACCTCACGTTACCAAACAGACAAGTGGTAACATGAGGTTTCACTCCCTTGAACCCACTAGAAAACCACAATAAAATACAGGGCCCTACACCACTTGGCCACATTGCCTCCAAGATACAGATCTTTCACTTTATAGAATGATCTCCTTTCATCTTCTCCTGAAACAAGATCATAACTGAAACTTCTTGTTCGATAAAAGATCAGGAAGATCTGCAACACTGTTAATAATGAAGTCCGGGCAACTTTCCTTAATGCATTCTAAACTTTGTGTACCAGTTAGAACTGCTACAGTCCAGCAGCCGGCATTCTTTCCTTCCTCTACGTCAGCTTTTGTGTCTCCAACTTTAACAACGGTACGAGGGTCAGTTATATCGAAGAATTTCATTGCAGTGTGGATCATAGCAGGATGAGGTCTTCCGTGGCCTGCCTTTTCGGCGCTACATAGATAATCAACAAGATTTTCCCATTGCAATGTTGATACAATTGATTCTACCACACTGTGTGGAAAGCCACTGCCAACGGCAATCTTAACTCCCGAGGTTTTTAGCTTTACAAAAACGTCACTTGTCCCTGGAATTTCATTCTTAATCGAAGAGAGATGTTTTTGCAAGACATTTTTAAAGTCTTTAAAGACAACTTCAACATCAATGGCCGGAGATGGAGATAGCTCATTGTTCAATATGCTGCGGATGGCATCCTTTTTTTCCAATCCACGATATTTATTGACGGTTTCTGGATCGATTTTATAGCCATGATTCTCAAAGGCGTCTCTCATTGCAACAGTAACAAGGGGAACTCCTTCTATAGTGTCATCTACCGTCGTACCAGCGAGATCAAACATTACCAATTTTAAGTTCCCTTCGTCCGCCATATTTGCCTTGTCACGAATGAGCCAGCGCTACCAACATCCTACTGGATAGCGGCAAATCTAACCTAGTGTCCAGGGCTCCCCAGGAGAAAAACAATATGGCGGATTGTTTGAAGGTAGAATATGTCAGAAACTATATTATCCTGAAATTCCAGGCTATTCTTTTCTATTATTAAGCTTTTCAGACTTATATCATATTTTACTTCTGCAGATACTAGTGCTGCACGGTTACAGGTGAGAATTGTACGGTTAGGTCAACTAATTAGATGCTTGATTGTTTGTTGATTTGTTTTTTGATAAAGGGTTACAGCTTAGATCAAAACTTTAGCGTGCCCTCAACACAGCAGACCCCAGGTATTGGACATTTTGAAGTCTGAGCTGTTCAAACTCTCTCATTTAAGTTCAAATATGGTTTTTAGTTTTGAGTGTGTGTGTGTGTGTGGGGGGGGGGGGGGGGGGGGGAAGGGGCAGGGTGAGGAGTGGTCATATCATCATAACGGACAGTCAAATGGCCCTTTCCCTAGACCTTGAAATGACCAAAGTTGTGGAAGAAAAGTAAATATTTATATTATAAGAAATCACTCTGTTTAATTTATTACCCAACACACACCTTGCAGGGTCTTCTTCTCTAGCCATAACATTAAAAATTTCCATGCATCCCTCAACCAACTCCAGTTAAATCAATGGGTCAAATGTTATTACCTGGGGTATTTATTTACTCCAATTCGCCAATGCTGGCAGGGTTATAGTAACAGCGCGGGACACCAATATTACTGTGGGTCTGTAACAGTCCCTCCCCCGTGAGAGATAGACCACACTGCCTGGGAATATGTCCTTAACTCTTTTCAAATAGTGTGTGGGGTTGTAAATATCCCACAGAATTTATATGTGCAAGGATTGTGAGACAGGGCCTACTGTTTATTGTCCTTCTCTGAGAAGACTAGAAAGTCTAACCATTTGCAGATGTCTTCACAAAGGCAGCACTTTCTGCCCAGTTATTTAAAGACCCTGTTGTTGGTCTGGCCGGGATTCGAACCAGCAGCCTCCCGCTCGGCAGAGCAGGGCTTATCAAACTGAGCTTACTAGGCGGCGGTTAAGGTAGAACTACCTTTTATACTGATGTCTCCATTTTATTGATGCATAAAACTATTAATTTTGACATTTAAGGATTATTATTTTGTGGTCTCTTTGAACAGACAGAGTGCACAGACCTGCAAGGAGAAACTTGGCGCTTTTAGAAAAGGACTGAAAAAACTTCCTCTTGAATTTGGTGAGGGTAGATTTTGTCAACTAGAATTTATATACTTTAAATTTGAAATTTCCTCCCTTATTATTTATTCCTGTGAGGCCAAGGGGGTTTTCAATAAAAATTGGCAAATCGAAAAAATGTTTTTAATCTGCTATCTTCTTTTTTGCTTTTAAAATTTATAGTTTATATCACTGCTCCAAACAAAATTCCATCAGAGGGTGGAGATATAGCAATAAATGAAGGTATGATGCATAAAAAATTTGCCATAGAAAAACGTGAGTTTAAAGACAAGTAAAACTTTGCACTGATAATTCATAGTTATTATTTTTATGCAGGATCAAATGAGTTTGGCTGGTGGTTTTCAACAGAAAATGATACATATGACCCTCTTAGTCCTTCAGAAATCTCAAAAGGATATGAAGAGTCATTAGAACTAGTAAAAACAACTTTTGCAGACAAAGTATGTAGGTGTTGACTTTATTTATAAATAAATGTCAAAAATATTTCTAATATTATTTTGATAATCAATAATTAACTACTCTCTCCACTTTTAATTTTTAGGGTCCTTTTGATGGTATGTATGCTCAAGATAGAACTGATTACTATTAATACTTTTGTTAATATTGACATTTATGGTACCTATTATGAAAAGAAAAACTTTTTCCCTTTATTTCAGGCATTCTTGGTTTTAGCCAAGGCTCCTGCCTGCTATCGGTTCTTTGTGCTCTAAGGGAACAAGGTATATTTTTTATATTCTGTAGCGATTACGAGCTTCATTTATAGACCATTTTTTTATATTGATTATAACCTTCCTTTACATAAAATACCCACTTTGATTCATATAATACCCACCATAGCTCCAGCAGATTTTCTGCCCATAAAATACTTTTTTGTTGGCCTGAGTTATTGATAATAATTATTGTTATATTAATGAACTGAATTCTTGCTTGAATGGTCTTGACCACCATCTTGCTGACCATTCATTATGTGTGTATTTTTTCCTTGAAACATCTGGTCCTGGTTGTTCAAAACCCTTATAGAGCCTTCCGCCAGATAAATCAATATCGGCCAGTTGATAAGTATTAAGGGAAACCATTATATAGCATTATCTAGTGGATAGGGATTTATCAAGTGGATAGTACTATCCACCTTTGATCAACTGGGGCCAGGTCAGGAACAAAAAATGTATAAACATGAAAAACTGATATTTTTGATTGTGTTATAGGGTGTCTAGATTTTAAATTTGCCATTCTTGTGGCTGGATTCAAATCTCGATCGTTAGGTCACAGTGTGTATTACAATGCACCAATCACTTGTCCCACTCTACATGTGTTTGGCGACACAGACAGAGTTATACCCAAAGGTATGTTATCTTTAGTCAAGACACTGGATTCTTCACCCTCCTCTTCCCTCGATACGGTGTAGTCTGCACACGGACATCTTCTAAAGTTTTACTGGAGTTGTCTGTGTTACCTCTGCTACACAGGCACTCAAAGGGGCTTTCCATGTAAAGAGAAGCTACTGAAAAAGTCAGTGCAGGCATATATTGGGTTGTAGAAGCTGGTGATTAAACTTTCAACTTTTGTCTCTGCAATCTTTTTGTGCAATGGAAATCCAGGAGAGAGGGCTTTTGCAGAGTGAAGAATAAAAGGCTCTGCCATAGACTAGATCCTCTTTAAGTCTGTTATTTTGAGGCCACAGAGTAAAATTTATTCTCTGGGGTTCTTGGTCAAGCTGTCTTTTTGTGACATTGTTTCTTGTTGCAAGACTCACAAAACGTACAGTGAGGACACTGGTCATTGTATGATAGCACATGTGCACAACATCTACATCGCAGAAGGCAAAAAAGGGTCATCATCGGGGCCATAGCATGGGGAGGGGCCGAAGGGCCATGCCATGCCCCTCCCCCAGTTTTTTGCCCCAAGAAGTCAAAACATGCATGCCTAAAATTTGAAAATAAAACTTCATCTCCCAGAGCATTGAAACAATGATGTCTCTGCAGCTAGGTGAAACATTTTCTGGTTTTAAGATACAGAGACCAGTCTGATGGGTCCTCTGCTTTTCAAATACAATGAGCTACCTAAAACTTTTGTGCCCCCTAGTTTCTAAAGGCTTACTACAACCCTGATCATATGAAGATAAAGGTACATGATAACTGCATGTTGTAAATGACCTAGTAGTTTGATTTAGGTAAGGAATGGTGTAAACTATTTTGCACCCTGTCTTTCTACATTCCTGTCACAGATCATTTTGATTGTTAATTACCTGCTGTCTTTAATTGAACAGAAAACAGTGAAGAATTATTACAGTATTTTACAAATGCCACGATTCTTAATCATCCTGGAGGTTGGTGAATAATAATAATAAATTCACGTCATTTTATCATAATGAATTTTTTTTCTGCAGTGGAATCTTTATAATATGTTTTGAGCTCACTAAAGTGTTTCATTTTGTTGTTTTACACTATTTTAACAAAGTGTTTATTTCTCTGCTCCTCAGGCCATTTCGTCCCAACACAAGCTCCTCAAAGAACGGTGTATATAGAGTTCCTGGAACAGTTTCTTAACAAGGCTTGACACTCTCTTCCATAAGCAAAAGTGTTAGCAGTAGAAAGTGGAACTAATTCTTCAAGAAGCCACAAGCATTCATTAGCCTAATGACTAAAGTTAGGTTTACACTAGAGCTCAGGTTGTCCCTTTACACGCAGATGCGTGATTTCCGAAATAAAAACATCCGGTTTTGGTCACGCTTCCAGAGCAATCCCGACCCAGAGCTGTTCTGCGCATGTAGAGGAGAGAGATCGCGCATTCCCAAACCCGTAAGCACTGGGGTCGAGAATGAGAGCAAAAAGTTTTGGTTGGATCAAAGAGCATGCGTTGTGAGGCCCAGATAGCCAGATTTTGGCTACGCTGGCGCAGAGTTTCCCAGAGCTTACGCGCGCATTCCCAAACCCCGTAAGCGCTGGGGTCGAGAATGGCTTCCAGAGATTTTGAAACTAGAATCAAACTGACCCCGTCCACTTACACGGCTTGGCCTTGAGACCGTTAACACGTATTCGGTGAAAACTGTTACCGAAGACGCATCTTTTCAAAGCGCTCCAGGTTTTTTGGCGGCTTATTGTTTTTCGTGTGAACTTGGCCTGCGAGCGAACTCTCCGGGGCGCTCTGGCGGCGGGGGTGGGAAAAGGAAGGAGAGCACTAGCTTGCAACTATTTCTCTGGAATTCGAATATCTGCATCGAAAAAGTCGATGCGAAATGCTGATTGGCGGAGATGACATAAGCTATGACGTCATTTCCCTTGGCACGTGTTTTTTAATGGTTGTTTGCATTCGCGCTCGTTTCCGCTTCGCGCTGATTGACGGAAATTTGACAGCTCAGTCAACGGGGTGCCACAGGGGAATTGGAGGTGGAATTCCAATTCCAGAATAGTAGTTGCAAGCTCTCCTTCCTTTTTCCGTCTCTGCCGCTAGAGCGCGCTGGAGAACTTGCTCGCAGGCTAGAGAGGACGGGCGAAAACGGAGGTTTTCTAATACGATGATGTCATACATCATACAGCGCCTGCCCTGTTAGGCATGTAATCGTACTCCTTTGGTTCTAGCATTTTGGTGTGGACGGGCGAAAACGATTCGCATGCGCTACGTGTGAACGCAAATTTTTTCGAATGCAGAGAAAAAAAATCTTAGTTTTCTAAAATATTCGAACACCTGTGGATGAGGCCTAAAGTGAATACTTTGTATCCGAATGAATTTTCTCGGATTAACTAATGTGTTAGTAAACCCCTGTATTAAAATCCGAACGCCCTAAAATGAGATAAGTCCGAAAAGAGCTCATCTACTTTGATCCTACCTAAGTTGAAAGCAGCACAAGTGGCTCTTTGTGGAACATAATGACTAGTTTTCCCCAGCTAAGAACATGCAAACGGTTTTTACTGGTTGCATGGTTTCGTCTAATACAAATATTAAGGTGGTTTTGCGTGGCTGATGACTGTACACGTGTGTTGGAGAGGCGGTTCTCAACGTGTGAGCTTAGAGTTGCTGCGATAAGCTAGAGCTAAAGTGACAACTAAAGATGAACACGGCATTTTTCTGAGATCTCAAGTGTAAAAAGTTTGCTATTTTTGAAGCACATTGGTTTTCGAAAATTTTGTTGCCAGTCGTGGGTCATTAGAGAGACTTACAATCACGTTTACGGCAAACGGGAAGTTTGAGGATTACGTGTAATTAAACCAAAACTTGAAATGTTAGAGGTTGCTTGAGGAACAACAAGGAACTTGTAATGAATAAATACGAAGGCCTATTTGAATATTATTCCTGAATTTATAAGTGTTAATAGTGTTATCTGGTTTTACCTTTTAGTTTGATTCCAGCAGCAGCGTCATGTGAGCGGTTTTATGACCCAATAAAAAACACAAACCCAACACCTCTCTGCATCTTACATGGGGAAATTAAGGCCCCTCCCACAAATATCCGTAATTTTTGAAGAAGTAATAAAAAATTGGGGATTGGCCCTCTGTCCGCATGTATCGCATAAAAACGCTCACTGAAAACACAACTTTCACAAATTTCCGTTAGTTATGTCATGTGAACGAATAATTAATTTTGAAGTATAAAGTTACTGGCCATTAAGAACTCATTTCTAGTAGAGCGCGGGCAAAAATTGACGAGGAAAAAAAAATGATGGAAGACTAGTTCCCCGCAACCTCCGTTTACCCGGCGTACGATTTGACTTGCTCCCCACCATCTGAACCCTGCGTTTCTACTATCTGAACGCCTGGAACAAGCTGCCGCGTGATTCGATAACAGATCTCTCACCTCCTCCATATCGCATTTCTCATCAAAGTCACCATTTCTCGGGTGTTAACAGAAGGAAATCGACCAATAAGAGGGTTTACTGGAATCCAGTGTACCTGAATAACCCTTTGTTGAGACAGGGGCGTAGCTACCTGTACTCACGATGCGCACATGTGTACCTAAAAAAGCTAAAGGTAAATTGCAATAAAATAAATAAAATAAAAAGATGATGGTAAAAAAGCAAGTAAACAAATAGAAGATTATTATTTTACAAAGCCAGGTCGCAAAATTAAATATAACAAGCGGCAGCGGGATTCCCTGTTTTTATGAAGTAGGGATGTGAGAATCGTAAGGAAAACTGTAGGAGTAGGGAAATTGAGTTTTGTGGCGGACCGAATTCAAAGATGGGCCCATGGTGCGCAGCCTTCCAAACAGTGAATTTGTGGTTGCGTTGCATTATCACAGCCTTCAGATTGTAAGCACGTCTTTTAAAGATTTACCTTTTTTGTAAGATATGATCAGACGCTTTTTATAAATGTTTTTAGAAGACGCTGATTTTCTATTGAACTTCAGTCTTCCAGCTGGGTGGAATGTAGTAATTTTTTTTGAGGACCAAACGATTGTTCTGAGTCGAACAAAAATGACCTTTGAAGAACTTTCAATTTCTTTTCAATTTATATGAGTTAGGATACCCGCGTGCTTTTAGGCGTAGTTTGAAGTTTGCAAGGTCCTCTTCATGAAAAGTTTTCTAAGAGTTTGTTTTCAGTACTGAGCAATCTTGTTGCTCCACCCTCGATTAAACCCGCCCTCTTTACTCAGGATTTCGTCATTTTATAGACAATAAAATCACTAAGGCTTAAAGGTACCCTCATATCTCATCAAGGCACCTAACAAAAAAAATCAAGAAGGAAGATTAATTTTGGAAAATTGAGCGTACCTCTGGAAAAATCCTTGAGATGAGTGAGAATAAGAATGATTAGGCGTTCCCTCACTATCGCCCCAGTCTCCCCTCCCTTAATCTGGACCACTGCATATCCTCAAGGTACAGATCAGAAAATACCCTAAAATTCCGAAAATGAGCCCCTCCATGATAAGCGCCTTCAAATGTAAGCCCCCCACTTGGTAACGCAAAAACCCCTCCGTTAAATCGCCCCTCCAAATATAAGTCCCCCGGGGCTTGTACTTGGAAATTGCCCTTAAATACAACAAAGCAAAACAAAGAAAAACGGTAAACTTCCTTCCAAGTATGTGGCTAGCCCGATTTTGAAACGCAAATTTCCCTCCCGAATATAAGCCCCTCCAGAAAAAAATCCCCTCAAAAAGAGCCTTTAAAAACTATAAGCCCCTGGGCTTATTTTCGGAATTTTACGGTATTAGTTTTGGTATTTTAACGACAAATTTGTATTTATACTGCTGATGTGCATACTGACGTAGTGGAGGTCATAGGGGCCGGGGACACATGTCATCTTCGGATATCCTCAAGATATCCCAAGGGTGCCTCTCCAGCTGGTACACTTCAGTGTCCTTTACACAACGTCAGACAGTCAGCGGTTGCTCAAGACTGAAAATTATTTCTTTCTTCCTCTTTCTCTTCTTGAACGATAACATTTATGAGACAAATCAGCTGTTGGTTTTCCCTTGATGGAGTATTTACAGAGTTATAGCCCTCGTGTTCCCAAGGGAGGTGATAAAGTTTATAAAGACGAATGCGTCTACTGCTTCAATTCTCCGGTAAGTGACTGTTCTTTGAATTGTCCAGCAGTGATCGTGAATGTTAGAAAAAGGAAAACTGTACAGACTCTTTATTAAAGCTTAATAAACCTGCTGATTGTTTGGGAATTTTTAGTCCTCTGAAGAAACTTACTATTTTCATTTATAAAGTTTCCTCAAAGAATTGAATGAAGGATGGAATTCGAAGTTGCGTGGTAGAGCAAACGTGATGTTGCACAGGTTACCCAAGCATTTAGATGTTACTAAAATCCTGGGCATTTCTCGCATTTCTTTTCATAGAAGAAATGCATATCAGAAATAACCCAAAATCGCATAGGATTCCTTTCAAAACTGTAATAATTTTGTCAACCTGTGAGTAAGCTTTCTTGGCAATTATTGAGGGTCCCAGGAGCTACAGAACTGTAGCCTGCGTAGCTGGCGGGATTAGCTTGGGAGTGCTGCTTTGGTGTGGAGGCATGAGAAGAGTGCAAAAATCCCTAAAGGGCTTTACCGCTCGCTTTGCATGGCGGCTCCGCCACCAAAAAATTAACCTGTGTGCACCAATCCCGCCAGCCATACAGGCAACCCAGGAGCAAGTAGAAAGAGCCATGTAATTGTTTAAAGAAAGGTTGCAGGCAGGTTATACACATGTCATCAGCGTCCCCCAGGGTTAGGACCCTGGACCAACCAGGGGAATATGTCGGGGAATATAACAAGATGGATTGGATTCTCCTCCTCTGGGGAGGGGAAAATTCATGACATTGTTTCATGTTTGAAGAAAAGGGGTGGGGAATTCAAAATTTTGTAATAATATTAGATGGCAAAGTTCACGGCAGTCCCACTGTGATTTATCTCTTTGCCCATTCCATAAATATCGGGAAGGTGAATTACGTGTTTTCAAGAGACCAGAGATGGAGATTTTAGAACGGTGACTATGGCTACAAAAAATTGGAATTTCTATCACTATATTCCGCTTCTCGTTGTAGGCCATCCTTCTCATCCTTTGTTTAAACTAGTCATTTTTCATAACAAATCAAGAAAAATAAGCAAGAAAATAAAGGTAACTAACATATAGTAAATTTTACGGGTACGCTCGCGCATTGCTTTGATCTGTAGTCTGGATATCACTTGTTAATGTAAATTAAATAATGCCACTGTTCTTGTTCCTACTGAAGAAAGCGTAGCTGGCGGGATCACATTGCCTGAGTTTGTGACGAAGGAATTTCCCCATTAGTCTGGTGGCTTTGTAGCCAAACTCATTTCATTCCAAACTCATTGCTTTTGTGGTCTATGTTAGCAGTCATGCGCAACAAATTCCTCCAGCTAAGCAGACTTGGCAAGTATACTAATTTAAAATTTAAGTATATCAAGTGAAGCACAGTTTTTGAGGTGGATATCAGGAGGATTTTTCATTGAGAAGCACTTGACCCAGGGGGACTTTGCCTTGTTAAATTCCCCCCCTCCCCCTCAGGGAAAACTGTTAACTTTGCACCACCCATTTTACAATCCCCCTGGTTGGCTCGGGATCCTACCCTAGGGGAAAGCTGATGACATGTGCATTACATGAGCAGTACCTTCACGGAGATCCTTTAGTCATTGAAATTGCTTTAAGTTGTGTTTATTTGGTTTTATTAGTTCATTTTTTATATAGTTGCGTTACATGCAAATCTAAATAGTTTTATTAACACTGAATAAAATTATAGGAAAGTGATGGAGGTCTGTATGTGTGTCTTTCCACATTCCTTGGATTTTGTGAGGATCATGTTAACCTTCATATCAGTAAAACAACTCACCGAGTATTTATGCATTTCAAAAAAGTGAAGAAGGTATTCCTACATTTAGTTTATTTCTTGATTGTGTCACATCCTGTTATATTTTAATGTCTTAATCTTTTAAAAATATTGTATTTAACTGTGTTCGGCGACAAAAAGGGGTTGGGGTTGGGCTTTTTGACGTTTAACTGACTTCAAAAGAGGAAAATAATTTATTATAGCTTTTCCTCCCAGCGGCGGATCTAGGGGGAGGGTGCAGGGGGTGCGCACCCCCCCTGAGATGACCTGTGGTTTTCTAATACAACTGGTATTCTGCAAAAAAAAAACTATGTGGTTTATTGGTGTTGAAGTAGAGCAAGAGACGAGTGCACCGCCTCCTAAAAAAAAATCCTGGATCCGCCCCTGCCTCCCCTCATCCACTCCATTCAATGTTGTGCCCCTGTTGGAGCTAGCTATAGAAAGCATCAAACACCCCAACTTTGAATGGAGCGGACAGGGGAGGGGTGTGGATTCTTTTGTTCTCTGAAGTTACCCTTTTTGAGAACAATGTCTTAACAATTTTTTCTCCGACATTAGTTATTTCAAGAACTTTCATGTAAACTATGTAAATTTCTACTCTGCTCTCCACCATATGAAAATTGCGTCTGAGCTTTTTTTGTTAGTTAGTTTTTTTTTGTTTTGTTTTGTTTTGTTTTTTATTATTATTATTATTATTTTATCAGAATCAGGAAGAGTTATGAGTTAACAATAATAATGCTATTAGTTGGAAATTGATCCCTCACAGAAATAAGTATTGTTATCTCAAATAAAATGTGTTTTTTTTTGTTCAATTCAAGCCTCAGATAACTGAAACAGACATCACTGTAGATACTCCACCAAAGAAAAAACCTACAAGATTAGCTATTGGTGAGTTAATTCACAACCAGCTACTGGGAATAGCATCTAAGTGGGCAAAATATTTTCATATGCACAGTACATCTAATAGTATATGTTACAGGTCAAAAATTTAAATTCAGGATAAAATTTTTCATCCTAGGTTGATTCTTAGTTTCCTTTGTCTCTTAGCCCTAATTATTTATGAATTAGGGCTAGGAGACAAAGGGACTTGAGAATCAACCTAGGCTGAAAAAGTTTAACCTGAATTTAATTTGACCAGTAAAAGATATCTGACTGAATTTTATTTATGTCAACATGGCCTCAGTGAGTGTCTGCAGGTCCTCAGCTAAGTATGTTCTGGGTACTGAGAATTTCACCCTCCCCTCCCAGGACACTGGGGTTGCTGTCTGCACCACCAACTGAGCTCTGCAATTATCATGACAATTATTCTCAGCAGAGGCCTGATTCAGCTGACTAGGGCAAAGAAGGAACAATGTACTTGCCAGTCAAGGCCTCTAGTAGATGCTGCTGCTTACTGAAGGGATTGTGTCAAAATAGCCCCCTCCCTACCCCTCTAGTTTCCCCCCCCTCCCCCAGGCCTGATCCACCCACCCACTGTTAAGGCAGTCCCTGGGCTATCTGGCTGTGCTGACCAAGATGGAAAGCCTCCTACTTTTTTGGACACTGCCCGTGCCTGGTGCTGGACGAAAACCCAGGTGCCGCTTTTTAATGAAATCAGACAGATATATATTTAGTGGAAAGTGAATGTTTGAATATGATAATCCTTTTTTAAAATCAATTGAACATTAATTGAACGTATTTTTTTTACATCAATCACTAGGAGTTGAAGGAGGGTTTGATGTAGAGAAACCAAAGGTAAAAATTTATTTATTTATTTATTTATTTATTACAGATTCACTCCACTGCATAACAAGCAAATAGTGAAATGAAATAAACTAACACTACTTCAACAAACAAAAACAAACAAACAAAAAAAAACAAAAAAAAGTTGTAGAGAAGGAGACAACCAAAAGCACCAATGCGCCATACTAGGGATGCCCCCACTAATTAACATAAAAATTATAAGAAAAATATATACAAATAGAAATATAAATGTTCTAGTTATCCTTAATAAAGCTTAACACATTTCTTTTAAAAGTTGCAATACTGTTTGATTCTCTAATATGATTGGGTAAACCATTCCATTCATCTACAACACAGTTAAAAAAACTGTATTTAAAACCATCAGTTCTACTAAAATTTGGAACAAGGTCCTGTGTGTCATTTTTCCTCAAGTTATAACCTGTATTTCTGTCCTTACAAAATATGAGCTTATTTGAAATGTCAATATCATAATGTTCATTAATTACATTAAAAAAAAAACTGTTAAATAAGCATGTCTCTAGATTCCAGGTCCCAGTAGTTCAAAAGCTGGATAGCACTATAACTCTCTAAACTGTAGAAAATGGAGGCAGTTTTTAAAAAATTATCCACTGCCCAATCAGCATTTCGCGTCGACTTTTTCGAAGCAGATATTCAAATTCCAGAGACACAGTTGCAAGCTCTCCTTCCTTTTCCTGTCCCGGAGAGCTTGCTTGCAGGCTAAATAGTGATTTATCCATCGGATAACACAGTATTCACCTTTTGAACTACTGGGGCCAGCATGTTAAAAATAAAACTCAATATCTCTCCAGTTGGTGAAGTTTAAAATAATGAAATCTACGTTTCATGAGGCAGGTCCTTAAAACATGTCTCAGGTGCCATCAGGATGGCTGCATAAAATACATGTAACTGTCCTTGTGAAATATACTGTTATACCTCTAAGTCATAGCTGCCCTTTGATTCAGAGTGCTTGCATTAATATTGCAGGTGACCAGACTCAACTTGGGTTTTGTCAGTCTTATCTGACTTTGTTGTACAGTATGTGTATAGGGTAACTGTCACAAAGTTTTGTTTTATTTATTTGTGGCTTTACTGTTGAGAATAGGTGGCCAATTTTGCTGTTATTTACTAAAGAGTCATAGGAATAGCTTACAGCAGAATAGTGGGCCCAAAAAACCCAGAAACTGGTGTGTTTTGTTGCCTGCCAGGTATTTTGTACAAACTTGTACATGAAGGTGGTCCATCTATGCATTGTTTTGCAGATACTGCAAAATGGAGGGGACGGAAACAAAGGTTGTACATAGTAGGGTGGTCATGGGCAGCTGCTTATAAACTTCTCTTTTTAATCTGCAGGTAGAATATGATGAATTTAACTCACTGTCAGTATTGGGCACAGGTGGAGATCCAGTCGTTATACCTCTTCCAAATGCTGATATTCCCTTACAGGTATTTAATATTTACTAACATTATTATTACTTATTGTTTAGGGCCAGGTTGCTCGCCATTCTTTACTTTTCTTCTTCCTCTTCTTCTTCTTTTTCTTCTTTTTCATTTTTTGCCGCCCTTTTAGTCTTTCCCTTGCCCCCACTATCCGCCCCTGGCTCTCCGAGGATGGGTTGTTCAAAGCAGGGTTAAGATAACCCAAGGTTAGTGCAAAATTTCAATTCAGATATAAAAGCATAAAAGGCAAATTCAGTTTTTTTCTTTTTGTCTACAATTTGACTGTCTGATGCTCTGAAAAGAATCGAAAAAATTATCTGGAAAAATGTTTTTGAACAAAAGAAAAAGAAACCTGGGTTAAAATTTAACCCTGGGTTAGTGCTAATCAGCCTTCGAACAACTGGGCCCAGTTGTTTCCTGCATCCCATCTGTCCATTCATCCCCACAACTGTACTTACTTGCTTGCTTTAATGAGGAAACAATGTTTAGGTTAATTAATATAGACATAACTGAAAAATGTTTCTTTTTATTTCTTTTTATTTATTGTTTTTTTCATAGGTTCAGCTGTCCATTGCAGGAGTACTTGCAGCTGATACGGCAGCCTACAAAGATCAAGTAGCAGCTTGGGATGGAGAAAAAAGGCGGATCTCAAAGTAAGCTTTAAGCCCCAATATTCACATACAAATTCTCCATACTGATCTCCATATATTTCCAGAAAGAATTAGTTGAGAGAGTTTGATAGAAGATCAAAGCATCTTCCCTTTGGTGATTATTTTATTGATTCTCATAACCTTCCCTTTTGATTTTGTCGTTTTATTATCAGGAGAAAATTAAAAGTTGGTCACTCTTGTGATAATAGATAATAATAGATTTTTGTATACAGCTATTTCAAGAAAGGTTGTCGGCAAAAATGTGCACGCGATCATCCCGAAAGGTAATATGGGATATGATAAATACACTGTTCCTGAAACTGTAGCTGTCAAAACTTCTTTTGTTGCTTTCCTTTAGCACCAGCAAACACACGTCCACGGCCTCTTGTGCCATTCTGTCAAATTTCTTTGAAGAACAGTGAACTCAAAACCACCCATAATACCTTTCGGGATTGTCGTGTGCACTTTTTCCAACAACTTGGGTCGAAATAGCTGTATGTGCATACTGTGTACTAATCACTAAATGAAAGATACATATGCTCAGACCACTGTGCTTGTAGTTGTAATCAATATCGTGGTACATATTTCCAAGCTAAAGACTCATTTTACAATGAAAATATTATCTTTTTTTTGTTATTTCAAAGGCATGCAAACAATCTGTTACAACTGGACAATGGTGTAAAAGTTCCTCCAAGGTTAGTTGTTATTTATGGTGTAGATAATTTGCTTGCTGATTGCTTGGCTAACAGTATGGCTGCATTTTTCTGAATGGAAGCAACTTGTTTATTCATATTTTCATCTGCGGTGTTTAATTAACAGAGGTGTTTAATTGAGGAAATATGGTACTTGGATTTGACTCAGACCAGCTGGGTCCGTCTGACTGCCAAACCAACCAACTGATTGGTTGTACTTGTCTGACTAACATTTGACTGACTGTTGCTAACTCTGACCGTCGGACCTTGATTGTCTGTCATCAGCAACTGCATGGCTTTGACTACTCTCACTTTTCAAAGGCAAAAACAACCTCCCTTATGTTAAAAACAGCCATAGATGAGAGGTTCCTTCAACTACATTCAAGTGGATGGCTTATCATTCTGTTCAAAGTCACAGCACCCTTTTTTATATCCATGTTCTTTTCTGCAGAGGCTGGAAATGTTCAAGGTGTGATTTGAAGGAAAATCTGTGGCTAAACTTGACTGATGGAACAATACTGTGTGGGAGAAGATATTTTGATGGTTGGTAACTACATGAGAATACCTTTCCTTTGAAAATGGATAGCAAATCATGTGACTAATATAACTGTAAATATAATGATTGTGAACTTTTTCCAGCACACTGAGGTAGAAACATACCGGTAACAATTTTTTATTTATTATTCACATTCAACTTGCCTTGAGCAGCCAAGCAGATTAATCCTCAGCCAAATCTCCTGTCATTTGTCTGAAGCTCCCTTTATTACAACAAACTTTTGCTTTTATGGAGCTATAGACACATTTGTCAGTCCCAACAACTCAATTTTATTATTCAAACTCTCTTCATTATCGCTTGTTTAGGATCTGGAGGTAATAATCATGCAGTTGATTATTACAAAGAGACAAACTATCCACTGGCTGTTAAACTTGGAACAATCACACCTGATGGTGCAGGTATTGCTGTTTATTATGTGCTTACAAGCCTGCCATGTTAACAGTTTATGTTGAACCTAGTAATAGGGACCTTAAGATTGGATTGCAAGTGAGAGATAAATTTACACTGTAAGTACAATGACTTTTTCAAGATCTTGTTGGCAAGGTGTTGAAAATTTAAGATCTCACTAACAAGATGTTGAAATTGGTTTTGAAGTGATGAATATATGAATTTTATATATTGGAATCGTGGAAATTATGAAGAAAAAAATGTAAATAAGATTCTTGCAGTTGAAGACGCAAATTACAGTATATAGTTGCAAAAAGAAAGCGTGGAAAAATCAGGCTTGATCCTGCCAGCAAGATGTTGAATTTTCAAGATTTTAACTCACCATATAATAAGTATCTGCTGTACATGTAACTCAGAAAGGATAACTCATCGATCTAATTCAGAATTTTCATGACTTCTTTGTTCGTCTTTGATGAACCATCTTCAAACATTTATTTACCTAGTACTTCGATGAAAGGAAAATGCAATGCTCAATTTTAAAGTCCTGTGTGTCTAATTTTGACAAAAAGTGCCCTTTAAATGCCCGGTGTGTATTTCATTTTGCAGATGTATTTTCTTATGATGAAGATGACATGGTAGAAGATCCTAATCTTGCTCAACATCTTGCACACTTTGGAATCAACATAACTCAAATGGAAAAGGTTTGTGATAAGCTTTGTATTAGCACAAATTCTCAGCAGATTAATTCATGAAAGCAACATCTGGTCTTTAGGTCATTTCTTCATTGCTTTGGTAAAAGCTAGACTACTTAATTGGCTCAAATGCTTGGAGCCCATTATCCTGCAGATTTTAGGCATTATTTTTTGAATTTTTTTAGGCGTGAAAAGGCAAGCGCGAAGCGAGCGAGGATCGCGAGACACACGCGACAGGGGGAAGTCGCCTTCCGCCATAGCGTGTGTCTCGCGCTTCTCGCCTGCTTTGTGCTTCGTTCGCCCGAAAAATGGGCGCCTGTATTGAAAACTAGGACAACACCAATATCTCTGTACTCTGTAAGTCTCCCATACTTTTCAGTTGCGTTTGTTAACTTTTGTCAGTGTCCTTTGTGCTGATAATTAAGTTGTTATAACTGCAGACAGACAAGACCATGGCGGAGTTAGAGATAGACATCAACATGAGAATACGAGAGTGGGATGTTATTCAGGTAAAAACTTCTCTCTTCCTGTCATTGTTAGCCTGCGAGCAAGCTTTTCAATTGTGGGAGTCGCGAGAAGGCACGCGTCAACGGCATGCGAAAGGAGACGCTCCTCAAGCTTCGCTGCTCGCTCGCGCGTTCTCTCACAGACTCCACAAAACTACTTTAATTTGGTTCACAGAGATGCTATCCTGCCAAAATATCAATATTTTACTGACGGATCGTTTTTATCACATTTCTCCAATTGCAGGAAGCGGGCAAAAAGTTAACTCCGTTGTACGGTCCAGGCTATACCGGATTAAAAAATCTAGGAAACAGGTAAAACGAAAAATAGCTCTGCTTTAGTTGTTAGAGGAATCGTTGTTTACATACAGTGTGAAAATTACTTTGTGGCGGTATTTCTCGCTCGTTACATTAATCCTAGCTCTTTGAAAGCTGTGAAATTAAACAGCGGTACATGTACCTGTTGTTGGCAGTCCATCTTTTTTGCGGGAAAGAAGCGGTCACAGGCAGTATTATTTTCTCCAGATAAAGGATTATAACCCTCGGAAAAGTGTTCAGTTTAACCGCGACTTATATTCGATCAGTCATGTCTTTCAGCTCACTTAATAAACGCGGTGTGATTTAGTGGGTCTTATTGCACTGTACGTCTTGCTAAATCTGGAGTGATAGTGATTTGGGGGTTCGCTCGTCAGTTTTACAGCAGAATACGCTGTCTTTCAACGTGTATTTTTTGAGCGGTTTTGTATTTAACTCTTTTGGGTGTCTTCTTTACGTCATTCACGCCCCGTTACCAGCTGAAGGAACCTAACCTATCTCTCGCCCGAGGGAATATTTCCTGACAATTTTACTTTTAATTGATTCAATTTTTGCCTGTGTTCTTCATTTTTAGTTGTTACATGAACTCAGTAATGCAGGTCCTATATTCTCTACCGGAGTTTAAACAAAGGTAACCAAAAAAAGAGACAACATTCCTACTTATATAAGCTTATAGCAGTTTAAAATGGTGTCGAGAAGATGTGCGGTAGCAATGTGACTGTTTTTTGTAGTCAGGAAATTTTAACCTGTGAAAAAAAAAACTGTTTAACTTATACTTTTTTAAAGGTATGGAGATCAATGTGCCGCCATATTTTCCAAGGCGCCTGCTGACCCGAGTGGAGACTTCAATACTCAAATGTAAGTTGTACCTGTGACCTCGAACATACCACAGAATTCAACTCTAAAATATCGGCCCTTACTGATATTGGAATTATAGAATGTTCGACTAGTTCTCGTATCACGTCAGGTGGAAATTATAAGTAAAGCCCCACAAAGTCCATACCTATGGATCTCTTAGCCAGTGCTTCGTGCATTCTAGTTTGGGAACATTGGTATTCGTGTAAGGTTGTCCACGCCCCGTAAAATCTCAAAACCTCAAACTTCAGCATCACTAGTACTGACTCTGGTAAGAAGACGTTCATTTCAGGGGTATGGCACCGCCGAGTCCTCTTCATTTACAGTGTACTGTAACTGTACTTATTTGTCGTTTCTTTGGACCTAAAGGGCCAAGTTCGCAGATGGACTTCTTTCAGGAAAATACTCGCAGGCACCTGATAAAGATCTTCAGGAAACGAACCAACAATCAGAACAGGTATGATCTTTCAACTGGCCATTCACATACACTCTGTTTTGACCCTGTGTGATAGTAAAAACATTTCCTGTTGTTTGAAGAGAGGTATGTTTGTTGGATAAGGTTAGTCTGCCGTTCCTAACTGTCAACATTGGGAAAGCCAAACGTTAACGAAGTAAGCAAGTTTCATTTTGTAAAATTTAAAAAAAGGAAAAGCACCATGTTAAATAGTGCTGATGAGGTTTCACTCGAATGTTCGTCTGCAGACTTAAAAGTTAGAAACATATTAGATGCCTTTATCACTTGCTTTAGCACTGAATGGGTATACTCACAAAAGCAACAGCAATAAAGCTTTGGGAAAGATCCTGCAACTTATCTAAGTAAAATCGTAACAAATAAAGTGGTGCAGAGGGAAAGACGAGTCAAAGTAGTTGCTTTTAAATATTCACACTGTCGAGTTTCGTCCACAGACTTTTATTTTATTTAGGTCTTGTAATAGTCAAGTAAGTATAAACGATGCTGCCTCGACAAATATAATGAAACTTCAGTATAAAAGGGATAACATGTGTAACATCACGGGCTTTGTTGTACGTAACGTCCGTTGCTTGTACAAACTGCAAGTATTGGGTTAGCCTGCGTGTGTTTCTGCGCGAGTTCGTCGAGAAAGGTGGAGCGAGAGCTAAACAAATAGAAGAAGATGGAGGGGAAGGAGAGAAAAGGAAACCCCTCCCCCTCCTCCTTCTTCCAGTTTTGTGTCCTCTCGGTCCAACTTTCCCGCAATAACTCGATCGGAAACGCTTACCACGCAAGCTAGTATGTATTGGCAGTATTAAACTTTTAAAATTTGGTTTGTTTCTCAGGAACAAGATGGTATTGCTCCTCAGATGTTTAAGTCAGTAATAGGGCGCGGTCACCCTGAATTCTCCACCAGCAGACAGCAAGATGCAGAGGAGTTCTTCATGCATTTAGTCTCTACAATCGACAGAGCAGAGGTTTGCTTCTAAGCAGTAATACTTTCTCTGAAAGAACCAATTTACATGTTTTTAGTCCCGGGCTGAAACGTCCTAAGTGATACAGTAATAGCCCGCGTATAAGAACCTGGGTTTTAAGAACCTGTTAGGCTAAAATTTTCATTTTAAGCCCCCTCCACATAAGAACCTATTTAGGCTAAAATTTAAGTTAGGTTCTTATCAGTGGGGTTGCTGTAAAAGTGTATAGGTAGAAACTGCTGAATTAAGATCATCATCTATTTTGTTTTTCATTTCTCCTCATTGCTTGAGCTTGTTATGAATTTGATATCAACATGAGTTTCTTTGTTATGTTTTGTTAAGGACATATGCTGTACCTGCACTGAACTGCCTATAGGCATTGCTGTATGGTACAAATAAATGATTTATACTGTATTATGAGATGATATTTATAATATATATAGTATATTCAGATGAAATTCATATGAAAATATAAGAACCTATTTTAAGAACCTCGGTAGCCTAAATTTGCTTTAAGTACCATTTATATAAGAACCTATTTAGGCTAAATTGAAAAATTCAGGTTCTTATACGCGGGCTATTACTGTATTACTTAATGACCATGTAACAAAAAATTGATACAGTCGAATCTCCCGTAAGCGACCACCCAAAATCCGTAGATTTAGTGGTCGCTTACGAGAAACTGAAAGAACCACAGAGGGTCTCTTCCGAGAGGAAGTCTAAACACATCTACTTTCTGGAAGAGAAAACGTTGCCTGCAAAGTCACGCTATAAGTAGGTTAAGTTTGTCTCTAGAAGTTATTTGCATACTCCGAGTAATGCTGTAAATGGGCAGAGAGATCAGACTATGGGTCGGAAGTGGTCGCTTACAAGAGGTTAAAAGCAATGGAAACTCTAAAACAATCACTCCAAAAGTGGTCGCAGCCGCTTGCGGGAGGTGGTCGTTTACAAGAGTCTAAGGTCCCAAATATAGGGCTATAACTGGAAACACCTTGGTGTTTTGGATAGGTGGTCGCTTATGGGAGGTGGTCGCATTTGAGATTGGGTTGTATAATAAAATTAAATCCGTTTTTTCTCAAGTGGCGTGTCCTTTTATTTTACAGCGATCCAGTGCTGGGCCAATTAACCCGGCAGATTCGTTTAGGTACAAGGTACGTCTACAGTTCACTCCTCTTTGTATATCCACCTGTGGAGAAAATGCAAGTCTATAACCTGTCTGCCCCAGAGTGGTGCTGCATGTGTTACCAAGTTTGTCGTGAAACTGTTGATTGCCGTGCAGCTAGTGATGCTGAGTCTTGACTGCTCATGCTTTCTGTTCCCTCTCCCCTCCCCCGTAGGTAGAAGAACGTACGCAATGTATGAAGTCGGGAAAAGTCCGCTATGTTCACAGAGAAGACACGCTATTGGCGCTGTCAATACCAATGGACGCTGTGCAAAATAAAGGTGAACGTTTCATTTGATAAAAACTTGGCTACCAGATAACCTGTGAGTCCAATTTAACTATCTATTGTTTTGTTCAGCAGTCGTTGTTTCATTGACCTGTTTCTTTTTTGTTTGTTTGTTTTTTTTCTTTCAGATGAAGTCGCAGCGTATGAGTTGAAGCAGAAAGAAGCAGAGGCAAAAAAAGAACGATTGTGAGTTAGCTTCGCATTCTCTCAAAAAAATAAGTTCCTCCTTTGTAGATTCCTGATAGTTTGTTACCAACAACCTCAGTACGTGATCGCTATCGGTAATATTATGTTAGATGGACGAATGACAGAAACTTTAACAGAAAAATGCATTTGTAAATAGGGGAGAAATTCCGTTGTCTGTTTCAAAGCGAAGCTAAATGCAAAGTTATTGATATGAAAATATTTTTCTTTTGTGACTCGTGCAATTAAGACTTATTTGCACAAGAAAGGTTTTGCACTTGGCCTCGATTTGAAAGCGAGAATTTTTTGGAACTCGGAAATAGCTTATTATGGCAGGAAGATTTAGTGGATTTGTTACTCTTACTTTTAAATCTCTGGTCGAAATCCTTTGGTGTTAACATTCAAATGAAACCCAGTAGGCAGAACTTTTACATTGTACCATTTATTACTTTCATTTTTACAGAAAGAAATTTAAAATTTTCCTCTTATTTTTGTTTTTATCAGCCACTATTACGACAATTGCAAGAGTCAAATTGTTACTTTTTCGTTTACAGAGATCCCAGTGAAATGGTGCGGCCCAGAATAGCCATGTCAGCGTGTGTCGAGGCGTTTGCTGCCCCCGAAATTATCGATGATTTTTACAGCACAGCTATACAAGCGAAAAGTGTGGCGCAAAAGTGAGTGTATGTCCGTCAACATGAAGTTTAATCTTTTTAAATCACTTTCGTTTGTAGTAAGTCACTTATAGGTGACGTAACTGAAGAGCAGTTGGCTGTTGCAAGCAAATAATGTAAGTGAAGCTCTTAGCTTCGAAAGGAATCGGTGGGGGAGTGAAATGCAAAGATTCGTAACTGAGTTACTGCCGTTAAAAAGCTGAAATTTCGAGGGCTCTGCTTTCGTCAGTGCGAATAATGGAATTGTTGTGTTATGGAGCTAAAGAATGTTGGGTGTTACGATTTGTCAGGATTATTTGGAATTCCCTAATCCAGAAACTATAAGGGAATGGGTACAAACTTTCGGCGCAACGATTTCTGGAATCGTTTGGGTGGACAAACATTAGTTATGATTGGTCGATGGTATTCAAGGCAACAATTAGCCAATCATTACAAACGCTTTTCCACCCAAACGATTTCCCAAAAATCGCTGCGCCGAAATCTCCTACCCATTCCCTCATAGTTTTTGGAGTGGAGAATTAGGATCGGTACTTACCCGCCAGTTTCTCATATTACTCGTCAATGTCGCCCATGGTTTTAAATGTTAAGTAGCTATTCATGGTCTGTGTTGACTGACTCTCATTGTTCTTCTCTTTGTTATTTTAGATCAACGAGATTTACCACGTTTCCTGATTATCTGATGGTACAGATGAAAAAATTTACGCTTGGCGACGACTGGGTGCCAAAAAAATTAGGTGCATAACAGATCTGTTATGTCTTATTTGGCAGCCATTTAACACGTTTACTCCTTTGTATCAAACCTTGTGTTGTTCTTCTATAGTGGGATCCAATACGTAAACCTATCACACTTAGGAGCGACCATCGCCTGCACAGCAACGCGAAAATTGCGCCGAAAATAGCGGATACTTTCATCGTAACACTGTATCTGTTCTTGTCGAATTGCACCACGAGACCCTTTTAAAGACGCTATCGCTTCATGTATTGGCTATAGGGTAGACTGCAAAATAGTCCGCATTTTTGCGTATTCAAGTACGCCCGAGTAGTCAAACAAAAGGTCTGGAGCGAGGTTGAAAACATAGAGAGAGACTGGGGAGAGACCCTACGAGCGTGTGAGGCTCGCGCGCTTCGTGTGGGTAAGGCTCTTACCCTACTCTTACGCTACACTTAACCGATTTTGTGAAAAAAAATCGACTGTTTTGCAGTCTAGCTGTTACGAAGTTGTACTAGAAAGTGGATAAAAACTTCGGCCCCCCTAAAACAGTCCCATGATTCAAAACGACACAACACCAACCCAGTCTCTTACTCAACATCCTAATGACCATTGTGCTTGTGTACATTTGTGTGTTTTTAATTAGTAGTATTATTTTTGTTTTTCAGACGTTTCAATAGACATTTTAGATGAGCTTGACTTGACTCACTTAAGAGCCACTGGTCTGCAGCCAAACGAACAAGAATTACCTGAAGGTGAACAAGCTGCTCCCGCGGCAGGTAAACTGTCTGTTTTCATAGTCTTATTACCAGAAGGTGTTTTTTTCCAGGAGCTGGATTCCCGAGTCATTGTCAATGAAACTTGGATTAATGGATTCCGGATTCCAATCGTTTGTAGGATTCCGGAATCCTTTAGCTGAATTCCGGATTTGAAAGCCCTGGATTCCAGATTTTCTCGGATACCGGAATGCGGATTCTCCTAAATGGGGCGGTCCGTTGATTGAATAAAATCTACGGAATCTAGTTTTACATTTTACAGAGGTTCTGCTCGTTTTTTACTGCATTCTACAAACATTTTTATCAATTTGAACCTGATTTGTTTATCAGCCGAGGTGCAAATAGATGAAAGCGTCGTGATGCAGCTTGTGTCTATGGGTTTTGACAAGGAAGGCTGCCGGAAGGCTGTTTATCACACCAATAACCAAGGTATGATTATCTTAGTTGCACTGTTTAGATGGTAAATAATTATCACCTATTCAAGCAGCTAAACATAGTTTCATCGCACTGCTCTTCTGTCGCATGGATAAAACCAGGAAAATCCGCACTTTTATGTGTGATGACAAATAAAATATTCCTTCCGTGTTTGGTGTATTAGGCTTGAAAGCGGTTCAGGGGCGGTTACTTTCTTAAAAAAAGATTCAAGACGTTCACAATTGAAAACCTTTTTTTTTGCTTCTACTTTCTGACCTACTAATTACCACGCTAAGACTCTATATTGTCTTAATTTCCCGCACCCAAAAAGCTGACAACCAGAATGCGGTGCGGGATAAGCAAACAATTCTTAGCCCATTTATTGAACTAAATAACTAATCGCAAAACAAAAACAATTGTTTACACTGCTTAGACAACAAAAAGCTGTGTACGTCTGATCCGGCCGAAGTAAATGAGGAAACAAAGCCACTTAAACAAACTGTTTTAAGTCACACGAACAATCATCAGGAAAATATAACTGAAATCGTTACGAAGAAATGGATTTCAAGATTACTGTCAAAGTAAAGAATAGAACAAAATTTAACTGCCCGCTTGAACTTGTCAATTTTGTTTACTGTTCATATATAACTACTACTTTAAATATCACAGATTCTTGCATATTTCGTATCCATAAGAATTGTTTCAAGAAACCCTTATCTTTTTTTTTCATTGCCCTTTTCTCATTCAGACAAAGATAAATAAACAAACTATATTGTAATAATTTGGAGGTTTCATGTTCTCATAATTGTCGTATCTCATCATAGAAAGTGACCCTAGCCCTTTTGGAACTTTTTACATTACTTGAGGTTAGATCTAATCCTTGTTCTTTCTAAGGCTTTTTTAATTTTATAACTTTTGCTTTATTGTAACTATGAGCATTTATTGGAACTACTGTACTAAAACTTTGGTTCGCAAAAGTGGCAGCGACCGTTTGCGGTAGGTAAATACGCTCACCCACAAACTTCCGTACTAAGCATCCCATTTTTAAGGGTAGGGTGTGCAAAGAGTAATGGATGTCTCAGAACTCTAGAATGACAAATCGAGGTTACGAGTAAACGGTTCAATGACGTGTTTGTATTCCATCTAGGTATTGAGCCAGCTATGAACTGGGTTCTGGAACATATGGGAGATCCAGGTATGACGTCACAGAGACAGTCACAGAAACTTTATTGACTGAGATGTAGAGCGTAATCAGCCCAGGTTAATTGTGTGTAAATGGAAGACACTACAAGTTAAAGAATACAAAACATACGAACCATTCAGGCCGGAAAAATTCTGCAATTTGCCACGTAAATACAACACTAGCGTAGCCTAACATATAAATTACGTGTACGTCGAAATGGCGCAAATTATCTTCTTTATGGTACTCAAAGTGACTTCCTCTGGGTGCTAGTGGCTCTTAGCACCAAAGTAGAAAGATGAAAGTACAAAATAAAGTTATTTTCTTACTGGTACAAACCGTTCATGGCTTTATTCAGGGGCACCCAACGACTGTTTTCTGTGAAATATCTGTTAAGAGACGCAAATGTTGCCTGGAATTTTCTATCACGTGATGACGGCTAAAACTTTCTAGACGACCGTTCCACTCATGTACAATTTTCGAAGCTTATCTAATGAATTCCCTGGGATTTTCGGCAGTTTAATGTTCACATTTCACTTTCCCAAGTTAGGCTATTTTTCGTAGAGAAAAGGAAACCTAAAATTTTCGGACTCGACAATTGAATGGAGAGAGAAACCAGAAAATGTCACACTTTCGTAATACGTCAAATTGCATCTAAAATTCTCAGGAAAACAATTCTCAAGCCCTTGCAATTTCGAAAAGAGTAACGTTCTCCAAGGATGACCGAACAGATACAAATTTCATAGCGCCCGCGTAGAATACTCTGAATAGCCTAAAAAGTGTTATCAATGTATTTAAGAGGAAACCGTCGCTGGGAACCCCTGTTTATTTCCTGATAATGCTTCAATCCATAACTTAGATTTCAGTGCACCTCTGAGCCTTCCAGCCAGCGGTTCTACAGGACCAACGAGTGTTGACGAGGAGGCTGTGGGTTTCATCACCGCGATGGGATTCACTCGGAATCAAGCCATTAAAGCTTTAAAAGCCACTGTAAGTATCAAAAGGTTCTCTTCACGGATTGGTTAGGAAAATTTGAGATCTGGCCAATCCAAAACAAGAACTTTGAATGATTCTGTGACAAGTCCAGCAAGAATATTGTCATAGTGCCCAGTGCCCTTTCGCTTGTCTAGTAAATGCCTGCAACGATTTCGTCCTTAAATGTCTTGTGCGCCGCCTGAGTCTCAGAAGCGTCAGAATGAAAAAGAAGGTATGCTGACTGGTTTAAGTGGTTAATGTGAGACTGCTTATTACAATGGATAGTAGGAGAATTTTGATTGTTATGCTGCACCTCTAAGGCACACGCGGGAAATACTAAGATAAGGGCGTATAAGCGTATGCGAAAAAGTGCCGCATAAGCGGGTTTTCGTCGGTGAGGGGAATAGGGGGGGGGGGGACGAAAGTATATGTCCTGTCGGGGCAAGAACGCATAAGACAGCGATCTCATGATAGCAAAGCATTAAAATACTGCGCTCAATACCCAGGGGTCATGCAAGGGTCCCAGGAGGGAAAACGTGCTAATTTATGGGGCCCGTGCGCCCACTTCGGAGCAAACATGCCAATGAAAATAGGACACAACAACAACAAGTCATAGTCTCTTGAACAAGTTTATTCAGTATTACCATTTTGTACGGGTGTTACCGATTAAAGTAACAATAAACAGCTAAATTTAAGGAAATGAAGATATAATGGAATGGTAGAATTAGTTATGTTTCTTTCGTCTTTCAAATGCTTGAAAGACGAAATTAGCAGTTAGCCATGAAAAAATGTCTTTCAACTGTGTACGCAGTTATGTGCCAAAGTGGCTTGTTATGGTGTGACGCTTACATTGCCTTTATTTTGGGTTCATTTTCGGAATTGCTGCTGATAATCAAGTCTACGTGGAAGTTGGTTATCGTGAGTCCTAGTTTTTTAAGATGAATACTAAGATTCTCCGTTTTCTTATCTTTATCCCTTACTGCAGAACAATAACTTGGAGCGAGCAGCGGATTGGATATTTAGTCATGCGCACGAGCTCGATACATTAGAAGACGAAAGCCAAGGCAACCAGGACTCTGGGCCCCAGTACAAAGATGGAACTGGAAGTATGTAAATAGAACGTGTCGTTGAAAATTAAGAATCATATATAAGACAACGAGCTAAGATGCTCTTTAAACCTGTAAAACAAATACTTTGCTTAACTTTTATCCCATACAAGCGTTAATCGTGTTAACCCCAACTTTTCCTTACTCTCATTTTCAGAGTACCGTCTTGTTGCCTTTATCAGTCATATGGGTACTTCTACAATGTGCGGGCACTATGTATGTCACGTGCTGAAGGAAGGAAGGTACTTGAACTATCTTAAAATTGCTAAATTAATAGGATAAAACTTATCTCTTTAAAGGAGCTGTATCGGAAAATTTAGCCAAATTCAAAAGGCGAAAACTGCCCGGTGAGCGAAACGTAAAAATTACCGCGGGAAACATTGAAAGAAAAGTACAGAAGGAGGCAGGATCCGCCAAAATTGATAAAAACTAAAACAGATAGTTATCAGGGTTATTGACGACTATTCAGCCTGACAAGTTTTCAAAGTTCATCTCTCTTGTTTGAAAGGTTAAGTATAATGAGTGAGAGACACATTTGTTTGGTGCGAAGCTCTGCCATTTGCTTTGGTGAAAGTTACAACTTGTTGTATTATTCCAGAACTTTATTTATTTATTTATTTATTATGTATTTATTTTCCTTTTGTTTGTTTGGTTTTGTGTGTTCTTAGATGGGTTATTTTCAATGATCGTAAAGTTGCCCAATCAGAAGCGCCCCCAAAGGACCTTGGTTATTTGTATCTTTATAAGCGAATTGACAGTTAACGTTTTTGGAGCTCGCTGTTTCACAGCTGATACCCAAGTCATGTTGGCATAAATGGATTGTTCTTGGTGTTGTCCAGTATAACCCATGGCAAAATAAAACTGCTGTGCTGCATCGTTATTCACAAAGACTTGTTAATTTCCATCCTTTAGACTACGTTGGAACATTAAGACATTTACAATTGAATGATTAGAGTATTAATAAAATGCTTTTTAACTCTTGCCAGTTAGAGACGTTCAGTCACACGCGTTCTTTGCCATGATAATTTTCTCTGCGAAATACTATGTACAAGTTATATACAGCAACAATAAGAACAAAAGTAATTTTACTACAATAGAGTTGAAAAAGGAATGCTTGATAAGTTCGATGCTTATCGAAACCATCTAGTGTCTTTGACGGCTATACGTTCTTTGCTTTTGTAATCTCTGTTAAACGTAGGTTACTACTACTCTTCTCGCTTGACTAAGGCTGAACCTGTTATTAACTACTGATATTTTCAGTGGCGTAAGTTCTTAAGATCACTTGTTCATTTAATGCTCATCGTCAGTTCATATTGTGAAACGAGATATCCTGTTTTTGGGTAGACGACAAGGTGATTTTAGTCAAGAATTGGTCAAAGCAACTATGTTTTGAATGCTGAGTTCGTTGGAAGAAGTAGGTGATTTCTTTCCTGATTTTGTCCCAGACCACATCTCACTTTGAGCGGGAAGGCTCGATCCCGATCAAAGAATCAGCATTTTTTAACTCTTCACGTGCGCCATTGTGCATTACAACCAACGATTCCTCTAGTAAATTACACGACTCCAGGTTTTGAGACCCTTGGACATAATTATGAAATACTTCGCCTTTTATTTGTGCCATGCCATGACTATTTTGCCTTTTTTCATGATGGGTGAGTCTGACACCATTTCAGTATTAGTACCTCCACTGAACCGAGTCATGGTTGTTTGACGTTCTGTTCGAATGCGTCGCTTGGGAAGTTTGTCTCTGATGAGGCCACGTACTTTCTTTGTGGTGGTAAAGCACAGCATAATGAAAAACCCTGTCAAAGAGTAACAGCATAAAAAAAACATTTTTATAACGCCCTCAATTAAAAATTGGTTCATGCGTCAGCAAGCACGCGGGAAGTTTGGAGAGCACGAATGAGGCGTAAGAGTTGCTCGAGGTGCAGTCGAGTGCAACTCTAGCCTCTAACTCTTTCTCAGAACATCCAGCGCTCGGTCGTCCATCTTTCCGCAATACAAGTCAACATTGAAGAGAAAAGAATACGTCGCTTTCTTCCAGGTCCGATAAGAAAGCCATTGAACTTAACTGAAAAAGAATAGTCTTGGACATTCTAAGCCTGAGATCATTTAACATAATACCTTGCAAGCTGTTTAAAATGGTTGAAGGAAATTGCAGAAAAGCAAATTGTTGCCAGTTGGTGATGAGTGCCAGAATCCAGGTCAGTCCCATGACTGAAGTCAGTTTGATGCTGATGACAACTAGAGAAACTCTGGGAGAGTTGGCCGCTGCAAGCCCGGCGCCCTGGAAAATGGGAAATTTATCTAGTATTAAAGTCAACTCATTGCATTGGGATCAATCAATTAAGTTGTCTTTCATGTTATGTGTTTTATTTCATAAAACCGATTGTTCTGTAATGACACTATGAAATTTGCGATCGTTGTCAGCCCGTCGTCCTCTCGCGTGGAGAACCATGGCCAAATGTCAGTCGATTCATTTCTCTCCATCTACTTAAAAGCGTCCATAAAAAACCGGTTGCTTTTGATCCTTTTTTCTCAGTACAGCTGCGCAAACATTTCCATTTAAGGTTCTGATTGGTCAAGGCAGTTCATGTCTTCCTATTGGCCACTTTAAGGTTGCGCGGAAGACTGGTTCGATGTTGTGTATAATTGCACTATGGAATTGTTTTAGGAGACAAATATTGACTAAGTGTTCTGCGCAACCTCGTTATGAGCATAAAAGAGGCGACAGCGTCCCAAAGACAGCCCCATACTGCATTTCGACACAGCACCGACCCAGTCCCACGCGCCACTGACCTAGGCCCCTACGCAGACTTTGTTTTAGCCTGCGAACCGCGGACGTATTTCAGGACGAAGCGACCACCGGAAATACGTCTGCGGTTCGTAGGCTTACTTTTTTTGGCTCGTCACGCGTCCTTCTTAGGCAGGAACGCGTGACGAGACCTTAGGAACGTCTGCGTGGGAGACTCTCACTAACCCGACGCAACCTCCAAACGGTCAATAGGAAAATTAAAATTAGCTTACTTTTTATTAAAAAAAGCATCCTGTTAGCAGAGCCTTTCTTTCCCTTGTTCGATTTTTCCTCCTCACTCAAGAAAAAGGCAAATATTATGCAGGCTCTGCTGCAAGGATGGAGCAAAATCGTGCCTTTAAGAGTACAATGTTTTCCGTTAACGTTTCGGGCTTGAGACCCTCAGATACAAGTCAACTGGTATATCGTCCTATGTTTATAATCCGGGACACATATAACACGAGAACAGTGCAGTATCTTGTCATCTGAACTTTGGTGTGTCAAAATTTTTCAACAAGTTTAGAGCGGGGAGTCCGTAGCGTTTCAACGATCCGGTAATTAAACGGCACATAATGATGTAAACACGCAATACGCTTCTCTATAAACACGTGTGCTATTAATAAGACGTCACCTAGTCTTATACCCAGTCCCTGTACGGCGCCTTCCCATGCCTTCTCCTTTACGTGACCCGAAAGGCATAGGCCGCGCGGAAAATGACACCTAGTATAGGGACTAGGCAAAATAACTGAGACGTACTTGCTGAAGATTATAAATAGAATATATGCTCTTGGATAAGCACACAGCATTAAAGGCCATTGCGAGGCCCACGGGCGTCACCATGGCAACCAATATTGCCGTTTTGTTGGAGATCCAGCAGCAGAGGGAATTCCCTAAAACATAAAACGAAGCGTTTAAATATAATGTGTTTCAGAGAAGAGAAAAATAAATAACTGAGCTGACGCCTGACAAAATAGCGCGTAACTGGTGCCCATAATTCCTGTTCTCTAATATTAGATCTGCAACGCACTTTAATATGTTCAAGTCCATGACGAAACGGCATTTCAAGGGCCAGTCTGTCCAATATTTTTAATTGTCGAGTGTCTCTATGTGATTTAGTGTACTACTCTCTGTTTTGATTTTCTTTGTATCTTTTCTTTTCTTTTATCTAAACCAGGTGCTCCTGTTATATATATAAATAAATAGATAAACAAAGTAAAATAGCAACAACTAAAATGCAGGAGGGAAACAGACCGTATCCAATATGAAAGATTCCTGTGGAATCCAGCACAGCACAACCAACCGCAAGTACCGCGGGAATACCCCATCCGACGATGCTGTACTTAAGAAAGCTCTTGGTAATGTCTGACGGCTGCCTTGATGTGTCACTCACTGTCAATTTAAAAAAGTAAATACGTCCTTGACTATCTCTTGTAACAGAAACGTTTCTAGTTTTGCCCTTTTTAAACACTCGAGGTGGTCCCCTACTGCCGTTGTTGGCACCCTTGTAACTCTTTCTTCACTGAAAAAAGATAGGGTTTTCAAGTGTAAAAATTATTTTTTAGCCGATGGGCCACTACCAGTACTCTTTTTTTTTCGCGTGATCTCTAACCTTTCACATTATCACCGGAGAGTTATAAGAGTAAACTAATTTCCTTCATGTTCACTGACGATTATACCCTGTTGAACGTTTAACGGGTTCCATTTTAGCTTCAGTCGTAATCGTTCAACTGAGTAATAATACGACGACTTTTTAAGAGAAGAGAGGATTCATGCCACTCCCTCCTCGATCCTCGCCAGAGAAGATGGCATGTTTAAGAGAAGAGTCAGGGAGGCTATCGATGTATTTCGTCGAGCTGAAACATTAAACAGGGACGCTGGTTACGAGCTCCCTGCGATCTAACGGGACGTTTTGTCACGTGATTAATTGTGTAAATCCCGTGACAAAATGTCCAACTGCATCTCTTGATAAAGGTTCCGTGATAGATTCGAAAGTTTGCACGTACTAAAAGGTTTCTATCCTGGGATTTGAAACTTTGTTTTCTTTATCTATCTTTTTTATAATCCAGACGGTTTTTAGTTGCTTCTTTGTTTTGTTAACTAGGTTTTCTTGCTTTACTTCATGTACAATGCAAAATATTGTTATTTACGTTAACTCCTCCCGCTCTCAATGAATTTCAACTGACCTTGGGCTGTGAAAGTACAAGCTGTATCAAACGCCATGACACTCATCCACGAGAAAGCAGCTAGAGCAAAGAAATGAAGACCAATCGCAATGGCTTTGCAAACACCGTCGACTTCTTTGGACGTTTTAGTGAAGAGGAATATAACTTGATAAAACAACAACGCCCATGAGAGACTGATGAGGCATTTTCCAGGTAGATTCCGAAGTTCTTTAAAAGACATATAAACTGCGAGAAGAAAACATAAAGATACAACGGAAAGTACTGATCCGATAAGTGTGATGTAACCAAGAATTACAGCAATTCCAAAGGTGACGGTGCAGTTCTTATTGGAATCGCAGTAAAACTCCTGCCAGGTCGTGTTATAACCAAACGATGTCTGGTTGTACGCAAATGATATCAGATTGTAATCTTGTGTTGGAGAAGGCATTATTGCTTCGTTAATTAAAATATCGGAGCTCACGTCAAAGAGAATTGTCAGTGGTGCCACCGAGGCAGATTCTGGTCTTCCACTTTCGATATCGTCGCTTTCTTCTTCTTCTTCTTCTTCTTCTTCTCCTCCTCCTCCTCCTTGTTCTTCTTTCTTTTTCAAGTGTCTTCCCTCTGGGTTACAAAGAGCACAGTGAGGGTTTCTGTAGTGGAGTTCGTTTTGACCACTGGCAAACGAAAAGACCATGGAGTATGAAAAACACAATTCTCTTATGGTAGACATGATTGGGAGCTGTACCTGCTTGGAGGCACAAAGTGAATCTTGCATCACACAGAACTTATGATACTGCCTGCGGTTTGGAAATGGTTTATATTGCCAAGAGCACTTGTCATGTTTCCTTACGAATGTCTTAAGAGCCGTGGTGTTGTGGAGAGGAGGTTGCAAACCAGGTGAACAAGTTACTTCGAAACCCCAAAATGACAAATTTTTTGCATTGTTGCATTTTCCACAAGCAATACTTCGGTATGTTATATTGTTCGTCCAGTCAAATACTGGAAGTTCTTGTTCGAATGTCATATTAAGCTGCTGAACGGTTTGACATGCTTGTTGGTTGGTTTGATTGCTCTGATTTGTTTTAGCTGAACTGCAAGATTTCATGATTACCCCGGACCAAGAAATAGCATTGACGTCACCACATGTTCCATCTACAACTGAAATATTTCTAGTTTGACTGCACCTGAAAAAAAATGGGTTAAAGATTGTTTTTTGTATCTGCTGAACGACATTTAATTTCTCAGCAATATATACAAGCAAAGCACAAATTATCAACTCAGTTACTTTTAACTACAGAGGAGCGCCTTTAATCAGGAAATTTGGTTAACCCATGACGCGAGTTGTTTTGGCCCAAGCTTACGTCATTTCATCCTAGCTCACTGACAATCAGTTTTACTTCTGGAATTTCAGTTTTCCCGTTCTGTTCAAGAATTAAAAGCGTCTATGGTCTAGTTTGTGGCCTTTTTGAAAATAGTGGGCGAATTTTTGGGTGGGTCAAAACGCTGGTTTATCTAAAATTCCTCGATTTCACAATCAGAATCGAATGTGGAAGGCGTACCATTTTATTTTGACTTTTGAGTCCTTTAAAGAAATCCTAAAGGGCGACCATTCAAACGGAATCTCGCGTTAAAAATCAATATGTTCTTCTTTCAAATCGTACTTTTTGCCTTTTTCGTTAGTGCTTTTTGTTGTTTAAGAAAGTGTATGTTATGATCAAAATTGGTTACAATCGTGAAATCCGAGGGGTCATACTGAACCCCATTTTACGAAAAGCAATTCAACTCTGTCATGTTAATGTATGAATTAACTCAGAAACAAAGCGCATGAACTAAAACAAAAAGGTTCTTTCTAAAGTTCATATTTTTGGTCTTACCTTAAGTGAAAATCTAAACAACAATCACCCCACGTAATGCAAGCCTTGTCACAATAACATGTTTTAGAAATGGTTCTTTCGTCTTTGAAACATCTGCCATTACACGACTGTATTCTTGAGGACGTCTGTTTGTTAATCACTTCGTTAAAAAAGGAATCCTCATTTTGTGGCACAGAAATGTTATAATCACTAAGAAGACCCAGAAGTTTCTTCAGACTTAAGACTTCTCCTTTATACTTCACTGTAAAGTCGCGGTCAGCTGAGTCTAACAAACATACAAAGTAAACAAGTATTTAAAATCTCATGGCATCAACAGAAACTAACATTATATTGCTTCGTAATTCCGTCTTGTTTGTTAGAGATGTTGATATTTGTAGGGCGGAAAACATCATTCAGCGTTAGTAAGCAGCTTAATAACTGATCAGTAGAAACACTCAATAAATATTAAGACGAACATACCAACTGGCATGATATACCCGTTAGAACTTTCCGCGTTCCCGTCGCTTTCCGTCAGCCGATTATCTTGAGATTTTACCGGCGAAATCAGGATCAAAACTTCAATTACCGTGAGAGGTATTGAAGACAGGTATGCCCATTTTGGTTTCATTTTTGATTGAGAAAGCTTGAAGGAATAAATGCTTATAAGTGCTGTCTACGCCCTACAACAACTTGAGCATGTCTGCTTAGATATGTTCCTCGCCCCGTGTCGCGTGATGGCGTCTGAATCAGGCCAATAGGAACCGTACAATATAAAGTGAATTAAATTAAAAATAAAGTGATGTCTTTTTCTTTGTGTTTTATCGTACTGAAAATCTAAACGATTCTTCTCGTATATCACGTGTAATTAAACCTTGGTGTGCAATAAAGTGCTTAGCGATCGTTAAATAACTTTTTAGGAATTGAATTACACCCACACGATTTCATTGTTTAATACATTTTTTTACGTTTCGATTACTCCGCCTTTAGCCAAGAATTATCTTCAAAGTAAGAAATAAACATGTCTCATTGCATTCATAAAACAGATGCAACATGAACTGCAAATGAGGGAAAAAAAACTTTCAGGTCAAGATTAATAATCTGTTTATAAAACAGTTATTACTATTAAGGCAATGGTTGGTACAGTAATGTGAACTTTAAAAAAGAAAACTTATTCAGTGATGCTTTTAACATAGCTTTCTGTTTGTTTTACTAAGTAACTTTTCCGGTCCCATACAGATTACATTTAAAAATATTACAAAGTAAGAAAGTTTTAATTAAAACACATCTGCCAATTTATTGCATCTACAATGATTATTTCGAAATAAGACAAAATTCCAAGCTAGGTATTTGTCTCAAGGTTTCTAGCAAGTGATTCTTGCAAAAAACGATCATGATTTGGGATCTAAATGTAATGTTCTGCTTGTTTTTTGTTTTTGTTTTTGTTTTTGTTTTTCATTTTTTAATTTAATTTAATAAGTTATAAAACAGGTGAACTAAGCTACATCGTGAAACGAGAAAAAACTCTTAATTACATTAAATATTTTAAGGGGCATTTCTATAATTTCCAAAAATAAAACCTTAAAGATATTCTGGGCACTCTTTAATGCAATAGTTCTTGTACGATGCTAAAGGGAAATAAAAGAATAACAGAAATTATTTATCAAACTATACTTATCATTAGGATTTTCTAGCCTTAAGTAACTCAGTTCAGATTACAAGATTTGGTTCGTCACGATACTGTTTCCGAAAATAGCCATGACTTGAGGACGCATAACTAACTTACGTTTCCCAACGTGAAATTGACTATGTCTTGCTGTTAATTTTTATTTTGTAAGAAATGAGAAGAGAGGTCGATACATCATGTTGCCATGGTAACAAAAAGTAGGGATGGCAAAGACGAAAACCTGGAAAGTGAGTTCGCACTGTTTCAGACTTCATCGATCTCATTCAATTTCATTTAATTTGTCAAATTTTAGCGTATTTTTCTGGGTTTGAATCCGAAAGGACTGTAGCTAAGTTTAGACCTACTCACCTACCCCATAAGGCGGGTGCGTGAAATTAGGAAGTTTTATATCGCACTCGTGCTGCGACAGCTAAGAAATGCACAAGACCTATTGCTGGTTTTCAGTGTCAAAATCAAAATCATTCGACAGATAAAGTCCAGAATCTGGGAAATGAAAGGAGGTAAATATACAAAGACCCTCGCCAAGATTTGGGTCGAAGGAATAATTCGTATACGAGATCAATTAGATATCCAAGGAAATGTTTTACCCAAATTTATAGAGCTTTGTATGGAGACGCCATGCTGGAGCTCATCCGGATGAGCTCCAACATGGCGGACGGAAACCAACAGAAACATCTGTTAACGAGTTTTGCTACAAAAGCGTGAATTTACCCCTAGAGGAACTCATAAACATTAAAGTAATACTTTTTTTAATACTTGAACTGTTTAGATAGCAAAATTCCTCGGAAAAAGTCATTTTTTCATCCTAAATGACAGCTCTCTCGGCCGTCATGTAAATGTTGCGTCACGCAAAACCTTAGAAATTCAAGCGTACTCTATTGCAACCAAGAAACGTTTTGAAGCGGCAAAATTTATTTGAAAATTAGTTTTCAGCCGCTCTAATACACCATGAAAGTAAAATCTCAGTAGGATCAATAGTTTTGTAGATTGAATTTTAGTGACGTCATGTGAGAACCAACATTTGCTGTTTTGTAGTTTTCGTTGCCATCACCGTCGGCTTTAAGCTTATTAAGCTCCCAGAAATTATGCTACCATGGTAACGTAGCGTCTCACTTCTCCTCTTTGTAGCGACTAAAGAAAAGCACGGATTTGTTAATTGGGCATGTTTGTTATATTTTGTACACTTCTTTGCAGACGTTTAAAATTAAATTTAAAAGTGTTATAACTACCTAAAATAATGGTTTTAACTTCAGTAGCTGAACCGTCTTTTCGGACTCATTCCCAGCGTTCGCTCGACAACTTGTCACCATGAGAGTTAACGGCCCTGGCTTCAAGGATTTCAATTCCGCACCCCTCCACTGTGCTGTTTTTGGTTTCAAGCATCTACGTTTTTATTGATATCTACAATATGTAACTTTATTAACTAATTATAGGGTATTTTTGCAGAGAATATAACATTTTCCGATATTCTTACCTTTTTTGAAATAATGGTAATAATTGTCACAATTTTTATCCGATCTATTTTATACCAGTTAGTGTTACCCCTTGGAGCATTAAGTTAGTTGAAAGCCTAATCTACTACGGTGTCTTTTCATTGTTGAGTCGTTCATGAGAAAAAATATACATGAAAACAACTGAATCACACAACTCAATTATTATTCCGGCAATCAAGTAAACGAGGTAGTGCGATCTGTACTAATAGAATATTCTATTTTTGCAGTTAAAGAAAAGAAATAATTTTTTTAACAGGCTTGGTGTTTTGACATAATATACAGCTATTTTCCAAAAAAAAAAAATGAACTGAAAAAGAGAAGATGTGAGATTTCCCCAGGGGTTGGAAAATTGTCTTCTATCATTTAAATTTAATTGTGTTCAAATTTAAGTATTCAATTTTACTTTTTGATGTGTTTTTCAGTATGAACTGAACAACTCTAAAATAGTTATTTACAGCGTTTTATCAAAGATTGAGCGTATACTTATCAACTGTAGTGCTCTTTTAGTTTCGCCGGTATTTATGGGTCTACTATAAAGAGATAAAACACTTATTCCGAGCCTAAACCGATCGAAGTAATTTTAAAAGATTGTAAGTTAACACCTGTTTGCAGCAATTTAGTCACATCATTATTTTTGTTCTTTTTTTAACTATGTATATTTGGCAAGTGTATTTATGATAAGATCAAGAAAAATCGGGAAATGCTTCGAAGCTCTTTCTCGATCCTGTCTTGAATAGTTGTCGCTAAGTGCAATATGTGATTAAGTTATCGGCGATTCCCGAAGATATATCCTAGCCTAAGCTGTTTAAAGTTCGAATTTAGTTTTTTTGGTTTTCAAATGTGTTTTTTATTTTTATTACAGTGAATATTCGATGTTCTGTCGGCGCCTCTTGAAGACGTTTTTTGTTCGGGAACTCTATTAATCATACAGTGATATGACCCAAGCAACACTTCTCTAGATAAACCTTTCACCATAAAGGGTAAAAAGTTTTTTAGATGAAAACCTTAGGCGTTAAATAAAAGAGCCTCCTTTTCATCATTATAATCTCAGATGCAAATCAAAGAAGGATTGAAAAATGCGATTTTGCGCTTGTATTATTAGAAGGGGCTAACCATGTCGGCAAGACAATAATTTGCCCATCCCCCTACCCACCTTACTCAGTAG